TCGAGACTGATTTCAGTGGGCGGCCTGCCGCCCAGCCGGCGCGCGGTGACGTCGAAACGACTTTTGGAGTCATACAGTAATGAAGAATCTTAATATATTTCACTTTTGCTATATAACTTGTATTTTTATAGCGGTATTGTTCACTTACTTAATAAAATATACGCATATTTTATAATTTACTAACTATTATTTTTCATTAGCATTGAGGTGTCAGGACTCACACACACCCTGAAAATGAATATGATATTCACATAATTAAAAAATAAAAAAGTATGCTTCAGTAACCGACCAAGCAAGTAAAGTATTTTAGTAAAACCCGAATCTGCAGATTTTGCCAAACTGAAAAGAAAACGCCACTACACATATGGTTGTAGCTCGCCGGACAATAGCCCAAACCCCCCAATAAAAAAAACACACGAATCAATAAGACCTCAATCAATTATATCCAAAAGTCACCTCGATCACCCCAGCTTACAAACAAAAAAGCGCATCATAATCGGTCCATCTGTTCAGGAGCTCCAATACCGTAAACAGACACAGAGAGACAGACACTTTAAACTTTTAACATCCCTCTTTTTGTTTCAGTGGTTATAATATAAAGTGGTATTCTACCATCCAATAATACGCGAACAGCGTCAGGAGCTGCAACCAGTTCATAATTACTTCATAACGCGTGGCTCACGCATGCATAGCACGTTATATTTTCATTGGTTCAACTAAGCTGATGAGCGAATTCAAAAGCTATTGACCTAAAAATAACGCCGAGCCGAGAAAGAATTGTTTACTATTCATATACCTACGTACACTTCACGTATGATCTGTTTTAAAGGAATCGACTACAAAAAAAGTAAGTAGTGATGTTGTTACAGCGTCGTAGATATTAATCGATAAACTAATTATATGCATACTAATAATACGAAGAGGTTATTAGGCGTTAATCAGAGGTTTATGGAGTGTTTGTAACGCATTACCGTTTATGAATAATGGTTTTTATAAAGCCTTTATAACTGTGTAATGTAGCAAAAATAGGACAAATGTGCAGACGAAGCTACGCTCGTCGGCTAGTCTACTCATAAGACATAACTTAGGATAACATGATCACGATTTTCATACTACGTGACCTGCGTAATAATTGATATGCCTACAAAGTTGTCCACTGCACGAAATCTCATATCTATAGTATTTCCGTTGCAAAATATAATTTTCTATGGTTTTGTTTTTCTTTATTTTCCCCGTATCTATGACTAAATTTAAGGGTTATTTTGAATAGAAAATCATTTATTCAAATAAACTTAATTTAAGCACTTTTGAGTAGTCATAACAATTTGTTTTTTATCTACCACTCGTTCGGAAAGCTGTCTCATCACAAGAGGAATGAGCACTTGTGAAACAAACTAACTCTTCGAAACTTGTGAATACAAACTACCAACCAGCACTCATTTTTTGGGTCAAATATAAATATACAATAAGATTAAATCAGTCGTAGTGATAATAGCAGACCAGTCCCTACAAGCAGCACTCGTTCACGAGTATGACGGATGAGCCAGCCATCACTGCACTCGACCATATTTTAGGGAGCCCAATGACCCGGCTCACCATACCGCCACATACCTGGACATTTTAGTGAGCATGATTACACATTCCTCTCGACCACGTCACAGCTACAAAAATTATTATATGGTAGTTACAGTATTCGAACTTTACATGAGGATGCATGCGGCAATTTGATTAAAGACACCATTTTTTACGTGTCGGATATCTTCACCAACCATCAGTAAAAGGAAAAGAGTAGAATATGTGGATTCTTATCCATTAAAAACCACACGGTGTACCATTAAAAAAAAAACGCGAGGCGCCTTCGAGAGTCTTGGAGTCTTTAGTATTCTACCAAGACTTCGATTGCTAGGGTACCTACTTGGAAGCAGTAAATAAAAAATGGTGGAATTCAAACAGCATTTCATCTGTACACACGAAATAAGGGCTTTACTAAATGCACTTTTTTTATAGATGATAATAGAATCATGCGCCAGTGGTGGACAATAAAATAAGTGTGATGTCAAGTCAGTTAGCCAATCATGGCGAATTCACTAAGAACTGACCATGACAGTCTCCACGTTGAGGTGGACTTAATATGGTAAATTGCTGGCAATGCGACCACTACACGTCATTACTAACAATCCCGTAATGAAAATATATATAATAATAATAATAATCTCAGGACAATTCACACAGCGCCATCTAGACCCAAGTTAAGCTAGCTAAAGCTTGTGTTATGGGTACTAGACAACTGATACAAATACATAGATTTTTTTTTCGTAAATACATACATATTATGTCTGTAGAAAACACCCAGACCGATACAAACAATCATACTCATGAATACAAATATTTGTGCCGTACGAGGAATCAAACCCGCGAGCGGTGTGCTAGACCGCTATACCACCGAGGTCGTCAAGTCAATCTTATTAATATTACAATCGCGAAAGTTTATGAGTGAGAAGTGACGTTCATTTTAACATGTACATGGCAATACAGATTTAAGATACATCTTAATTTTATTAATATTATAGACGTGTATTATAGTTCGTGAGTATGGATGGTTGTGTGTTACTCTTTCACGCAAAAACTGCTGAACGGATTTTGATGAAACTTTACCTACAGTAGTATAGCTTATACATCAGAATATACATATAAGTATACATAACATATAAGTTATAAATTTCACGCGAGGAAAACCGTGGACACAGCTAGTATAAAAATATATGTTTTAATATTTAAAAATCAATAAATGAAAAATAAATGTCTGTTTGCCAAATGCTAATTTATTAGAATTATTATTCACAAAAAATTCACACTCATTGATAGGATAATAGATAATCTTTAAAATTGGGAAAGTAAGTATAACATCAATACATATAACAAAATGGGAGTATCTGTTTGTAATATAGAAATAACCGTTTTTTACTACATGCGTATATATGAATATAAATACGGTCCATACACCAAAATAACATTTTTTACCATTTTTGTCTGTCTGTCTGTCTGCTTGTTCCCGCTAATCACTGAAATGGCTGGACTGTTTTTGACGGGACTTTTTCTGACAGGTAGCTGATGTAATAAGGTGTAACTTAGACCATTTTTATTTTAGAAAAATAAAGTTAAATTCCGCGCGGACGAAGTCGCAGGAACAGCTAGTAGTAATTATGTATCGATAGAAAACGTCCATCTTTAAACGCAACTATATAAATACAAAAGCGGTAACCAATCAAAACAAATAGGTACCTTCCAGTACTATATTTACAGGGATTTCAAACTCAAATTAATTAATCTATTCCAATTTCAAATGCATACAATTTAATAAAAATACACTTTGTTGCCTTTATTATAGAGATGTTAACTAAAAGTCTAAACAGTGTTAACTGTTAATTTAAAACTACTTCCGTAATCTTTAAGATTGTGAAATTGAAACAGATTAATGTAAGTTTCAGTGATTGCTTTCTTTCAGGCCACGTGCTACGATCCTGTACGTGAAATTAACCACATGTGTAAACATTAAACATTAATTGGCGTAAATTACAAGTGGAATTTATCAGTTGTTTATTATTTAAACTAGAGTAAAACAAGGGTTTCGTAGTTATACTGTAAACCGTAGTCACCTGAGCTTCGGAACGTTCTAAACTTAAAAAATGGTGCTAAACTTAACACGCGGACTATAAAGATTATTAAATATAGAAGTCATACCTAAGTAGTAAATCGTAAAGGTGTCACTACATTCTGAAATTTATTTAAACAACTACAACATTCCATTCAAACAACATGTATTTATGTTAAGAAAAAAAAGAAATGCTTTTAGAATTTTTAGGAGCAATACCTCAGAAATGGCTACAGCTATTTAAATATAATTTTCACTGTAATGCAATGTAGCAAACTTTTCGGACACTTGTTTGTTTCACTTCAACTGGTGAACAAACTTATACCATACTGTTATTCCGAATATCACTGTTACGACATCAAGGGTCAGCTAGTAACATTTGGAAATTATGCTTTATTTTATGAATTTATGCTAATAAAAGCTATAAAACAATATGAATTGTTGAAATGGACTAACTTATTTCTATTACTTACAGACAAATATGCTCCTGTGTAAATTTTAATGGCAAAATATTGAACTAACTTTTCAACTATCTTCTATAACAGGCGTTCATCTGCGCTTGTATTAAAAAACTAACAACAAAATTATTTTAATAAATATATAAGCGATGTACCTATCGCATCAGGATTGATAGGAATCTCCTAGATTTTGAAGATGAAATCATCAATCATCAAGTGATTGTATTAATATTCTGAGATATTATGTGGATGTGTTTACATGAAACGAAAATAATAAGGTACCTACTACGATAAATATGCAAAAATTTATAAATTATTTGTTTAAGTCTCATTAAATAATACTACTTATAATTATTTCTTTGTCAAAAAATTTGAGACAAGTGGTTTTCTAGTTTTTTAGCAAAAATTGTAAGTTTAAGCTTTTTTAATAATAACAATAATCATGCCCCTAATTTAGTGTCTACCTAATGTGTTGTTGATAGAAGGAATTTCATTTTTATTCATATCATATCATTCAGATATATTATGAGTAGATTTGAATTTGCGAGCCCTGAGAAATGAATGAATCACCAGAAATTCCTATTTTATCAAGATTTATCAGCACCACAATTGTACCAACATATGGAGAAAAACGATTCATGTCAGTCAGAAATTAGTTGTCATTACATGTTAATATTCATGTAAATTTCACTGTAAAAATTAATTCCAGTATCAAATTATAAAACGTATAATTATTTAGTACGTGTTATTTATTTATATACTACTAATTCATAAAATAAAAATTTTAAACATCTACTTTGGAAGATCTCACGGTTTCAAACTTCGTGAAACGGATTGCAAGACTTTTTTTTTGTATCTGTGGTCCATCATTTCGTTTGACATGACGTTTTTGACGATTGGCATTTGGTTGGACATTGTAACTTGTGTTAAAAAAAGTTACAAATTAATTAATCGTAAAGGTGTCGGCCTTCATAATTCCGTCCGTTTCTAATTAATATAACATCGTTGAGAACATAACTTTAAGAAAAACTGCTCTTAGACGTATTTCCTATCGTAGTAGGAAATATGTAGTGAGACAACGAGATTAAAAGTGACATTACCTAGTGTTTAAGTAGGAACTTGCTGTGAAATTGTGAATAACTCGTCAAGATGAGTGGGCGCTCAAATCGTGGTGTGTTTGGGAAGCTGTTCTCCAAAAAGCAACAGAATAAAGAAGATCGTGTGACAGAGATAGGCATGCCCACAAATGTTAAACGTCATATACACGTAAGTAAGAACTCCGAGACGGGCATGTTGGAAGGTCTGCCATCTCCTTGGCTTCGGGTATTAAATGCTCAGATCACACCTGCAGAGCAAAATGAGAACCCAGATGCGGCCATTAAGGCCGTTATATTCCACATGTACCGTATGGAAAGGGAGAAGGCATTGGATGAGCCGTTCAAACCCTTTGTTACTCCTGAAGTCATCACGAAAGAAGATATGGAAATGAAAAAGCTTGTAGACCACAAAAATGCTCACCAAAGTCAAGATTCTGATCTGTCCATCGGGCAGAGCAGTGAAGAAGATAGTGGTCCAATTGACAGGTTGCCCCAAAGACAAACCATGCCAGCAGCTCCTATTAAACATGGTCTCAAAAAGAAAGATGCACAAATGGACCTAAGCGCCGTTTTGGAGGACTTGACTCTAATTGGTGAACCTGAAGAGAGTCCTATAATGAGGAAGAAGGAGATAAATTCAACATTGACTGATGAGGAAGTGTATGAGGAATTAAGAAGGATTTGCAACAAAGATGACCCTTACGTTAGATTTGAGAGAGTGAAGGATCTTGGTGCTGGTGCTTCAGGTAAGATTTGTATTAAATACTAACCAACTATATAGTCTACATTAGTAATGGCCTTGATGGTCTAGTGATCTAGATCACTGCCTTGCATACAATTGTTTTGAGTTTGATTCCTCATACAATAAATACATTTGTATTTATTGTATGATTTTTTGTATTGTCATTTTGAGTGTATTATATGTATGTAATTATTTTATATTTTTTAAGCCTTTTCTATCTGCCATCAGCTTTATGGCTATAGTTACATTTTAAGATATTTAATTGAATGATTTTGAAATATGTCAGCCATTAACATGAATCCCCTGTATTGTAAATAAGGAGTACTTATATTTTTGCCACACATTCTCTCTTGTTACATACAAAAGGGAACATCTGGCAAAAATATAAGTAAAATTATAAAAAAAGCTTTTCTAACAGTTGTTTAGTATTCATAACACATGATCTGCTTAGTTTGGAATCAGGTGAAGTGGTGTGAATTGTCCTGGTTATTATTATAGCTATTTATATCTAATAACACTAATACAAATATTAGTGATACTCATTCATTATACAAACTGCTCAGTTTCGAATCAGATGGCACTGAGTGATGTGTTTGAGAGTATTTTATTCAATAAACATTAATTCATCGGCTAATAATTCAATAATAGCATATGAATTATCATAGTTATTAATATAAGTATTATCCATGTGCCAAATTTTCATACAAGTCCACTCAAATCTTATGCGTATTTAAGTAATCATAAATTCAACATTTATTTATACACAATTGTTTAAATAATAGTTGTTAATAATAATGAAAAACGTTAGTGACATTCTTACCTGGTATTGTGTACAGTACAAAAATTTGTTTATCAGTAAATCTGTCCATATTCTGCTATCTCTGTCTGTGGCCTTGAAACAGCTTGTATTTTGACAATAATAATTCTTATTACCATCTGTATTATTTAAAATGCTGTCTGAAGCAAAAACAATAAATTCATGTGTGTCTTAATTCCACTTTAATAATTCAGAATGTGTTCGTGAAATGAAATTGTACCATCAAAACAAAGTCTATATTTCCTTCATCCTAAAAGCCAACTCCATATATGCTCTGTATTGTTTTTAAAACTTAAGATATGTTTATTGTATGTTATTCTTCTACTTAGTGCTAGTCATTAATAGTCCATAATCACTTCATAAATTACCTAGTTGGCCGGCCCTACTTTGTCTGCTTCACATTCTTTATTATATTTATCTATATATTAAAACTAAAAGTATAAATATGGTGGAAAAAAAAATTACACCAATTTATTCTTTATTGTATAGTAAAAATAAGGACCTTTGCTCACTCTGGATAATGATATTTGGTCAAAAACTTTCTAATTAAAACGTAAATACATGTGAACTCACACTCACTCACAAACACATGACTATGAATAGTTGTTATCATACACCCTAGGATTCATTCAGCAATGTATGTATATATACAAACTGTGATAATGCCATAAATAGTAGTCTTTTTTTACTTGTGGTAGAAATTTAGTGCATTGATATAACACTTACTACCTTGTCATAATGACACCTAGACAAATCGAAATATTAAAAACGTTACTAGTGTCATTGTGATAAAGTACAAAATTGTTCACAACATGTGAATTAAGGTATATTGTACCTTCTCATAGACACTATGACAAGGAATAATTTTGTACCTGATCACAATTTAGATAAACATATAATACATAAACAGTAGTGTTCCTTATTCTATAGTAAATCTATATAGTTTTTAAGTAGTATTTTCCCTGTTTCATTCAATAGATTCGATATATCGTAACTACATATAATCTTATAATACAATTACGCTTATCATTAAATGAGGAAGAATACATATTTTTTGTAGTTAATGAAAGAACTAGTCTTGTCTCGAAGACGAATTACGCGATCTAGTTTTCAAATCTTTCGCTCTTTTCCTTGTTTAATAAAATTAGTCGAATTTCGACTATAATAAATTTAACATCCAGTAAGATTATAAATAAATAATATTAATCTATTATCAATTTGACTTCAGACTTTATCAATAAACAAAATAGTACTAGTGTGTTAATAACATGGTAGTATGTGTAATGGTTTTTAATGGTATGGTATTAGTATTCTGCACTCCTCTGTATAAACTATAAGTGAAATTTCATACTTCTCCGTCCGCACAATTATCGTAAAAAAGGGTACAAAGTTTATTCCTTCACCTATTAATACATATATAATATGTAATAAAACAAGAACACATATTTGTGGCCTAATAAAATAAAAACCATTTAGGTAGAAACAAAGAAGTTGGGTGCTAACGAATTAGTTCGCAAGTCCAAGTGTGCTCACACTTGCGAACTATGATACATAAGACTACATTTGAGGGGCATTGACCCTAATTAGTAAACACTAAGACAACACTTATTAACAGGAGTGTGTTAATATTGTAAGACTATGTACTAATCTTAATACTTGTGCTACAAAGTAATAAGTCTCAAAATTATAACAGCAAATATAAATACTTGCATTAATATACTCGATACAATATTGAAACATGTAAGAAAAGAGTGTATTCCTCCATAAAAGACTGGCGACTCATCTGCAATTCCCCCGTTAAGTGCTCATGACCAACGGTAATCACTTACCATCAAGTTTTTTTTTCGGACTGCTCTAATGCTGTTGGCCGCGGCTGAGCTTTACAGCTTCGCCGGACGATAGGGGGCGAGTCCAGATAGCACTTCAAACCCGCAGAAGGACTTATGGATCGGCTGAAGGCCAACTCCCGCCTGACGGACACGACTTTAGTCAGAGGACATTGCTAGGGTTTCGAACCTCGGCTCAGGCCGTCGTGATTTCGAGCCCCGTTTGAATTGCACAGAGGATCGATCGAAGGGGAATTACCATCAGTTTTGCCGCAAGCTCGTTTACTCCCTATGCTATAAAAATCTTATCCAGTGGTTTTAAATAGCATATACTATTCACATCAATCTCTGTTCAATAATTATAATAATAATAACCCTGGACAATTCACTAATAACGCCGTCTAATCCTGAGCGAAACAGATCTTGTTGGATCTTAAACAAGTGATAGAAATGCTTAAATACATTTTTTTGTAAATAATAAAACAGCCAAACCAATACCATGCCACCAATATCAAAGAATACTCATATTTGTATTGCGTGAAGAATAGATCCTGCGACCAACGGAAGTACTACCACTGAATCGCCGACGCTGTATATTTGTCGGATTAGTTATTTTTAATTTGTTTTTTTCTTAAAATAGTACCATGTAATATTGTGGTATTACTGTCTATCTTTATAATGTTAGTATATTTTTAGTCGTATAAGGAAATAAACTTTTCTACATTCGCTTCAGCGTTTTAAAATAGAAGTTATAAATAAAACATTAGACATTGTTTTGTATAATTTATTTTAAAAAAATCTGTCTCACTTTACGTAAAAGCAAACGACAATCTAGATAACATTTTTATGCATCTTCCAATTATCCTGCATTTTCTGTAACCCTTATTATTGTTAATATTAATTATTATTAATTAGTTATTATTAAACGTAAAAACTGTATCAATTTTATTCATGAATAGCAACTGAGCAAATATTTTCAATCCTTTCCTCAACACACTATAAATACGCTTTGCCATTTCAACACGTTGACTAATCGACTAAAATTGTATATTTTGCATCCTTATAGCTTTTTTACAAGAAAAATTATAAATATACCTGTCCAGGTTACCTGTGGGATATTGCTTTTAGTAGGTATTTTTAGATAGATAAATTCTTTATTCACTAATTACAGACACAGCGTAATGAGGCACAGAAAAGATAAATTATAAAATAAACGAAATGAATGTTGCTTTACTTGAATATAGACAATCAACTCAGCATAAAATCTGCAGCGCTGATATTCTGTTGGCTCCTATACCTGAAAATATATATGTACTAAACTTCGAACTTCTTAATATGTGAAAGTCGCGTGTAATTTGTTTTTATCACATAGTGTTATTAATTAATCCCGAAAATTCGTCTATTTTAGCTTTTTTTAGAAATAAAATATACCCAATGTTCGTCCTCTTGATACAATTTATCTTCACGTCTTTTAATCGTGCAAAGGTAACAAATGAAAACAGATGTACTTTTAAAATGTTTTATTAAATTTACATACTATTGGCTGTTATAGTTTATTTATTTGTACGCTTTTACAATAATTAATATTGATAAAATGCTTATACAGTAATCCCCACACTGAGTAGCTCAAGGCTTGTGTTGCAGGAGTCAGATACGATATGAGTACAGAAACTATAACTTCATAAAGGCTTCAGTTCAACTAGGTTAATTATAATTTCACTATAAATAAATAAATAAATCTGGACAATTAAAACACCTCCATCTAGTACCACGGTGTTATGAGTACTAGACAACCGATATAAATACTTAGATATATAATATATTACAAATATTGCATCAAATCATACTCAGAAATACAAATTTTTGTACCGTACGTCGAATCGAATCCACGAACATCGGGAGTAAAGCGGAGCTCTAAAGCGTTAGACCATAGAGGCCGTCAACTATGTATAAACTATAAGAGAAATACATGTTTGAAAGTTAGAAACCGTTTGTCCATTTGTCTTAGGAGTTTTTGAATCTGTTTTTATTATCAGAAATTTCATTGTGAAATATAATGTGATGCGCTATTGTAACCACACTTTATCTAACGGAGGAAATACTGATCACATTTATGTTAAAATCTATTCATTGTACGTACAACAAAGTTTTGTGTAGGTATAATACTTCCTATATGCCAAATTACCATACATTATGATAAATAAGTAAATTATACCTATTTCAAATATTTTGTTCAAAACCTTTTGTACGATTTATAATTTATTATTTATATTTTTCTATTTTCTTTTATTAATTCAATAATAGGGCTGCACGACATCTTAGTCCTGGGGGAAGGGGATTGTAGGTAGTGTGGACTAATAACCGCATTTCTAGCAATGGTACATTCAGTCAGGTTAACCTCCACGTGGTCCCTCCTGAAAACTATCGTGATAAATTCATGGTGAATTTACCACGATGGGCTAACTGACTTGATCTCATGCTCATCTTATCATCCTCCACTGGTACCCCGCCAGCGTATACCGTTAGCGCATGCGGGTGCACCATTTCATTATCACCCATAAACATCTTAGTCCTTAGGAATAGCAACGCATGAGTATCACGGTCATCACATGATAACGTGATATGCGTAGTGCTATTCATGTATATACACTTAAGTAGTCTTAACATCAGGTGGGCTGTCTGATAATTTGCCATTCGAATGAAGCCGATGTTTAGGCAGAAGTTGACCTTCGACCGCTCCATAAGTTCTTCCGCCTCTAAAGTGCCCTGTGCACTTACCTCCCCTGTTATCCGGTAAAGGCCAGATGCGGTCAACTCCACTGAAATAGGGAAAACAAAAATGTTCGACCCGTCGTTCCGAACCTTGTTTGTTACCATTCATCAGTCATACCCGTGAACGAGTACAGAATGTAGGGACTGGTCTGCTTTAATGATTACAAAAAGGGGTTGTTAGTAATGTGGATTTATGATCTCATTGCTAGCAATGTACCATGTCAGGTTGACCTCCACGCGGTTCCCCCTGGAAACCATCGTGATAAATTCTTGGTGAATTTGTCACGATGGTCTAACTGACCTGACCTCATGCTCATCTTATCATCCTCCACTGATGCCCCGCCAGCGTAAACCGTTAGCGCAGGCGGGCGCACCATTTCATTATCATCAAAAAAAGAATTACGACTGATTTATTTTGTTACTCACCAAACTGTGTATTTATTTTGACACTAATGAATTTGGATGTTTGTATTCACACATATTTTAATTTAAAATGATGTAACCATCTGTTTAAAAAAGCAACACGGAAGTTTCTTACTCGTTCTTCTGGTGCTGAGACAGTTTTGCAAATGTTCCGAATATTTCTTTTTTAATATACTATTTTAAAAAATTATAACTACTCCGAAGTGCTTTTAAATTTGAGTTTGTTTAAAAAATTATGACTATTCAAAAGTACTAGAATAAACAATGTTTCTATTCTAATTTGCATTAATATTATTAAAGGAACACGATGTTGTAAGTTATTCTCTTGTTATTTGCATTTAGTCCAAATTTAACTAGTCTGTATATTCTTTGAACTATTATATTTCTATAGTGTAGTTCCAGTTTAAGAAAAAATAAGCACGTCATGATAACACGACGGTGATATATCTGTACGTTATTTAAATAATCATGAAATTAATTTGTTATCTGATAACGAATTATGCAGTACAATTGCAGCGTTTGTACGGAGCTCTACGGAATATTTATAATTTTTTATCAAGATTGTAAACTCTTTCTTTATCGTGTTTAATGGGTAGCATATTATTGGACTGTCTAACCACATTTAACTACATCAAACAGTTGCCTAGAATCATTATCATCACCAACATCTGCTACTACCTTATCCCTTTTATTTGGGGTCGGCGTAACAGTTGCCTAGAATATAACTACGATATTCTGTATTAGTAGTAAGATGTTTTTTGACATTTTACTCAGCGTCGTCTAGTCCCAAGCTAAACAGAGCTGATGTTATAGTTAGGTAGGTACTAGACAACTGATACCAATACATTTTTTTTTTATTTTGTAAATACATACATAATATACATAGAAAACACCTAGAGCGATACAAACAATCATACACATTAATACAAATGTTTGTACTGTGTGAGGAATCGAATCCGCGATCATCGGATAGTAGGCGGTATACATCAGATAGCTCCGATACCATTGTATCTTTGTATCATTCCATACGATGCTCGTTGTTTTAACATATATAATATACATATACGTTTATACTAAGAAGAAATAAATACCGAAGTACAGAAATGTATTTGTTATTCTAATACGGTAACGATTAAATAAACTTTACGCGTAAGAGGTGAGTACGATAAGAATAATTTTGGTTTCATCGCGAGAGGTACAATTAGGCGATTGTATAAAATTCTTAACTCACTTCTATACTCACATTATCAAGGCAGAGTATATATTGTATATATTTTATTGTATTCTAATTTCACTGGCGTCAGTTAACATGTTATGTAATACTGCGAAACATCATGTATGTACCGATCAAACATTCACTGAGATAAATAGTCGCACGAGACAGCCGTGACAAACAAACAGAGGCAGGCATTTGATAAATCTTATGAAGGTTTCGCTTTTCTTTTAGTTACATCGATATCTTAAAAGTCAAGTTTTAAACGCTTAATATTAAATTTATATTTTTCCTTGTAAGACCTCAGAATAAAGTGTTTTTTTTAAACGACTGCTAAATGATCTGTTAAATTCATCGGGTTTTAATTTTAACCGATGTCTTCCTCAGCACTAAATAGATTTCGATGTTTCTTTATATTATTGGAGGAAGAAAAGTCGAAATAATACATTACAAAAAAAATAGCTAGTCAGCTGGTCACAGTAATTTAGAGCCTTATCTTATTAGGAATCATCTATTCCATTTTATAAAATTATTATAGACCGAATAAACGAGAGACTACTACTGACTTGGTAGTAGTTGGGAGTCGTAGTATTATCAAAGTGATCTGAAGAGGATCGAAGTATATACACTACTCGATAACCCAGGACAGATGTCCTTGACGAAAGTAGGAGACTCAACCTTAAATGACAATGGAAGACGCTACGCAGAGAGAGATTTCAGTCGTGTTTTATGGGAGTCACCGTCTTTGTTGCCTAATTTTATCAATACTGAAGTTTTGGGGAAAACATATTAAATTATCCAACAAACAGACTTTGCAGACGACTTTATAAGTCGTCTACGTAGGCACTTCTGTCTCACCAATTTCTCACACTTCGATGCTTGCTTTAGTATTGTGTTTCGGTTAAAGGGTCAGATTAGTCAGTGAAATTAGCGGGTCAAATGATGACGTGAGTCTGTGATGCTGTTCATCTAAATAAGCGACTGAGTCGCCTATTTAGAGCTTTCTATTAGATGGGTAGTTAGCTTGTTTGCCAGTCCAATTACTAAAAGAATGCTAAAAAATCCATCAATCTTCTCGGCAGGTCTCTATCATTCTAGTTTATAAGAATAAAACTGCTTTCGATATCACCTTACCAAATTCTCTTGTTTGTTTGTTCCAGGTGTCGTGTTCATTGCGATCGACAGCAATGACAACTCGAGAGTGGCCATCAAAGACATCGACTTGACCAAACAGTCCAAAAAGGAACTAATACTCAATGAGATCAATGTACTGAAGGACTTCAACCATAAGAACTTGGTGAACTTCCTCGACGCCTTCCTAAGCTTTGACCATCTTTGGGTAGCTATGGAACTGCTCGATGGTGGCTCTCTTACTGATGTTGTTACCGAAGTCATCATGAAGGAGGGACAGATAGCAGCCGTGTGTCGAGAGACACTTCAAGCCATATCCTTCCTTCATTCTAAAGGCACCATACACAGGGATATAAAATCTGACAACGTGTTACTCGGCATGGATGGCTCTGTCAAAGTCACCGATTTCGGATTTTGCGCCAACATAGTCGGCGACGAGAAGAGGCAGACTATGGTTGGTACGCCATACTGGATGGCACCCGAAGTGGTTACAAGGAAGCAATACGGGAAGAAAGTCGACATATGGTCGCTAGGCATAATGGCCATAGAAATGATAGAAGGAGAACCACCCTACATGAAGGAGACTCCTCTAAGAGCGCTGTACTTGATAGCAGCTGTGGGTCGCCCCAAAATACCAAGGTGGGAGAACTTATCAGCAAATTTCCAAGACTTCCTGGACAAGTGCCTGCAAGTGGATGTAGATATGAGGGCAACAGCGGACGAACTCCTCGAGCACCCGTTCCTTGAATGCGCCATGGAGTTGAAGACCTTGACGCCACTGATCAGGGCGGCTCAGAAAATACTTCATAAGAACTATGAGTGAGACACTCTTCCATTCCCGTTTTAACCAATTTTATAGCAATATTGCAGTTTTGTATGTATTTAGTATTAAGCTAATTTTCAGGTGCCAATTTTGTAGTTATAAAAACATTTTTTCGATAAAAATTGGTTAACAACGTACTAAAAAAAATATATTTGCGAAAGAAATTTTCTATTACATTTACAGAAGAATTGACAAAGTGCTTAGACTGCGAAAATATATAAGTATAGTAATGTAGTAAATATATACGCGCTCGTTTTCGAACAGAATTTGATATACATTATATACAAAATAATTGTAGTGGAATTACTAGATATAGTTTTTCACATAGGTAGGTGTTATATTTATAAAACTATCAAAGTATTTATTTGACAAAATTCAAAGGCCGTACAAGCTTTTGTCTTATCGGCAAGCCATAAAGATACATTATCTGTTCTGATATACATAGATATTAGATATGTTACATCACACTGACATATACAATTTCAATTATACAATATAATTGAAAAACTAAACACGTATATAATACTTATATGTACAATATACTGCCATTATTCATTTAGAAATATGTAATTTATTGGAAACTATGAAAAAAATTACTTAAAAAAAATCTGTCCATTATTTTTGTAAAAGATATCAGGCATTTATGCATATTATTTTGTCCTTACTATATTTATAATATGTAATTATTTTTTATTACTATGAATAACGTTTTGTTTCATCGTCGTTACGCGAACATCTTTACAAGATTTCTGTGTCAATAGATAATAATGTTCTAGAATGTTCGCTTGTTTCCGTAAATCTACTCAAATAGGAACTAAAACATTTAGCTGTACACCTATTGAATATCGGTGAATGAATTTCATTATTTTACCAAAAATGTACATAATTAAATTTAACTAGTCTTAATTGTTCATCGGTATCAATTTCCGTTTGTTTATTTACGACATTTTTCCGATCATTATCATCTTTATATTAAACAAAACTATTGTTAATTTCAATCTTTCATATCACTCACATTCCTTGGATTTCGATTAACAAATTGGTGTTTCCATATTTGGATACTACAAGCCTTTATAGGTATGGATATTTTAAGCATTTTTATGATAAGACTGTATGTAACTAATCGTATTATTGGGGGTATTTTAATGTATGTTTGAGACAACCTGCCAGTATTGTAAGCTTATAATCATTCTTAGTTTACCTTCAGGCATGCGTCTGAATATTTTATACAAATTTATATACATACATAAATTCGTATCGGTTACATTGATTTACAAAATCAAGATTCAGAACACGTGTGTCATGGAAGAATTGCACGCACGTGGAGTTATTCTTGGAATTTAATGTATAAGCGAAGATGTGACGATTGTAATGCCTATCTAATATTTACACAACTCGTTTTCTAAACTACTGCAGTTAAAAATATAATGCTCTAACTAGAGATGAAGAAACACGATAAACATGATAAGAGAGAAGCGGATAATATTATCATCGTGGGATAAGGAAACTACCGGCAGATTGATACTATTCTCGTGCACAGTATATCAAATTGAATATATTTAGTTATCTGTGGAATCGAGAGTGTATTGTAGTTACGATTACTGCTTACACAAAACTGTACTGTGTAGACGAAACAATATTACCAACAGTGCCTAACTTAAATTCACATATTAAGGAAACCTGACACTTAGTAACCAACGAATGCGGAAAATTATGAGAAATAAAATTAATAATTTATATATAAAAATTTTATTGCTATGTTTAGGTCTCGAAACCCATATTTTATTTGCATGAAATTTCCAATACAACGACCAATATAATGACTAATTGAGAACTATGAAAACTATGACGATATATTTTTGTTATTAATAATTTTTCCGTTGTATGAAGATACTATACATCACAGCACATTGCATATATATGTAAACATACCATTGCATGTAACTAATGACCATGGCACTTGTGTCACAAATGCCGCAATTAATTCGACACAAGTGCAGTATACCTACGTTAGTATAAAACCTCAATGACACAGCAGTAACCGTTTCTTTACTATTTTAATGTGACGGCAAAATAGTAACCTAAATAACAGGTTTAAACTTACAAATAAAAATATGTAACATGTCTGCAGAATGATAATTATGTCAAGATATTATCTTCATTGTGTTTGTAATAACAGTTTTTCTAATCATGAAGCGTTTCCAGTCGGTTATTCTAAAAATTAGTTCCTTATTCAAAGAAGCATAATTAATTATGTTGTTTTAAACAATTGGTGTTTTGTGCGAGTAGTTTTATGTTTAGGGGATAACAACAGGATAAGAGATATCAAAATCATCATTAGATGAACTTAAACGCTACTCTGTATCAATCATAATAAAAAATAATAATTCAACCGGCCAAATTTAATAGACCTTTCTCTCTAAGAACGTATATAGCGCACAAGTACATATTAATGTGGGGGTTATAATTATTGTGAACATGTAATAGGGCCCACAATGTTGGTATTGTTGTTATGTTACATCTTTCTATCTAGTTTCTGTCTCTATTTGCTATTTTTAAAAAAGCCGTATAATGCATCGCATATGTTGTATTTTAAATAATTTACTGTACGGGGTGGGAATTAAATACAATAACTAGTATTTGTCGTAAAGTATAGAATGCTAGTTAATGTTTAATATTCGTTTGGGCATTTATTGAATTATCTCCGCCGCGAGTGCCTGCGCTTGGTGAAGCGAACTTTAGATGTATGTAGTGTATAATTTGCAAGCGCAACGAAAAATCATGTAATGTATTGAGTATTTGCTATACTGCTGTAACTAGTTTGTAAGTTTATATACACCAATGACACTTTTTGATCATTTTATTATAGATTTGCCTATTATTAAATTATTTTTGTAAACTTTATTGCATTTGTTTCATTTACTTTTAGTGGAATAAGTCATTGTTACGAGAAAGGTATTTATTTATAATATACATATGAATTGACATACTAAAACGTTCAATATTTATTCTTTTTATCTATGAACACATTTCAATTTGAGTAATTTTTGTCATGATATATGGCAGTTTTCATGGCACATCAATTACCTCTTCAGTCGTTTCATTCAATTAGAATGAGAATACATTCATAATATTGTATAGAAACAGCACGACGGCGGCAAAATACTGGTAAGAAAATGTAATAAGTAACTTAAGTCTATTTGGCGCTAGATGCAGTTGTAAACTTCATCAAATAGTGTATATTTTGTAAAATAATAGATACCAGCCCCGGTTTCGTATTGCTATACATATTATACAGATAAACCTATAGCTAAAAACTGCAGTAAAATCCGTTACATACTTTAAAAGATCTAAGCAAACAGAACCGCGGAAGAGACTTCATTTTATAGTATGAAAAATGGTGCATAAATAATTTGTAATATTATCATGGATTTTAGGATCATCTAACCTAAAGTATGTATGCTAAATCTATGACTTTTTCACCTTTCAAAAGCAAGATTACATGACAGCTGCTTTACAGGTTTATTTACAAAAAGTAAAACTACAAACAAATTGAAAAGTGAAATAAATTATATTATATAGTAATAAATAATGTATTATATACATAATTAGGTGTATGTATTGAATCCTAAGAATTTAATTCCAAGAATCCATTATATATCTTTTTTCATTTTGCATTGCACATAGAATTTTCTTTGCTTCTTCCTCAGTTTTATTATCATGTGTCATGAAACACTTTATTATAGTTTCCTTTATTTGTACTGCCATATTTTTTAAATCTCCAGCAACATATATTGAAGCTCCATCTTCTATCAACTTTATGAGATCCTCTCCATTTTCTATCAAGGCATCCTGTAATAAAACAACCATACTTATTAAAATAATAATACTTATTATGTGTAGTCTGAAGATAGATTTTTAAAATTATTACATATATCAGTCTATTTCATTTGTCAAGCAATTTACTTTATAAAATGGGTTTCAGTTGAAGAGTGAGATGGAAGTGAAATTACAGACATTATTTCACTGGAATAGAAACATGAGTAGTATTATCACAAGATAATGTGATGTCTTTGTTCTGTTCATGTTCATATAGGATCCAGTTACAACATATATACTGATTGGTCTTCACATTGTTTGTCATTTCAATTACATAGTTATTTACTACTAATACTATTTAAAACAAAACAAATACAATATTTTAAAATAGTTTAGTATATTAGCAATGAGATTTAGCAAATTCCAGTCAACAATAACAAAATAATTGATACACTTCAGAATAGCACATGGAAATAGAGGTTTAGTCACATTTATCTTTATTAAACATGGCAAAAAACAAGTACCTGAATATATTTGGCTCCATCGCCACTAACTCTTGAAAATGCTGTACTCAATTTATTCAAGGTTCCATTCTCTATGAAATTATTTAATTCTTGTTCATAAATAAAATCTAACAATGGGTCTCTACACCCAAAAAACAACCATGCATAACCTAACTTTGTTTCAGGATATTTGTCTTTAATGATTTGCCTCTCTTCTAAGAATCCAATGTATGGTGCTATTCCTGTGCCAGGTCCTACCATTACCAGTGGATTTTCATTATTTACAGGTAATGAAAACCCTAATAAATTCTTCCTCAGATAAATAGGTACTTTCTTATCATGATTACCACAAATACTCAAGTTCTCCATTTGTTTGTAAATATTTAAATCATTCGAAATCAACTCTTCTAGCCAGCCAGTTGTAAGTCCTTTCCTGTTATTCAGAGTGATTACTGAAAAGCAAATTTTCAATTCATTTCTATTTTGTTTGTTTGTATTTATTATTGAATATGGTCTAGGCAATAATTTAGGTAGATTTGATAGGAGAACTTCTATAGGAGGTTTACATGACTTGAACATGGTAAATATGTCTAGAATACATACACCATGATTCAAAATGTGAGTATTGTATGCCACAGAGCCTTCTTTACTGCACAGATATTCCAATATTCTCTTCTCATTTTCATTTTTTGTATACCTTGATAAGGCTAAGAGAAATAGCTGAAAAATGTAAACAGTTTAATCTTAATATAAGCAGTAAATAATTTATATATTTTTTTTACATATTAAATCTCAACAACTTTATATTATGGTTTAAAAAAAGAATAAAAGTGTAATATATAAGAAATATCACATGTAAATGTATGATAAATACCTTTTTGACAACGCTCCTTAGATCCACGCAATATCTCAGTACATGGCTTAATGTAGATTCTACAGGAATATTTGCGGGAACTTTAGCTCCTTTTGTACTGTTGATACATGACAATTTATATGGTACATTCAATTGTGTTCCTAAATTTAAACGGTCTGTTATTAAATTAACATCCTGACCGGTATTGTGTGGAATTATAGCTATTGTATCTCCTGGTCTAAAGTTAAAATTGCTGCCCTGAAAAATATTAAAATATGTCTATGATTAATCACACTAAAATATTTATTATGTTTATGTTGTTTTGTTATATATATTTGATCTTCTACCACATTATTAAAATAGTGTCACACTTTTAATAACCATTAAAACTTTAAATTTTTTTATATAGCTGATATAAAGACATGTTGTTATATACACTTTCTGCTGTACTTATATAGCGTTAATTTGTACCTGTATATCAAAAGTAACTTCATAGACGTCCTTGCAACTATTGTCAACTGCTGTAAGTCGCCTGTGATGAGAAATATTAGCGAAGAATACATCACTGGCAGCGAAAGGTAAAGGTGGCTCTATCACACTAGAATTTGTAGAAAGATTGACAAAATCCTAAAATAAAACAAAAATATTTATCAGTTATTATACATTAAAGAACTTAACTTACACACAAACAAAAAACTGTAAAAACGACTTACATCAATGTTTTTGTATTCGAGTTTTAGGTTAGTTTCCTTATGTGTTGGTAAAGTAAAATGATTCAACTTAGATGATTCCTCAATAATGTCTTGAAAATCGTACAACAATACCACCATTTTGTCATAAATTAAAATTGAAAACACAAATAAAACATACAATAAACTTTTAAAAGAATCGAGGCAACCACATTTTGTTTTATTGCGAGAGAGACAAAATGAAAATACTCAAATTGCTAGAAGTGAAATGACATTACCAAAGAATATTGACGCTCATTTTTTTCGGTTTTTCCCTTTTTAGGGAAAGGCAAAAGGACTCAGCCCATACAGCCATATTCCGGTCACTATGATAATGACATTTCTTGATACTACTGGATTGACAAGTTAACTAAAGCCGAATTACTTTAAGAAATGCTTAAAATAATGTCGCTTGTTAATATTTAATTAAATCCATAACACTTTTTTCTCGATAGGTGATTCTACCCATTAATTTGTATACTGCAGAATTTTAGATACCTACGCATTGAAACACAAGGAGTGTTGACTGACTGACTGACTAAAACTTTTTAGTAAAAAGTAATGTTGACAAATTAATAATAACAAACTAAAGATTCACGTCTACTGCACATAGGGTGACCAAAAAGAATGGTATAAAAATAAAGCTCAAAAACCTATAATAGCTTTTATTAGAAATCAACACACAATATCCGAGCCGACTGTAATCAAAAGGATTTTTATTGGGTTGTTTGGGCTATTGTCTGGTGACTGTAGCACCTGTAGCCCTGCGACTTACATAGATCTATTGTGCTCGCCCTTTTTCATAGTTCGCTACCTAGACCCGTCAGGGACAAGAATTGAAGAATGTTCTTAGGAGCGATGGTTTTTATCTCCTCGGGAAAGAGTGTAAACTTTCCAAAGGAGATATTTTGTTTATGCATGAGTGGACTGCAACTATATAGGATGTGTAGTGGCGTTTCCTCTTCAGTTTGGCAAAATCAGCAGATTTTTGTTGTGCATAGGCCTAGTTTTGCGATATGCTTGATTAATTTGCAGTGTCCAATGAGGGCTCTAGTCATCATGCATATGTTGTTTTTACTCAATAGCAATAGTCTATTGAAGTACTTGTTCGAGTAGCCCAATATTGGGGATTAATCAAAAGATACTAAAGGAATGATATTACTGTTAATTTAACTAAAATTAAACAATGTCATAGATTTACGAATTCTTATTTTAATCAAACGAATGATCAAAGGAATTTAGCAATAATTAATATTAACGTATGTAAACTTAAAAATCTTGAGTCTTCTTTGTTACTCATCATGTGCAACTGAAAACAAATTATAATATTGTATTATTTGATGAGTAATTCCAATAAAGGTATTTCTATTATGTAACTGCTAATAAAGATTCTTACTATCTATTTGAACTCCAACATCCTCAGTGTTTCCTTCCAGACACTCGGCACAAACTGTTGTTTCACATGGATCCTGCGTAGAAGTTGGGAAGGCAGGAGTCATTTCCACTGGTGGTGGCTGAAAATAACAATGTTAATAGAGTTACTACAACCAGTTAATATTTGAACATTATTGCCGTACCGAGTATCTATTGCTACTAAGCATTCGCCGCTGCTTTATTCCTGTTAATATATATACAAATATAAAATTTAGTATTAACATCATTACCTCAAGACGATATAGATACGATAAATAACAAGGATCCCAAGATGTGCAAAGTGTAGCATTATGCATCATGTCTTTTCGAGGTTCATCACCAAAGTATTCAAATGAAATCACGATATTGTTGTCAATCGCGCAGTCACTCAAAAAATCATCTACAGAAATCTGAAAACATAATATAGAATGTTTCTTAAAAGTTAAGGTAAATAGTAAAAAAATAGTTCTGAATTATTCCTATAACAATACTTTCTTGAATGATATGTTCATAAAACCGTCGGATATTTTTAAACATGGTAATAGATATAAGTTCCTATTTTAATACCAATTCATATGATATCAAAGTGGCAGTTGTAAGAGGATTACTAGTTGCACCAGATATATCGGGCAGATTACTCTATATAGTTTGTCGTCGTATTTTGTAACGAATTGTAATAGTACCAACCTTAATTTTATTTCCGCAATCCAACGTACCGTTCTGAAAATAATTATTTTCTCTATCACCGTTACCGAGACAGAACATCCAGCCTTCATGAAATGAATACTCAATAGGTGCCATTTCAGCTTCAATGCAAGGATCTACTGGGACTGGTATTGATTGTTTGCCAAAAGTACATTTTCTTTCATGCATATTCGCTTGCACCCTATAAGCATTTAGATCAGGTTCAGAATTCTCTGGACATGTGAAATAGTTACCTGAAAAAAACAGACGTGCTAAAATCTGAACCTTATTTAGTCTGTTATACATAGAAGTTTGTGAAACTTTTCAAATGTTATTCTGTTATACTAACGACCTTTGGAGCTGTATCAAAAGCTCAATATGAGAACTTGATATTCATTCTGTGAGTATTTACTTACTATGAGCATTTGACGACCTCGGTGGTCCAGCGGTCTAGTACACCGCTTTACGACCGATGGTCGCGGGTTCGATTCCTCGCACGGCACAAACATTTGTATTCATGAGTATGATTGTTTGTATCGGTCTGGGTGTTTTCTATATATAATATGTATGTATTTACAAAAAAAAAAAAATATCTATGTATTTGTATCAGTTATCTAGTACCCATAACACAAGCTTTAGCTAGCTTAACTTGGGTCTAGATGGCGCTGTGTGAATTGTCCTAAGATTATTATTATTATTATTATTATTATTATGAGCGAATAACAAAGAGCTGTTGTCTTAATCATTCGATTAAAAAATAATAATGACATTAAAATTATTTTATTAATAATATATAGCATTTCTGTTTCAAAGACCGTTACAGATAAACATCTGTACAGCGATATCCGTATATCGATATTGCTCTCATGCTCATAATCTATAGCGACGGACGGAATAGATTTATTAGAATGCTAGCGACTCGTGCCGGCTCCCACGAATGCATTACAAATCTTTGAATTTCTCGACTTGTTCTACACTATCACACATGTATTATACATATAAACCTTCCTTTTGAATCACTCACCCTATTGCTGAAAACTGCATTGAAGTCCGTTGTGTAATATTAAGATATATACGAGCAGACAGCGGCGGGGAATTTGATTTATACTATGTAAATATAAATAAAAAACTTACCGTTCTGTATTATATAAATAGTTTTCTTTCGTGAACTAATGACGGTTCTCACTGTTAAACCATTGCCGCCACTTTTAATGTTCTCCATAAGAACTTCTTGAGCTGCACGCTGTTCCCTTGACCATTTAGCGGCTTCTTCAGCTAAAATCTGTCTACTTACTTTACCCGGAGATTGAGTTGACTGCAAACATATAAATTTTAAGTTCACGTATTTATAAATTGTAATATTATCTAATTCAATATTTAGGCAAATTTTGAAAGGGAATAAAACTTTACATATTATAGTTTATATATTAGAATGCATAATCTATATTACTGTGAAGTTTCATTAAATTTAATTGAGTAGTTTTTGCGTAAAACAGTATTAGACACCCATCCATCCATTTATACTTACAAACATTCGCGTTTATAATAATAGGAGGAATCTATTATTATTTTAATTAATTATAAGCATTATCCAGTGTTTTTATTATTATTGTGGTAAATTAGGAGTAATTTTATAGCATTATTGATACACGAATTAAATAAAAACCTGTGGTGGGTTTTCCATTATAACGTGAGGACGACCAAGAGTGTGCTGCCATATTAATTGTGCTGCTACTTTGTGTTTAGAGCTATGGTGTAGAGGTTGAATCTGCAGTATACCATACCAGGCCAGCTCTCTATAAACACTGTCTGGAAGGTAGCCGGTCTAGAAAAGTAACATTCAATAATTAAATATTAGTTATTATAGAAAAATCAACTCATCGAATTTTGTTCAGAAGATATAGTCGACCAAATACTTTAAATAAAAAACCCCATGCTGAAGCAGTTTTTAATACCTGATAGGGATTAATTGAAATTAACAAACAGTAATCATTTCACAGTTCGATTTAAGTAAACACACTTTACAAATGAGAATGTTGGAGTTCAAAAATCATATTCTAAAATACTTACTGGCATAAAATCCATATGCCACTGTAATAAGTTAAAAAATAGTAATTAATATTAGATAGTTAGATGATAACGTATTTGTTTAATGATATATTTCACTGATTAATATAGGTACCTCTTCTTCAGAAGGTTCTGTTGCACCAAATTCTGAAAATAATTATGGGTATTCATGAAACTTAGTTATACCCATGCGAGTTTATATAAAATAAATGTAACGGTCCATTTAATACTAGTATAGATAAAGAAAACTACAAACCTTCATCATCTATCATTACGTCAGATTGTGCAAATATAATCTAAAATATAAAAATAATGCGATTAAATTTATTGCACAGATTATTACAAATTATTGGCTGATTTTATGTTTTACGTAGATGAAACTTAATTACTTATCTAACAAAATGACTCATAGTATGCAAATATGATAGACATGATAGGCTTCAAATAAATATCCTTTAATTTTTAATAAAAGGTTATATAATACTAATAATAATTCACCTGCCAAACAATTACGTAATAAATTAGATTCACAAAACTAGAGCCCATTTGCATTAGAAAATGTAGATTCAATAAAACCAATGTAAACTAACAGTTGTTTTTCCAAATTACTGTTGTTATCTTAAGTCAGCATTTTTAGTAATAAAATTGGAATCACTAGCTATATTCATTACTTTGTACTTGTAGTAACAAGTCCAATTATTTTATGGCGATAAAATATTGTTTGGACCAATTACGTGATAAGAAATAACTTTAATTAAATTAAAGAGAGTTGCAGTTCTACACATTGTTAAACATTACTATAAAAATACTTATTTATTAGTCTTGTGATTTTTATTAACAAGTAGGTGTTTAGGAACCAAATAGAATTTTGTAGTTAATATTTCATAACCTCCTAATTTAACAAAATATAATAATAGAGACGACGTATACCAATTGTATAGCATCACTAAAAATCCCCCAATCGTCAAAAAAGTAGTCACCCGATATTTGTATCTTTTCTTTTATAAGTCGTCTGTATCTACTGTCTAAATAATATGTCTGGCAACATTAAACAGAGTTTATGTATCGGCTGATCTGAGATGAATGTATTGATCTGAAAAAAATACAGTCTCTATGATCTGTACTGTTCTAAACCTGTAATTTATATTTAAACGAATTATTTGTATTTTTTCAATTATAAATAATCATGTCCTAATGCCAGTTTAATATTTCGTTGAATGTGTTTCAAATAAATAAAGTGATAACGAAACAGGAATGATGAATGCGTTAGATAAACAATTGACTGATTTAAGAATATATGCAAATGAATTGGACTCGAAATTACAGGATGATATAAACGCTGCGAAAAGGAAACCGTCGATCCCTCCGAAAAAAAATAAGGCACCGCTGCCGCAAATACCTCAAAGTTACACTGTGAAATCTGCCTGTGAGCCGTCGTACTCCTCAAGACTCGAGTACGGCAGTCGAGCGAGTTCTACGTACTCTAATTTAATACCCGTGAAGAGTTGTATCGTGAGAAATACAGCCCGAGCGAGGAGCGGTGATGTACTTCTGTACAGTAACTTATTGCCTCCAGGAGGTACGAACCACGTTTACTCCAATATATCACAAAGGAATGTGGCTGAAAGCATTTACGGAGATCGAGATGCGAGATCCGAAGTGTCCAGGGTTAGTGACTTAGGTGCGCAATCGAATTATAGTGAATTGAGACGTCCTGGTTCCGCGTACCCGCCTTCATCAGCGTCTGTTAATGCTCAGGACTTCTCTACGTATGGTGGATCACAGACATCTTCAACATATGAGTCACTGTATGAGCCTATAAACCCTAGACCTTGCAGCCAACTATCAGGGACATCATTGTATGCCGGTTATGTTGGAACAACTACGGAGCCAACACCTGAGCCTGATGAGGAGTTATACTGCGGGAATTGTTACAGATGTGGTGAGAAGATCATGGGTGAGACTACAGGATGCACTGCTATGGACAGGATTTATCATATTAAGTGCTTTTGTTGTCAACATTGTGGAATAAACTTACAGGTATGCATTATTAGATCTTTATAAAATTTTATGTTTTAATTTTATATTGTTCTTAGTATGGGAACAATATAAGAGAAATATAAACATAAAATTTCAGCTTATCACTGTAATAGTCTTCATGTATCACATGTGACTTCATGTACTTAAATTATGAAACAACAAATATTTCTATAACCTTAAACACTATAACATGTCACAACATAGGTGTTTTAAATTGTATGTGTTATCAAACATATGTACTAATCTATGGTTATTTCATTTTAATTTCAATCCAATACAATATGCTTATTCAAAAGTGTTTAAATGTATATTTGAATAAAGAATTTTGTATTATATTCTATGCATTGATATATCTAAATGACCATCTCACTTTTGCAAATATGCTCATTTATTATTTCATGGTACAAGGCCACATGTGATTGCTGTAGCTCTTACAATGCCCCTTCAGTAATGAAACTAAATATTATTTAAGGTAACAAAAATAACTAATAATTTTAGAAGTAAAAATCTATTCAGTTAATTTATGTTATTTTATTTTTCGGAGTTACCACATGTATTTCTATTTTTCTTAAATATGATACAATGCACAATATCCCAACATGAATAGCCTCTGTAGTTTCTACAGGTATTTACATTCTTGCCTGACAATTTTCTTTTATATACTGCAATTAAATCATTGAGCATTTAGCAGATTTCTTGTGAGTGTCTGTTGACAGGAGAGAAATATTATTATTGTACAAATTATTTAGATCTGAACACATGAAGTGATTGCTGTTTAAAATTCTCACTTCAAAAAGACTTCATATATAATAATTTACATTAATGAGGTATATTGTTCATGTGTCTTTTTCTTCAGTTTTGAGGAGCAGGATTGAGTTGGCTTTTACTAATGGTCACCCATTAGTAACCACCATATTAGGCCACCTCTATAATCAAACAAGACAGGAATCTGTCATTTTATTTACAAACATTAAATATTGTAATACCTATGTATACTTGTGTATATAAATAAATTATATACTATATTGCCTGCAAACCAGCCTGTGTACCTACTTCCCACATTGTATGTTTCTTTTTCCTTTGTGTATGGGTGGTAATCTGTTAATGTTGGCAATAAAGGTTTTATCTATCTAAATATTTAAAAAAATATCTTCCAGGGCCGCCCCTTCTACGCGGTACAGTCGCGTGCACTTTGCGAACGTGACTACCTCGAAACATTAGAGAAATGCTGCGTCTGCGGTGATCCGATCCTCGACCGCATCCTCCGGGCAACGGGTAAACCGTATCACCCCCGCTGTTTTACGTGCGTCGTATGCCAAAAGAGTCTAGATGGCATCCCGTTCACAGTGGATGCTGTTAATCGCATACATTGTATTGAGGATTTTCACAAGAGGTATGATACTATTACAACAATAATAATATGAATTGTTCAATTGAGGACAATTCATCTAGTACTAAGCTAAGCAGAGTTTGTGTTATGTGTGCTAAACAAGGGATACTTACATTTTTTTCCATGTGATTGGTAGTCATGATAACACTCATGCATTGACAATCCAGAGCACGAGTAATATGTCATGCCGCATATCTTCTAATATTACTGCCTACAATTAGAATACAGCATACATATATGTATTCCAATTGTAGGCATTAGTATTACAGGAAATGTGAGACAGAGCAAGCTACTTGGCGGTAAAATAACTTACTTAAATACTGTATTTTAATTCAAAATTGAAATATAGTAAATTATATTATTATTTAATATGTAATTTATTTTAACACAGAACATAAGCATCACCAGAGCAGATTCGTTACTAATCTAAAGCCTTACTTTTTTTACCTTTATTCATGTGTAGGTCTATTACATACTCTTATCATATGTTAAAATCCATCGTCACTTTGGAGTGCTTTCGAGCTAAGAAAAACTGACAAGCTCTTAAAATATTCCTTTCAAATGAGCTTGTACAAGATTTATGTATTTTTTAATAAAATTAGGGAGAATATCATGACCAGCATATGCTATTGTATTTTTGTTGAAAGGAAATAATGTAATCAGTTACCGTAACCGGAAACTTTCCTCCACAGATATGCGCCCCGCTGTGCTCGTTGCCGCGAGCCTATAGTCCCAGAGGGGGGCGCAGAGGAGACTGTTCGCATTGTCGCACTTGACAAGAGTTTCCACATCGCTTGCTACGCGTGTGAAGACTGCGGGGCTTCCCTCTGTTCCAGGCAAGAAGGACGGGGTTGCTACCCTCTGGACGACCACCTATACTGCAGAGAGTGCAATGCGAGACGTATTCAAGATTTGTCCAGGAATATTAATTGAGGAGGTAATCAAGGAATTCTTAAATGTGGTCTGCGACCCGAAGACTCAATTTGAAGATCTCAGTCTGGTTTTTTAATGTAGAATTTGTTAATCAGTGTGATTGATTCAGAAGCAATGTAAGCCATGTTTTGAATGTAGAAATGTAGCTGAAGAATATAGAAACTGAATGTATGCCTAACTTGAATAATTAATTTTGTTGTCAGTTAGAAGTACTTTTATGTACATATGAATATATATTGTATCATAGTTATATGATTAATCGTACACTGCAGGACGCCAGCGAGCGAGTGCTCCACAATGGCATACCAGGTTGCGCTTCCAATCGATTCCCTGTCCAATTCAAACGGGAATCGAGGTTTGAATCCCTAATGATGCCCTCAGATATCTCGTATCCATCAGGTAAAAGTTGGCTCTTATCCGCTCAATAAGTCCTGCGGGTTTGGAGTGCACTCTGCACTCGGTCTGATTTCGTACAGTGAAGCTGTAAAGGCCAGCCGCGGCGAACAGCGTTCTCTTGCGTTATTCTATCTATTGCTGAAATCTGCATTAAAATACGTTACGTAATTTAAAAGTTATAAGTGAAAAGACAGTGGCTGCGACTTTTATTGTACTATGTTGTACAATAAAGTATCACAAGCAAACAAATGAGATTTTGAGCTAGGTACGTCCTCTATTAAGCCTCTGTAGCAGGACACTTGTTGGACCTAATAAATGTATTGACGATGTTAGCATGTGATGGTTGTGTGAATATCCTGTTAGTTCCTTAATATTCAAGATATATTATTGTGATTTATTTTAAGTTGTTTACTTGACATATAGTTGAATAAATATTATGTAAAAATATAAAGGGCATGAGGTCGATTATATGAGACCCATCATACCTCCGTATAGACATTAACCTGTAGTTTTTAAGAAGCCATAAAATCCCGTTTTGTCTAATGTATGGAATTTATTTAGAAATTAATAATGCAAATATATATATATATCGATTTATCTACATTATACAGAAAATATTAATAATCTTCAATGATAATAGGAAATGTATAATTTTATTAAAAGAAACTGTAATCCAGTAGTACGTTTTTGTATATATTTTTTCGTTTGTGTTTTGTTTGTCATAACGAATTTTGGTCATTTTACATGAAACTGTATGCAGTTTTATTTTGGCAGTATGCTACCAAATACTATTCCTTGATAGTAGGTAGTTATAAAAAACAATCGAATGTAATAATTATATATGCATGGTAGATGACATACATTCCTATACGCATTTACATAATTATAGAAAGGCTGTGTAGCTCTGACCACTTAATTAGCAATTTATTTTACAGTATTATTCCTATATAGGATCCTATATATAGGACTTCAATGTGATTTATTATAAGGTTTGTAGCTCTTATGTTTATAGCAAATAGAACTGTATGTGCTCTTAATACAAAAATGTTTATTAGTGTATTTTACTGACAAGAATCCCAGATATAGAGTTGATTAATGTCGCTAATTTAACGAACGAAGAAATTGAATTGAAAATCGTATATATTTCGAGAAGGGAAAAGACGGATATTAACATATAAAAAATACGCAGATGTATGAACATCGAATTATACCTTGTATTCTAGTTTAGGTTTTATTTTGCGCAAACAACTTGATTAACTAGACAATAGACGAATTTGTATACGTTTATGTAAAAATTTTATTACGAAAATCATGCCGTATGAATATTGGCTTCTAGTTGTATGTTCGTATACCAGTTGGAGCCTTTAGTTCATGGTAGTACTCTGTCTAGTCGTATTTCTATATCTGCGGATGAAATCTTTCTTGCAGTGCCACAAGTAGTCGTCGCGGTTTCAAGTTATCCACGTCTAGAAAACGCCACCGCTATTATTATGTGCTTAATGCTTAATAAAAAAATAATTAAATATTATTGTAAAAACTAAACTTTCCATTTATTTTATTTTAAAAAGCATAGTTGTACTGTTATCCGCCATAACTTAATTGCAATAGTTTATTTATTCTAATTATTCAAAACTCTTCATCATGTATAATCACACTTGTGGCATTGTAATTTTACTGTAAAATAATATTTTCCAAGTATTAATTTCTAGCAGTATTATTTTGTTTGACTGCTCAAAACCAAAAAAAGCAATTTCAACATAATTGGCATTTTTATTATCCTGTACTTATGTTTTAATGTGTATGTAATAGTGCCATGTTTATTATTATTAGTATTAATTTGTTGCATATGTGCTCATTGTAATCTTTTTTTTTACATTTTTACACGATTTTAGTATATAAGGCTATGTTATTAATCACGTACTTCTTAAGACCAAATTAATGGATAAAATTTTTAAACATTGTTCTTTAAATGTGCGTGTAGTAATAAAAAAAAATCCAATTTTTTTTGGATGGAATATTAAAATATTGTATTATTTGTTTCCTTTTTGACATTTAATAATGAATGTTTCTGTTGCGGAAGTCTTTCATTGTGTTGGCAATGTATCATCATTGTATACTGTCATACTATGTGTGTAGAGTTAGATACATTAATATCTGAAACTAATTCGCGTTTCCAAAATACTTAAGTTTTTGATTAAAATTAAACAAAAACACCTATAGATTTCAATGGATGAGAATGGAATGGTGTATCCGTTTACGGTAACGGTGTACGCTGGCGGGGCACTAGTGGAGAATGATAAGATGACCATGTGGTCAAATCAGTTAGCCCATCGTGGCAAATTGACCAGTAATATCACGATGGTTTCCAGGGGGAACCGCGTGGAGCTCAATCTGAGAGTACATTGCTAACAATTGAATCATCGGCCCACATTCTAACAATCCATCCTCCCCCAACAGATATAGATTACATTATTAGACAGTAAATTGGGCAGAAATTAAAAAAAAATACAAGTAGGTACACCCGTACCTCAGATAAGATTATAATATTACGCCCGTACGAAGATGCTGTCGCTAGCGCGCCGGTGAGCCACACTTATTTATAAAATAAAACAGTATAATCAGAATTTAACTTTTATTTTTTATGTTACAGTTCGTCTTCTCAAGCACTTACACTAAGCACTTGCTCAAAGGTCACCTTAAAAAACCTAAACTACTTACATCGACAAGAAGACTTTGGCTTCTTATAAGAAAAATACAATACTCCATCTCTGTTGGCGACGTAAATTATAATTAAACATGACTGCATTTGGTTGAAACTGACTTGAATTAATGAAATCGTTGCTACAACATATTTCCTGAATACGTAGTCAAATTGTATATCAAAACAAATATAAAATATATACTACAATACAAGCAAATTGATTAAAAAGTCCAGCCATCTCTAAATTCAACATTATTAATAGTACTCGAGAATGGTCACCGAAACCAATTCAAACTTTTGACTAGGTTTAATATGTTGCGTTTGATAACAGCTAATAGAGTGATCATCTTTCATATATAAATATATTTAGGAACAAGCATATTTGTGTGATGAACATTTAAAAGACTGAAGCAAATCATTACACAAATGACTTGTCAATCGCTGAAGATTCTACTGTCCGTATCAGCCCGTGAATGTTTAGGCAAATCTGGATTTGGAATTTAGCGTTAGCTATATCTCTCATTCAACGTTTTATAATCCTCGGGAGTAGCAACGCATGAGAAGCGTCACAGTATACTCTGTGTCCATAGTATGTTTAATAGATAAAAGTTGATATAAAAAAAACCTGTGCACGTGTGTAGTGAAAAATGGCCAGCTCGCTCTATCTCTCACTATAATTCATTTTAATATTGTGTTTACATATTACAATATTTTATGTGCACATTTGTAATTGTCAAGTACAAGTATATTAGTAATATATTAATACATTCGTGATTGTACAAATAACTATATTTAACAATCACCAGGAGCTTATGTTATGATGTTAATAACAATTCTCAATTGTAATATACAGTGAAACCTGGTTAAGTAGGGACTTGGTTATTGAGAAACCTTTATTATTGAGAGTTGCGATGAGGTCCTGGTACTTTTTTTATTGAATTCGAAGATTTTTTCGATGTTTACCTCTATAAGTGGGACTCCATAGCTCAATACTCTCTATAAGCGAGACAAATTTATCAGTTTGTTTACAAACATTATAATGTCATTCGCACATGTTTTGTTTTTCAGTACTATTTCAGGCTTTTCCACTTCTAAAAATGGAATAATGATGAGACTACTATAATTTTAAACCGGCTTAATTGGATAACCGGATTAATGGAAACCTTTAATAATTGGTACATAATTCTTGGTCCTTTGAGATCTCAATTAACCAGGTTTCTCTGCATTAACGTACATTAAAATCGTTGAAATTGCGATATCTATGAACCACTTCACATTTGAAGACAAATTATATTGTGTACGGTTCGTAATTACGAATATGAAATGGTTAGTACAAAATCAGTTTCAAACAAGAATTATTAGTAACATCGTTACATAATTGACATATAAAAGAATTGTCACACCTCTATTACAAAGTATGTTGAAAATAATTAATGTCATTCTCCATTGTCAAAACAGCATATTATAAAAATATATATATGTATATAATGTTGGTATTTGTGATATCAACAAAATGTATGTAATGTATGTAATGCTATTGTTGTCTCCAATTTCCTTATGTATAAATTATACTTCCATAACTATACTTCGATAGCGGTGAATAATGAATAACTCGATGAGTTTCTAAAAGGTAAACATTTCAACGTTTCACTTTCCTCTACGCATTCCTCTTAAAGAGATTCGTATTATCAATTTTAGCCAGTCTATTAGTTTCTATTCAGTGCCCTATATTATTAAAAAACCGCTTAGCGGTATGAGGGCGCATTAAACTCTAGTATACTATAGAAAAATTATTACAAAGCGATACTTATGTATACTCAAACACACAAATAATATGCACACCGACAGTCTACACTGGAAACCAATTCCTATCAAATTACATTGGATTGCGCTTATTCACTTTTTTATACTCTTCAATTATACTCAAGCAACATATAAAAAATTAACAAAGGTCACAAAATCAGTCCCTTCTCTGAATAAAGGAACTAACTGATTTTGATTTTGATTTATCCTGTTTAGATATGATTATGTTTCAGTGAACAGTACAAAAAATGTTTTTTATGAATTCGATATTTAAATAAGTCTCCAGAGTCGACCTGCTGAACTTAATAATTTAACTGAAATTATTCTGTAACCAAAAGAAAATATATATTTTAGGTTTAATTGTAGAATGCCTAATTCTCAAAATGGTAACAGTTTTTTTTATTTAAATTATTCTTTATTTGAATAATTCTTTTAAACATTTGGATATGTTATTTCAAGCATAAATAGTAAAAATAACTAAACAAACAAATTTATAGTTTCTTCAATTCATTGTGGAAATATTTAATTATTTAAATAATAATTAAATGTATTTATATCAACACCTTTCAACATCTATAAATTAAAGAAAACATTTTAAGGCGTTGATTTTATAGAATTGAGAATTGGGCATTCTGTGTATAAACAATATTATAATTACATTAATATTACACTTATAAATGTTATATTACATAGGAATGTAAGACACTGAGTGTCGTTATAAACATCGAATTGTATGTTCACAATAACTTCATTTGCATATTATACACATTTATACAAATACTTGCTTACACCTTAAGATAAATCTAGTACACAATAAAGCTTTAAAATTTGGGATTCGAAATAAAAATACTTGCACCAGCGTACAGTACAAACAAACATGGCCATAACATATCAATAATATTCATTGTATCACTTATTAGAGCTAAAGACTTCCAATTAAAAAAAACTATAACAATTTGCAAGTGAAATAATATTATGCAACTCGATTGTAGTCTGGAAAAGGTTGCAATATAAAAGTATATTAATTAATTGATAAAATACCCAAAGATACGATATTTTACTTTCTTCCAAGCCTTAAAAAAAATCAAAACCATCGACAAATATATGTATTTAACTGCTCATAAAACTACATAAAGAAGCCACTTGATATATATAAAGATACTTGATCAATCTGTAAGTTACATTTATATATTTTATCACAAATAGTCAAATAGCAATACTGCCTTTATGCAAGGAGAAAGTGTATTAACCCTACTACCACCAAGCAAACAATATAAACTGTGATTAATAATAATAGTCTCAGGACAATTAACACAGCGCCGTCTTGACCCAAGTTAAGCTCGCTAAAGCTTGTGTTATGAGTACTAGACTACTGATACAAAAAAAAACTATATTTTTATCTCGTAAATACATACATATTATACATAGAAAACACCCAGACCGATATAAACATTCATACTCAAGAATACAAACGTTTGTACAGCGCGAGGAATCGAACCAGTGAACATCTGAAGTGAGGCGGTGTGCTAAACCGCTAGAACACCGAGGCCTTCAAGCTTGATTTAAATAAACTTTAAGACTTGACAGTTTCCCAATATAATTCCTTCTCCATGTGATTTTGGGTATTTTTTCAATTATCATCAAAAAACAAATACATTTTTGTTTTAATTCAAAACTATATTATACAAATGTATAGTAATTAAAACTGCAAAATAAATTGATCACTTTATATTGTCGTCAGGTTCACGGTGCTTAGAGCAGAATAATAACTAAGTTAGCATCTTAATTATATTTACAAATATCCAACATTCATGTGGTATTAATTACCACACATTCATTATATTGAACTGAATGTATACATGTATAAACATGTACTTTATTTACAAGAGATCGAATACATGTTACATTTTTTTTGCAAAATAAATATCAACAAATTGATGAAAATACTAATTTTATATAGTATAAAATGAAGTCGCTTCCGCCCTCAGTTCTCTTAGTTGTTTTTAACTACGCAACGGATTTTAATGCAGTTTTTAGCAATAGATAGAGTGATTCAAGAGGAAGCTTTATATGTACACCCGTGCGAAGCGGGACGAGTAGTTGTAAATTAAATATTACTACTAATAGCGGATTTTATTAAATTTGTAATATAATAAGAACATTGAGTATTCCGCTATTTTTTTAGAGCAAATATCAATTGGACACCAAAATCGATATACACATTTTTCATTTTAAATATAAAGTACATAGGTCTGGTTTACTCATAGAAACTTCTACGATCATACCTCTTATTCCATTAAAGAAATAGTCTCTTATAAGTTGTAGTAAACACACTACAAGATTGTAGTGAACATAAAAATTCGATTGTTTCAATAAACTTAAACACAACAGACCTTCATGCGAAAATGGCTGAATAATTTTTTTTTTTGTAGTGGTGTTGTTCTTGTCTATAGGCAATAGTCAACTGTTTTTATAACATTCATTATGTACCATGTGATAAAGAAATAATTTAAATTGAAATCATTTCCCATGAACATACTAAGCAACTTGTGATTACACTTATATAAAAAAAAATCAAATGGTATGGAGGAATATAACATCTTTGATTGACACAATATACGTTTCTATATCGTAAATGACTGGAAACAAAACAAGATATAGTCAGTATTGAAAGCAGTTATCTAGCAACAGGAACTGTCGAAAGTATTACAAAATTGGCAAGTTCTCGTAACACAATGTGAAAACAATCAAAATTCACCTGAAACTACTTTTCCGTCGCTCCGTTTTCTCAGTTTCCGGGTTCCATTCGATATCATCAGGGTCATCACCCTCGAAGGCGGCTGGTGAGAGAGGTGACAGGGGGGATAACGTGATAGACCCCGATCGGGGCTCCGATTCGGGTCCCTCGACTGGGACATTGGGGTCATCGGTAGCGTTGGGGTCATGGAGATAGTCACACCATGCGTGACCGGGCGGCATCGCAGACACCATGCTCGCGTAAGTATCTTCTGTTAGTGGGAACTGCCGCGGCGTGTACGGTCTCACTGTCTGAAATAAACAATATGTTATGAGGTTATTCGCAGATGTATTGTTAGTAAGATGAGCCTCTTCTAATGGGATTAGGTTATTTGTAGAAATATTTTTAGTAAGATGAGCCTATTTTTATTTATAAAATTCCATGCTCTCGGTGAATATTACAGTATGATACCACACCAAGGAATAAATGTATGCAGTATATACATTAATAGTAATAATAATTATGTTAACAATAATAGAAAAAAAAATAGGAAACAGCAACTATACAAATGGCAATAATCTAGATATGAATATCTCTAATACTGTGACTCCACCGGCCTTATTACAAAAAGATAAATCTGGTTTAGCACTAGTAATAAACCATTCACCAATGTATTCCTTATTACAAAATGAAGTTTATCTCTAAATCGTGATTCGTCTATGGTCTAAAGTTAGACCTGCGATGCCCCTAGTTTAACAGTGGTCTAAATGCAAAAATACAAACTCCATTTTAAAAATTCTATTGTTAGTTGTAGTTTTTCGAAAAATATTTTAACTAAATTAAAAATATATTAACTAAAAATATTTAAAGCAAATTTTACGACAATAAAAACATATAAAAGACGTTAATTGTTATTTTTTCACTCATTTGACTTTGAAATAGTCATCATTCGAACGATCCAATAAAAATATCTCGCCGTTCCTTTTCTCCGTATAGGACTCCTACTTATAATTTAAAACTGATTTTCAGCCTAATAGTACATTAATAAATATTATATATTAATGAAATAGTTATAATGAAGACATAGATATATAGAAATAAATTTATTTTTAGTTTATACATTTTTCTTTGAACTAATATTATTTTTGATCTTTTCAGTTTTCTGGTAAAATGGAACGTAATTCTACGGTGACAGACAGGAGTGACTGATTTCTGTATGGAATACATAATGAACGATTTAACTGTAGTACTAAGTAGTCCTCTGTTAGATCTGGATTCGTAATAATGTTAGGTTTATTCCAAGTATTAACTTTAGGAATGGTTTAAACCACGACCATTTAGACCACGTTTCGTCCGAGTTTTAACAGATTTTTTGTAATAAGACCGCACAAGACTAATATTGTGAAACTCTGTGGCCGTACGGTTAAATATATAAAGTGGAAAAATTACTGATACCTTATTAAGCATACAGAGGATGAAGCATACGGCATGATCAGCATATAAGGTTCTGCACTAGGGCAGGGCAAATAATTTATGATGACTATGTTATTAGCAGAGATACTGTCAGTAAGATGATTTTATGTGATGGTTATTTGCAAAAGTATTGTTAGTAAGACAATCCTGTTTTTATAGGATTATGCAAATGTATTCATAGTTAATTGAGCCTATTTTTATGTGATTAGTTTATTTGCAGATATGAATACAAATGTATGTACCGATGCATCGAACCCACACCGTGTCCATCGGAAATGAAGCAGTGTGCTATATCGACGATCCTACCGCGACCATCGGAAAGCGGTGTGCTAAAAACCAACGAGACCGTTAAATGATAGTAGTACTCGCCTCGTGGAGTGTGGGCGGCGTGGGCGGCGAGGGCGGGGCGGGCGGCGTGGGCGGGGGCGGGGGCGGCGGGAGGTCCGGGGGCGGAGCGCCCACGTCCGAGGTGTGTCGGCGCGGTCTCTGGCGCCGCGCGTACCGCGCCCTTTCGCGACCTTCTGCACGCACGTGGCGCTCCCGCACAGCAGCCTCCGATATGTCCTCCTCCTGCGTCAGGTAACGGCACTATTACAAAAAAATATACCTTACTATACTGTGTAGCATGATGCGGTTGACAGATACTTTAATGATACATTTAACAATTGCTACATTTAAGTTAATATAGTTATTAATGATTTAACATATTACGAATGTGGTACAGCTGAAATCTAAGTCATAATTTGTAAAACGCGGCAATTTTTAAGAGTGAAACGAAACGTTAATTGCACTGTCACCACACCATGCTACAGCGCACATGGTATAGTGGTAACATAATTTAACTAGGTCTGTTACCATTGTTTACACACCAGGTCACATGTTGAGCGAAATGTGGTTAATTAATTTTGATTTCGTTACAATAATATTGGATGGCCCCGGGTAATTCGCGACTGACTTTCGGCAGCTAAGGGAATAAGCCAAAAGTAACACATACATATATTAAAAATCTTTTAAGCATTTTAATCACCTGTCTAGTATCGATAACACCAGCTTAAGAGACTTTACTAAGCTTAAGATTAAATTTTAATATATTTCATTCCTAAGATAGGAATGTTTTTTACGTAACGTACGTGGAAACTTTTTATACGTACCATATAATAAAAACAAATTGGTCTGTAAAATGTTAAGTTACTAGCTACTTGCCCCGGCTTTGCACGGGTGTACATGTATTATATACATAAACCTTCCTCTAGAATCCCTATCTATTTAAAAATACTGCTTCAAAATCCGTTGCGTATTTTTAAAGATTTAAGCATAGGGATGGACAAACAGCGACAGCGACTTTGTTTTATAATATGTAGTGATTTAAATTAAAATATAGCTAAATATAATAAATTATTACCTCACTCTCTACAGATATTCTGTTGGTTGACTTCATAATACCATTATTCAGCGGCACTTCAGGTATATCCAAGAGTCGCCATCTGTAATAATAAATATGAATATCTTAATCCGATTACTTGAAAGACAAAAGTGCAAGGTAATAGTTGTGCATACACGGGATCAGACAGAGACATATACATACACACATACACATAAATACCTACACAATGAAAATAAACTGTCTTTAAAAAAAAACATCTAAGTTTCTTGCCAGTTCTCAATTGAATCTGTACACTGAACTGGACGATAGGGAAAACAACTAATACAAAAAAAATATGTTTATAAGCGGCTAAAATGTCCTGGTATTATTTTAGTTTGTTTTAATATTTATTATATTATACTAACTTAGACAGTATTGCAATAAATAGCCAAATGTTTTTGGCTATTGCGTAACTGTTTTTTACCTTTTCTATTGTTTACATTAAATTTAAATAAATAAAATTATATAACCATATTAGTAGTCTAGTAACCATAACACAAGCTCTCCTTGCGCTATACACAAGCTTAACTTGGCGCTATGTTAATATTCCAGGGTTATTTTTAATATATTAGCTTAGAAATGTATATGAGTGAGTATAACGGGATATTTACTTGGGCGTGATGATCTCCTTGTATGTCAGAATCTGTGGTCGCGTGTTGGCTGCGATGCTCTGTGGGATCACGATGTTATCAATATCATACGACGGCCGTCGAACTCTGCTCTCTGTGCTCGGACGACCACGGCGACTGTAATACAACAATCAGGAAATAGAAATAGAAAAAAATTAAATCTATACTAACATTATAAAGCTGAAGAGTTTGTTTCTTTGTTTGAACGCGCTAATCTCAGTAACCACTGGTTCGAATAGAAAAATTATTTTTGTGTTGATTACTCCATTTGTCGAGGAAGGTTTTAAACTATACAACATTACACTACGACCAATAGGAGCGGGGCTGCAATGAAAAATATTGCAAAAGTTGGGAAATGAAACGCAGGCAGAAGTCGCGCGGGTCGACTAGTAAACTAATGTGATTTAAGAAATATGACTTCCAAAGTCCTTATAAGTACTTTTGAATAGTAATTTTTTTTATATTCTACCACCAGTAACGTTACGCTGGCGGGACACCAGTGAAGGATGATAAGATAAGCAGGAGGTCAGGTTATTTAGCCTATCATCGCAAATTCACCAGAAACTTATCACGACGGTTTCCAGAGGAAATCGCTTTCAACAAAAATTTCACTGAAGTAGAAATGTTGCTTCATTCCAAAAGACATTATAAAAAATAGAAATAGAAATAGAAATAATCTTTATTCAAATAAACTCATTACAAGCACTTTTGAATAGTCATATTTTGATTCTACCACTCATTCGGAATGCAGATTCATCACAAGAAGAATGAGCAAGAAACCTTGTGTGTTGCTCTTTTTAATAGATGTTTTTTTTTTTTATATAAATAATTACAGTATAACAAGTAGGTAAGAGGGATGCGATAATCAACATAGAAGTCGCTACGCACTCATTATTAATGTAATCAGATAATATTGTCAGTGCTATGGATTTAAAGTTTTTCTATAAAAACATTATTATCGTTAACGAATTCTTCAATTTTATAGTAAGCTTTTTTGCAAAGGAATTGTTTTATTTGACATTTAAATCTTTTTTCTGGCAGATTTATAACATACTCTGGTATTTTATTGTAAAACCTTACGCAATTGCCATAAAACGAATTACTAACTTTAGCCAAACGACATTTAGGTAAAATCAGTTTGTTATTGTTACGTAAGCTTTTATTAGTGCAATCACTAACTCTTTTGAAACTGTCTATATTCTTTCTGGCGTAGATGATATTTTCATAAATGTATTGAGAAGCAACGGTGAGGATATTTGATTCTTTAAAACACTCTCGCAATGACTCCCTGGAACCCATACCATAAATGGAGCGAATGGCCCTCTTTTGTAAAGTAAATATTGTATTTATATCAGCTGCTTTGCCCCATAACAAAATACCATACGACATAATGCTATGGAAATAGCTAAAATAGACAAGTTTAGCCGTTGCCACGTCTGTTAATTGTCTGATTCTTCTTACCGCATAAGCGGCAGAACTAAGTCGACTCGCCAATTTAGTAATATGAGCACCCCATTGCAACTTGGAATCTAATGTGATACCTAGAAATACAGTATCGTCAACAAAATTAATAGATTTATTGTCCAATACGATTTTTGAATCTACCGGCCTTACATTGGGGAGAGTAAATTTGATACATTTAGTTTTATTTGCATTTAGTAGCATATTATTTGCCGTAAACCATTTTAAAACATAAGAGAGAGAACCGTTTACTTCGTCCATATCATCAATATGTCGATTGACTTTGAATACTAATGAAGTATCATCAGCAAACAGAACTATGTCAGCTATCTTTTCTACCATATAAGGAAGATCGTTTATGTAAACTAAAAATAAGAAAGGACCCAGAATAGAGCCCTGAGGAACACCCATTTTAATACTAGTTCCCTCAGACTTTACACCATTTATTTCAACAACTTGCATTCTATTATTTAGATAGGATTTCATCATGCATAGTGCTTCATATCTAATACCGTAATGTTCTAATTTGAGTAAGAGTGTTTCATGATCAACGCAATCAAATGCTTTTGAGAGGTCACAGAATACACCGATAGCATCCTGAGACCTCTCCCAACAGTCAAAAATGTGTTTCATTAAAGCTACACCAGCGTCAGTAGTTGATTTACCGGCTGTGAAACCAAATTGCCGACTGTGAAGCAGTCTATTTATTTTAAAGTGTTGAAGCATCTGATTGAGCATAATTTTTTCAAACACTTTACTTAGTACTGGTAAGATAGAAATGGGCCTATAATTACCTACTTCAGTTTTATCCCCTAACTTAAAAAGTGGAGTTATTTTGCTATGTTTCATTAAATTGGGAAAAACACCGTCAAAAATACATTTATTGAAGATAGTTACTAAATATGGAGCAATAACATCTATAGCGGTGTTAATAACTTTAACAGACATGCCCCAATGGTCTTCAGTATTTTTTAAATTTAATTGTTTAAATGTTTTCGTAATTGTAGCAATGTCAATAAATGTAAATTTAAATGTAACCGGACACGAAGCAACATTATCAATAAGGAATGATTTAGCTGTACTTGGAGAAGAGTCCAAAGAGAACGTAATATCAGTTGGAATACTAGCAAAAAATTTTTCAAAAATATTGACTATTTCTTTCGTGGACGTTACTAGTTTATCATTATAATTTAACGTAAAATCATTATATGGACTTTTAACTTTGCCAGTTTCTTTATTAATAATATTCCACACTGTCCTAATCTTATCCTTGGATTCTTTAATTTTTTTATTTAGATAATTAGACTTTGCTACATTACATACCTTTTTAAAAGTTTTTGAGTATCTTTTTACATAATTTACGAATGTACTATCGAAACGGTATTTTTTTTGATCATATAAATCAAATAATATATTTCTACTTTTATGAATTCCCTTTGTAGCCCATTCTGAAAATTTTGTTTTGTTACTAATACTGATAGTTTTTTTGTTAAAAGCCTTATTATATTCGTAAGAAACAATATTGAAGAAATCTGTATAAAGTTTGTTGGGTTCATCAGATTGAGGACAAAAATCTAATTTACTACGAACTGATATTTTAAATTTATTTATCTTATAACCAGTCAAGTCTCTTTTTAATAAATTAATTTTCCTAATTTTGTTTACGTGATTTGGAAAAATTACTATTTGACCACAGTGATCAGAAGGAAGGTTGTTTATTATTATTTTATCTAAATATTCACTGTTGCTAAATATGTTATCCAAACAAGTAGCAGACGTGGCTGTAATACGAGTGGGTTCGTGGAAGACATTATTCAAGTCAAAAGATTGAAATAAACTCATTAATTTAGTTTTTGTGGTGTTATGTGATAAAATGTCAACATTGAAATCACCACACACTATGATTTTTTTGTTAATATTAAATACTCTTTTTAAAATATCCTCCATTACCTCTTCAAATAAATTATAATCACTATTTGGAGGTCTATATACACACATAACTATATAATTTTCTAGTTCCACACAGGAAATTTCAATACAACACTCAACGGAAAGATTGCCAATATCACTACATTCTTTTACTTTTATATTATTTTTCACCAATATCATGGAACCTCCTCTATTTACTATTTTTCTATTAAAGCAGCTGACAATATTATAATTATTTAAGCTTAACATCATATTGCTCACTTTGAGCCAATGTTCAGTTAAACATAGAACATCTATATTATTTTTTTCTAAAAACAATTGAATAATTAATTCACAGCCGAGAAAACTTTGTATGTTCTGGTGAACAATTTTCAATTCTGATAGCTTTCCCTTTGTCTTTTTCAGCAGTTTAAATCTGCAGTCATATTTAAATTATTGTAAATAAAATGATTCTTGCTAGAATCCATATTTATGTCAATAGACAAAAGACACTATAAAGTCACATGTGTATCAACCCATTGATGCAGGATCAGGGTTTGAACCAACATAGAAGAAGGGAGGGATGGTGATATCAGCCCCATTGCTAGCAATGTACTGCGTCAATATGTCAAACACGTGGTCGTCCGTGAGGTCAATGCCTCTGCCTACTGCCATATCTCGTATTAAAACAAAACAAGTTGCTAATTCTTAAGATAAGGATATTAGGCGAGATAACACACTAATGAAATACACAAATACTGCGGGAGGTGATTGTTAGTAATCTGGACTCCATCCTCCAAATTGCTAGCAATTTACCATGACATTTAGACATACACATGGTTGTTCCCGCTGGAAAGCATGGAGTGAAGTTCTTGGTGAATTTGCAGCAATGGGCTAAATGACTATACCTCATGCTCATCTTATCCTCCGCTGGTGTCCCGCGGCATAACCCGTTAGCACACAGGACTTTGTATAGTGTATTTTGGAATGAAGCCACATTTCTACTTTAGTGAAATTCAATGTACTTATCATTACATCGAATTAAGGCATCTTCGTTCCTCGAGTCTAGAGAGTCTTATCTGATAACTTCTATGACTCATATACATGTTTATTATGTTCAATGATATTGAAAAATATTACCTTTCATGACTTGATGTCCCTGTTTCATCTTCTCTCTCCCTGTCTCTTATTTTTCTGGACAGCGGTGGTCTTCCTCTTTTCAGTTCTGAAAGGATTAGCATTTGAAAATATATAGTTTATTGAATTTAAATAACTCAATACAATAATATAATTCTTAAGATGTATAATTAGTTAAAATTTCAAAATCTATTCTACCTCCAATTATGTTGCTGTAAGCATCTACAAGCATGCTGTAAGCATGTACACAAAAGTATCATCAACAAATTTCGCTTCATTTGTGAAATTTCGCTAAAACTCATAAAGATCACTGCTTTTATATAAAAAAAAATCTAAATAATACCTTTGTAACCTTGGCAATTTTTTACAAAGTACATAAACTACATAAAATAATCATATTATACCTATAAAGACATTAATATCCAAAATACACGAGAAAAGTACACAGTTCTGTTACGTACAAAATAGGTGTATTAAGTTGTTTCGACCAGAATCATTCGACAGAGAGTTCATGTTATCTTACTAATTATATAAACGCAACTATTTTCACGCAAGAACCATTGAACGGATTTTAATGAAACTACAGTATTAGCTTTAATCAGAATAACATAATACTATAAATGCGAAAGTAAATGTCTATCTGTCGCACTTTCACGCCAAAACTACTGCAATGATTTAAATGAAATTTGGTAATCAAAATAGGCTATTTTCAATACCAAAAAGGGGTTGTAAGGGTTTGAAAGGGGAGATGAAACGTTGTATGGAATTATAGTTATTTTTAAAGCTAGAAGCATGAACTTATTTTTTAGGATGTAGTTTAAATATAAATAAATATGACATTCAAAGTTTGTACAAATTTTACCCCTTAAGGTGATAATATTTTATATTCCACGCAGACGAAGTCATAGGCAGAGTTAATGATAAATAAAATGTACTCACTAGTGGGCGGCCTTTTGGCGGTCTTGTGGGTGATCAGGGAGTGTCCGCGCGCGCCGGGCCCCGGGGCCGGGCCGGGGGCGGGCCCGGACCCGGCGCCGGGAGCGGCCCCGGGCGCGGGCCCGGGCCCGGCGCCGGCTCGGGACGAGCCCGCGTGGCCGCCCCGCCCTCCGCGCATCATTCGGGGCCTGAACCACGCGCGGGAACTCAGCGCCGCGATGTGTATAGATGGGGATACGTCTGTCAAAGTTATATATTAAAATTTATTAGCTTCAGACGCACCACACACCTGGTCGAGTATTGAGCGGAGCGCGTTTATTCTTAAAAACTTAACCTTGACCGATCGGAGTTTTTTTATAATGGTAAACGATGGAGGCCCTATGGTTGACCTCCGATGAAATTTTGATCTTGATCGGTAAAGCCTTTTCGGAGGAGTATCGTTACAAAGAATGCAAATTTGATCTCTGAGATCACTCCGCGCTTCGCGCTCCACTCAATCATTCCTGATACTTTCTCAATAATAATTGTGGGTTGCTCACAACATTTGCAATTATCAATACCCAAAAGTTGTCTGGAAGAAATCGCTTAAACGATAAGGCAACCTTTTGAATATACCATGTCAGGTTAACCTCCACGCGATTCCCCCTGGAAACCCCAGTAAGCCCATCATAATATATTTATCACGATGGGCTTACTGGCCTGATCTTATTTTCATCTTATCATCGTCCTCTGATGCCCCGCCAGCGTATACCGTTTAACATACATATAGACTTAGACAGACAACGCCTGGCCTACATACAATCATACTGCACAAACATAACCCTTTGCACTTGAATGTCATCATACAGGAACAGTTGGAAAATATACTATTTGTATTTGTACATATTCGCAACTCGCAAAGCGGTATACTAATCAGTTCACTCAAGTCGTGAAATTAAAAAAAAAACTAACCTCTGAGATCGCTGAGGACGGGGTGGTGTGCGGGGTCGAGCCGCGCGAGGTTCCTGGCGGGCGGCAGGTCGCAGGCGGCGGGCTCCGGCGGGGCCCCGCGCCCCGTACACACCGCACAGCTCTCCACGCGCCGCCAGCACGCACATCTGCCGGCACACACATCATATTACTTACGTCACTTTCGACGTGTCACATTGCGTAACAAGAGATTACATTGAAAAGTCATGAAATATGGGATGCCTCTCGTAGCCCTCCTGTGAGAGTTCTTTCTCAGATTCTGTGAATCTCATTACAACTTTAGTCTTAAAACACGGAATTTTAACTATAAAATGTGCTTAATATTCTTTTTGTTTAATTCCACTACCATTAACATGTGTACCAGTTATATTCTGTGCGAAAACCTGACCGCCCCTTCCCTACTGGAAACATGACTATTAGCTATCAAATTCCGACCGTTATTGGATATACGCCCATATTGTGACATGTTTCGTCTCTGAGAAGATGGCAGTGTCAGGCAATGAATAGAGTTCGGTTATAGCTTGGAAGCATAAGTGTTGACTGTTCGGCGACCAGACTACAACAGTCTGTGTAAGATTTCCGCACGGAATTCAATAAAATAATATAAATCCTTTAATGAAATTGACTTCCGCATATAACACTTAATTAGATAAAATATATTAAAATATGACCAGACCAGCTGTGGCATGAGACAGGGTGTTAAAACTATGACGGTGACCTAATTTATGGATGCAAACTACCTCAGTTCTAAACGCTTTCGAGCCAAGAAGAACTGACAAGAGGTTCAGGTCTTATTCTTAATTCAAATTTGGGAGAAATAAAGTGACTACCTGCGTATGCTATTGCAATGTTGTCAAAAGGAAATTATCTAATCAGCGGTCGTAACCCCAACTGACCAGTCCCCATAAGCAGCAGCCGTTCACGAGTAAGACGGATTAGCCAGTCATCTTTGCACTCAACCATATTAGAGGAAGCACTTTGACCCGGCCCACCAAGTCGCCACAAGTATGAACTTAATAATAGTTTCAAGTCCACTATGTTATTTATAGTACATACCTTATATCTGATGGTTTAGCAGCTTTATTAGTAGCTATATGCAGGTTATGCATCTGCAACAATTTCCGTTTCTTGAAGGTCTCTCTGCGCAGTGGCCGGACTCTAGCACACGTTGCTGTTGCGCGATCGTCATCCGGTAGCTCAGAACCAGGAAGATTTCCTTCATAGCCAACAGGTTCACCTTCAAACTCCACTGGACCTTTTGCCTCTCTGACCTAGAAATTACAAAATTAATGTTGATATATCTATGCATTGGATGTTACTTCATTTTAATCATACCCGTACAGAGTAACCTGCGGGGTTTTTTTTTTATTTTTTGTTGATGATAATGGAATGGTGCACCAGCCTGCGCTATCGGTTTACGCCGGCGGGACACCAGTGGAGGATGATGAGATGAGTATAGGTCAGGTCAGTTAGCCCATCGTGACAAATTCACCAGGAATCTAACACGATGGTTTTCAGGGGAACCGCGCGGAGGTCGAGCTGACATGGTACATTGCTAGCAATGGGGTTATCAATCCACAGTACTAACAATACCCTTCCCCCAACCTGCGGGGTTACCTTTGTATCATAATTTCAACCGCCAAGCAGCTTGCATTTTAAGCTGTATTTCGGGTATGATTAGACAGTAATATTGTAGGAAAAGAAGTATGTATGTATAAATTTTAGTGCTCTGGAATAACAATGCATGACTCACAGATGTCAAATGATAACGTGATGCATGTAAATAGACTATGGTTACTGTACTGTATCATGCGTTACTCAGTGAAAAAAACATCGTCTCATCGGTATCGTCGGTAGTCTAACAGTTTAGCACACCACCTTACTTTCCGATGGTCGTGGATTCGATTCCTCACATGGTGCAAACATTTGTTTTCATGAGTATGATTGTTCGTATCGGTATGGGTATTTTCTATGTATATTATGTATGTATTTATAAGGAAATGTAAATATGTATTTATATCAGTTGTTGTCTAGTCCTCTAACACAAGCTATGCTTAGCTTGGGACTAGATGGCGCTGTGTGAATTGTCCTGAGATATTATTATTTATTGTTAGTACCTATATATTAAAAAAAAAAAAAGTATGCCGAAAGTCTCCAGTACCATAAACTATACAAGTTACTTTTAGCTAATTGGGCTACATCTAACTGTAGTATCGTTGTTAATATTGAGAGCAATGTCCTTTTTGTTTGACCAAACTAGATACAAATTGGTCATGTAGTTTCAGAGTTAATCCCGGACAGATATTCTAACGCGAGAATTTTATATGTACATTAGTTATTTTGCCGCGTAGTTTACGACTTAGGAAAAATATAAATTAATGTTTTTGGGGACGAGTAAACTTTCATTTTCAATTTTAAGCTTCTTAATAAACAGTTCCGATGTAGTATTAATTTTTTTATTTATTCTTGTTTAGTAAAGAAGAAATTTCTTTTGTGTGGCAAATTAAAAAAACATCTATTTACTGGCCAAGCATTTGTATAAACACCTAATTTACATAAGAGGGATTAGTAATAGGGACTGCACAATGCTGCAAGTTCTTTAATGTTGTGTTGAAAATTTGTTAAATATATAATTTAAAGTCATAACGTAAGGTCCATAATAGCTTAAATTTTATTTGAATAGAAATCATACAGTTCAAACGTGTTTACTTACACAAAAGAATTCAAGGTCTTCAGTACACATTGTACGTGCAGATATATTTTAAGATTATAAATCTGAATTACATTATTTAAAGTCATTCAAAATTGATACTTACACCCATACATATACATATATATAAAAAAGAAATGACGTTTCTTAGTCTCGCCAAAACTCAACAAAGGCTGGATCGATTTGGCTAATTTTGGTTTTAAAATATAGAACTCCAAGAAAGGTTAAAGTGGTGAGAAAATATGAAAAAATGACATGGAAAATAGTATAAACAATTCTATTTTGCCACACAAACTGTTCGTACCTGTCATACAGGGTGTAAAGAAAACTGATTCCGTAGGTATATTATTTAATTCTTACGCGGAGCGCGGAGTTCGCGGGGTCAGCTAGTATAATAATAATAATAATATCCCTGAACAATTAAGACAGCGCTATCTTGTCCCAAGGTAAACAGAGCTTGTGATATAGATACTAGATAACTGATATAAATACAATTTTTTATATAAATATATACATAATAAATATCGAAAACACCCAGACCAATATAAACACTCATATTCATGAATACAAATTATTGTGCAGTGCGAGGAATCGAATCCGCGACCATTGGAAGTAAAACGGAGTGTTAAACTGCTGAACCATCGAAACCGTCGAATCATATGAATACTTGTATATGTATTGTGCTTTTAGCTATATTTGGATCTCTATTGTAGTAAGAATTTTAATTAATTTATGCATATAATCATGGCATAGTTGACAAGCATTGAAACGATTAAAGTATCAGTTATTAATACTTTAATTGAAATAAATCAACAATAATTTGAGGTAGTCATTAACCCCTAGTTAATGACTACCTCAAATTATTGTACCCTAAAAATTATTAAAAAATAACATACGTAATTAACAATAAAATAATGCCGGTCCGTTTGTGAGAAATAAGATATTTCCATGCGGTCTTCAATGTAACAAATATTCAATGTATTCATCTCAACAATTAAGGATCCCCGTTCTTGTCATAGTAGATCACATTTATGGGACTCACTTTCCTATTGACTATATTGTCACATACTTTGAACTATTTGTGTTCAAATTTCGTGTTTTAATATTTGAATATATTAGATTTTAAAATTTAATGGCAAATATTTAGGACCCCACCCTTGTCATACAATATCACATATTGACGTGTGATTGAAATTTATTTATGTAGGCAAATGGTAGTGTAAATTTATCCTTGACAAATGATATTTCATGCCTTCTTTTCAACTCTAGACATGAAAAAGAACCTTATTAATATTATAAACGCGAAAGTGTGAATATGGATGGATGTTTGTTACTCTATCACGTAAAAAGAATGAATACTGAATGGATTTTGATGAAACTACAATAATATAGCTTATACATCAGAATAACATATAAGCTATAAATTTCATGAGGGTGAAAACGCAGGCGTAGCTAGTAACAAATAAAATCACTCATATTTAATATAATTGAGAAGATTATTAGTCATTTAAAATCATATTAATTAAAGGTTTTCTGATTCAGAACCTTGTGATAAAATTTGTGTTTAATTTCACATTATGTACAGACAGTTTAGTTTGTTATAATAATGCAAATGACTGACCTGCTTGTGGAGGTCATTGTGCTGCCTGATCTTGTACTCCAACTCCTGGACTTGGGCCTGCATCCAGCACCAGCGAGAAGCGATGGACGCGCGTGTCTTCTGCCAAGACCACAATGCGCGTTTCTCACTAGAAAGCAATAATTTCGTAATAAATAATAAATCTTCACAATTCAAAGAACGCATGTAATCCCAGACTAAGCAGTGCTGGTATTATAGGTACTAGACAACTGATAAAAACATTCAAATATATTCCTTTGTAGATACTATACATAGAAAACATCCAGAGCAACTCAAACTAAATCAAATACTCCTTAATATAAAGTTTTGTACCATGTAGGATTAAATCCACAACCATCTGGAGCATAAGATGGTGGTAAACCACTATACCCTTCAATTACTTTTCTTTAGCAATTGAGAACTTACATATTTACATGGAATATACAAATTTCTTTCTAATAATATTCATATTCATACCAATGCAGGATGATTAATAAATTAGATAAGGAATAGTTGAGTTTAACTTTTTTTTAACAAATGAGATGTTTGGCAATTAATAAGGTTCCTAATGTATAATCAATAATTGGTTATTTTAGAAAGGGACCATTTCCAGATGATATTGGAATGCTGTGCCTGCTTGCATTATGGTATTACATTGGTCAGCAACAGTGGAAGATTATACAATGATAATAAAAGCAGACCAGTTAGCCCATAATGTGAATTCATTAGAAATAAACTACAGTGATTTCCAAAGGGAACTGTGTGACAATTAACCTGACACAGTATATTATTAAGCAATAGTGGTTCCTATTTATTACTAAAATTCCCCTTTTCCTAGTACCTAATAAACTAATAGCAAATCATTAGAGGAAGGGGATTGTCCGTGATGTGGACTAATAATTCTATAGCTAGCAATGTACCATATCAAGTCGACTTCCATGTGGTTCCCCCTAGAAATCATTGTGATAAATTTCTAGTGAATTGGCCAGAAATTTATCACATTGGTTTCCAGGGGGAACAGCATAAAAGTCAAGTCAACTCAACTAACCTAACCTGACCTCACTCTCGCCTTATCATCCTTCACTGATATCACTGTACCCAGTGTAAACCAAGTGGGTACAGTTGGTGCACCATTCCATTATCACGAAGCAAACAATAGTAGGTAAGTATAATTAGATTTAGATCACCTAAGGAATGTGAAGTTTTGTGAAGATGGTAACTGTTTATATTGGCTGGGCACCAGTTGAGGATGATAAGATGAGCATGAGATCAGGTTACTTAGCCCATCTTGACAAATGGTAATTTACCATGTAGTGAGAGAATTGAGAGTGAGACAGTCAAAAACTTTAAATTTTTCCTATTTTTCCAACATTTATCATTGATGCTGACTTCTAATAGACATAGTGTGGTTTTATATAGCTTATAGTTTCCTCAATACATGAGATATAAAACACTAAAAGAGTTTTCAATTAAAATCAGTAATAGATGAGAATAGCAAATTTAAATAAACAAAATCTAAGCTATATAATTTTAGAACTACATTACTAAATTTATATCCTTGTGAATAGAACATTGCAAATAGAATTTTATATTTAGAAATATATTAAAGAATGTCTTGTTGTTTCATTAGTTTTGTTGCCATTGTATGTCTTTTAGCAAATATATACATATTTTACTTTTATATTTCACTATTTTTAATTACACAACAGATTAAACCCCTAAATATTAGTATAGATATAATGTAGAAAGTAGAACTTTAGTCATTTATGATTAATACAAATAACATTATCAGAATAAGCCTATAAAGAAGAGAAATATTTAGAAAATTTATTTATTTATTGAATAAATCTTGCCATATTGTAATCTGCAACCGAAAGAACCATTTAATAATTCCAAAGCAATATGCAAATATATATGAGTAATTGTTATATCATTCAACATTTACAAAGTTCCTAAGCATTGCAAGTCATATTTTTATGTAAACAAACAAACAATTAATAACTTGACAGTAAATTAGTCTTAATATATCTTCTTTTGTGCAGTGTCTACATTCCTATTAATACATAACATACAAAATTCTTTTTTTTTTTTTAATAATACTAGCCTATATATATACCTTCAGTAATATAGAAAAAATAGTAAGCTCATGATCAACAAGTCAAACATTGCCAATAATATGTATATTAATTTTATGAAACTGTACATTTTAAATATTGATATGTCCAATTACTGTGTAACATTTAAATATGAAAAAATACTGTAAACATTCTCTCAAAAACTGTGTCACTCTATTTAATAAATAAAGGCTTGAAATTGAAAACTGAAATATCTAATTAGAATCAGATATGCATTAAATAATAATGAAATTGTATGTAAGTTATTTCAGTTATTAATTACTGTGTGTAAATGTAGAGTATTGTACAGCTAAACTACTGAATATAATCATATCAAAATATCTTTATTTGTCTAAGTCTTTTACAGACTCTTATGATAAGTCAAAATCTACTATCTATTCAGACTGCATTGGAGCTTAAACAAACAAAAAAAATCAGCTCTTATTCTTTTCAAATCAGCTTGCAGACATTCATAATTATGTGAATATATTTTGCAAGTTATATCTTTATATGTTAAAAGAAATTTGTAAATCTCCCAGATATGATGCAATACTTTCACAATGATACAAAATTTATGTAGTCCTGTGCCCAAATAAATTCTTATGTAACATTGTGTAATCTACTAATCTCCAGATAGCAATGTTTATTTTATTTTTAATGACCTATTTTTAAGTACAAGCCCATTCAGAAATAGTTAAGCATTTAATACTTGTATGATTCTTAGTATAATAATAAATGGAGGGAAAAAATTTCAATATGGCAGTTGAATTTTAATATGTTTATTAGTTTTTTTATATAAGTTTTTGGTTTAATGCCAACATTTTTTCAATTAAACATTAATTTATATAAAGTTGTAAGTTATTGTCTACCTCCAATGTGTATCCTGTTCTAAATATATAAATCTTATATGGTTATGAATTTTAATTAACAAATAAATTAAATAATACTCACATGGGCATATGTTGTTGTTGGGAATTGTTGTATACAACAGCTTCATCATTACTTTCAGCTCCTGATGATGAAGCAGTAGCATCAGAGTCCAGCTCATGTTTGACTATTGATAGGTGTGAACGTAAGGCACCAGCTGTGTCCTCTAGGCCTGTCAGGGTTCCAGAAGGTATTCCCACTGAAGCAGATCGAGTGGCGTCTCCCTTTGATGTCCCAGCACGGTAATACTTGGGACCAACAACAGAACGAGATGCTGCACTGGCTTGTAATGTTGCTGTAGTTTCTATCTTCTTCAGGAATGCTTTTAAACCAACTGGCCTTCCACCACCATCCTTCCGCGCAGCACGAGTACATTTCTCAAATGTTTGTGCTGCTTCTTCAGAAATTCTCTTCCCAATTGCACGAGCTTGAAGTATCCTTAACCGTCTTTGCAAAAAGGCACATCTGCGTTCAAGACGAGCTTGCATCAGTCTTATTTTATCCTCAGCTGCATCCCCTTCCGAGTCAGCAGTATCGGCCAAATCAAATCCACTTAGTGGGAATATACCATCAGGGTCTCCTGTTGACAAACTATCACCCCCACTTTCCAACGTTTTGATGGCCTGGAGCAAATCAGCCTGTGCTATATCACTGCTGCCCAAGTCCACTAGGATCTGCTCCATTTCTTGGGAGTCTTTGGCAAGGCTAGGTTGGTTCTGGAGTCCCATGTCGTCCTCCTCCATGTGGGACGCGATATTATCGACGGACGCGAGCGCCCGTCTTTGAAGAGATACAGCCCTTTCCGGATCGTCAACAGGGTCGTAGGTGCGAGGCGTCGCGGACAGGGCTGGGGCCATGTCACGCGCTTAGCCCGCCACGAACGCCGGCGCGGCGCGGGGCGTCAGGGCGGGCTCCCGATACCGCACATACCGTCCCTTATGTAACACTCACTAATTATTCTTTCACAACACTGACACAGCACTGCAACGCACAATCCACTAATAACATTCTCCCGGGAATCAATCCCCGGCCGGTTCCATAGCGCTATTGTCCAGACAGGTCGAAATAACGGCGCGCTTCTGAAATACAAAATGTTTAGGACAGATTACTAGCCGGTCTTTTCTTATTTGAGTTCAACGTTTCCATTTACAATTGGACGACAACAATGAACACGTAAAACACATTCTGTCTACGAATTTAATTCGAAATTTGACCCACGTGATAATGAAGAGTACGCTAGTAATCGCAGTTGCTTGTTTCTGTACGATATGAAACAGGAAATGATACACTTAGAAAACACTTTTTGTTACATATCCATCATGCACTGTTTCACTAACTTCACATTTGTTGAACTAATAGTTTACAGCTACACCTAATAATGACAATGGAGATTTTTTTTATAATAATAATGGCGGAATCAGGGCAAAAAACACTATTCAAGCGAGTAGGTACATCATATTCAGTGACGAACTGACGAGACGAAGCGAATGAAACGGGCAGAGTCGCCTACAAATTGAGTAGTTGATAGGGAAAGAAAGAGATGCCTAGCACGTCCTTGAATTGGGTACTTGCGCGGTAAAGTCAAATTGCAATCGAATAACGCAGGTACGCTATTTATATCAAAATGAATGCGATATAAAATCTTTAAATTACCTCCCAATAAAATTAATGATCAAAAAATTTACGTAGAGACCCTTTTTAAGGCGGAGGTTTTAAAAAAGATGCAATATGACTTGAATTATCATTACTCAAAATAAACACTGTTAATAGGTCGGAAGTGCTTGAGAGTAACATATGTTAAATATAGAAATAATGAAAAAACTTTACTGAATAATTCATTACAATATAGAAATATTAATTTCAATATTATCAAAAATTAACCATAAGGACCGTAAACCACAGTTTTAAATGCTTGTGTCAAATGTAACAATGTGACGTAGTTCTATTTCCGGTATGACCAAATACAAAAATCCAACACAAGAAAATAACTACATAATTCTATTTTTAATTAACTATTTACCTTATCTGAATAGATATATTATTTTTTTCTAAATAACAGAATAAATTTAAAATAATTGGATAGGGCATACAAAACAAATATGTTAAAGTTGCGTTCCGTTTCATGTAGAATTTGATGTAAAATTGCAAATGTAACTTCAGTGAAGAGCTATCATATCGTGTTTATAAAAAAAAATATGAGTACTTGATATAATAGTTATAATAATACATAGGTAATATATATTATAAAAATAAAATAAAATTTTACCCTAAATATTTATATGATACGTGATTTCAGCAGATTTTGATCCAATTCGATCGAAGTCCAATATTCACTACAGACCGTAATCTCAAATCGAAATAGAAAGTTAATATTGCTGACTGAGATTTTTATGAAACATTTTTTTATGTATGAGCTATTTATTTTTACTGTAGGATTTCTCATACAGGTTTTATCTATGTATGCACATATGTATCTATACTGTACATCCTATATATTTACATTTAGAAAAGTAAGCATACATAAATAACTAAATCAAGAACAAATTATTTGAAAAATAGTACTTAGAATAAACTTGTCACCTATGTATGGGCTATATACCCATATAATTTATGACAATTATTAGTTTATATTTAAAAAAATAATAGACAGCTAATTAGCTCTATACATCTACATTTAGCAAAATATTTACTAAGAATCTTTTAAATAGACTAAAATATGATTATATTTATACATAATGTTAAAAGATTATATTTGATAATACCCCATTATTGCATAGTAATGGTGTAGTTCATGATAAGTATTGTACTACATTTGTCAATACATAATTCATAAAAATTATTAATAGTATTTTGGATAACTTACAACATTGCTTAAAAATTAAGCAAATAAGTTATGCAGTTCATTAATATTAATATTATGTACTTCTTAAGTAAAAACCTTTATAATTTAATATTTCATGTTTGTGTGCTACAATGATACATATTTCAATTACTTTCTTAGTAAATACACATAAATTGGATTAATAACAATTGTAAAGACAAAAACAGGAGTTAATTACAATAATATTGTTTTTTTTATAAATATAATAACATGGAAAATAATCTTACCTGTGTTTCATTGTACAGCTTGCTAGAAATCTTGGATTACAAGCAAGGTCTAATGTATTCATATATTCCTGCATCTTCAACAGCTTTCTACACCTAGTGTTATACAAGATCATAGTATATTAATATTTTTATTTGTATATTAAACTACACTCATAATCTTATTACCAAATATTGACAGTTGCTTGACACAAAAACTATAACTTAAGTTTAATGTCAAAAATGTCAATAAGTTAAAAGAAATAAAAAAAATTATAATTATTTGATTTTAAATGAGATGTCCTATATAAAAAATCTATCAAAGCAAAACAACAGTAAAAAGGGATTTTAATATAAGTACTCAAAAGATATAACTAGAGACATAAACTTATGTCTGTGAAACCAGTGAAATAACTATATATATATATATATAGGTATATATAAAATATAAATTATATATGATTGTAACACTGAATATAAGATTATTAAAGAAGCACTTACAAAGATTTATTTTGTTATGATCTTGTCCTAATTTGTATAAGTAATGTTATTGAGTCACCAAATGTGACCGATCAAAATATATTAATATAATATAAATGTTCAATAATAAAGAAATGGAGACATCAAAATATAAATTATAAATAATATTATTACTAGGATCCTACTTATTTATTGATATTTTAAACTTATAATCTGTTAGTTGCTGAACATAGGTCTCCAAATATGACCAGACAACTTCTTACCGCACCTATCTTCTTAGAATCAGCATTTTTATTTAAGTATTAAATCCGTCTTATGGAAAACAATGTAATGCAAACAATATTTTGTAACAAACAAATGTTTGTTACAAAATATTTCTGCAAAGTTAATACTTTATTTGCAATTAAGCTAATCTATGCTTTGATAATATACTTTAAAATAGCTAAGAAATGTATCTTTTTTTTGTTTGTGAAGACAATTACAGTGAATATTAAATACTTACTTATTTTAAAATTGGAATGGAGAATTGTTTTAAAAGATTGTGCTATGGTTCTATGCACTTGATTTTAGCAATATCTTTAAAATATCAGTTGATCCAATTATTTACTTAAGTACTTAGAGAATAGTAGATTTTGATAATTATTCGTAGTATTCCAAATTCGAATTTAAAATAATTGTATTTATAATAAATTAATGTAGTCTTTTTATCTAAGATAATATACTAAATAAAGTAGGCTTTTTAAATAGAAAAATTTCAAAACCGTAATATTAACATTATCTACGTACAAATAGTTATTTTTAACAGAAAATAATATTTAAATAAAAATGTTAAATTAACACATTTTAATATATATCAATAAAAAATAAATTATTAAATATAATTTGAAAGGCCTTTGACCCTTACCTCCAGCACAAGAATAAAAACAGAAAGAGAAAAGTGAGTGAATGAAGTACACGAGTGAAGGCTCTAAAATGAACAAGTGAGTGATGAAGAGAGAGAACGAAGGAATGGTGAAAAGAGAACATACGGAGATGAGTGAGATAATATGTAATTAGAAAGAGATGGATGGTATACGTGAAATTTGATTTTATTTTTTTAAAAGTTATTTTTTTCCAATTGTTTACTGCAGATAACATTTTTGGTAGATATTAATACTGTTCCCTAAATTTATATACTTCACTAGCTACCTACGTATTATTGCTATGTAATAAAACTAATAAACTGTGTGAATTTAAGATCTCTAATATGAATAATGAAAAGAAGGCCTTTCTTCTTCTTTTTTTTCTTATTTTGTTATTGGTAACTCATAAAGTTACTATTTCGGAAAGTGTTTATATTACTAATGCATGAAAAAGGCCAACTTTATAGATAAATGTAAGCAATATTCTTTCGCGCCTTTTTATAAAGATAACAAAAGAGTAGAAGTGCACTTTTAAAATTTTGTATATATATTTTTTTATTATTATTTTAATTGTATGAACATTTCGATCATTTGCCTTGAATGATATAGTAGAAAAGATGATGGTATTAGATATGTATAAAATAATAGAAAGCAAAACTGTTGTTATTAAAAGGTTGATGTTATTTTTCCTATATTCTATTAACTTGTGATGTATGTATTAACATATTCAGACATCACAAATTAACTATTTGTTAACTATTTGAGTTAAGACGTCTATTAGATACGTATTGACGATTGATAAATATAAATCCTTACAAAATATCCATCTCTCTCTAGGAGGCGATTGTTAATAATGTTTTTTTATTATTGATAATGGTGTGATGATCACGTCTGCGTTAGCGGTTTAAAGGGTTTAAACTGGTGGGGCACTAGTGAAGACAGGTCAATTAGCCATACCATGTGCTCCTGATAAAGATGAGGATAGAGAATTTTAGCTCCTTTGTGATTTTTTTTTGTTTGATGACAATTTTCTAAAATCTGAAGTTGGCAACACTGACTGTATCCCAACTGTATTTCTCTGTAATTTAATTTTGTTTTTATAATTAGAATCGGTAATTGCTATAGAATATGGCATTACATTTCGATAGAAGTCTTCTGTTATTAAATTCAACACAAAATACATCATTAAGAAATAAACGGACAAGACAATTATTACAGAGAGAAGACACTTTAAATTTGTCACCGATACTCAATGAAACATCGATATTCAAGAATTTAAATGATACAAGTTTGAGACAAGTTCTGGACGAGTCTTCAATATTAGTTAATTCGGGAAATGCCGGCGAAGGATTGAGTGAAGCATTCTTTGAAATTATACAAGCGAGTCGCTCGAGTGATGTATTGGACACATTGGCGAGGTTAGCTCAAGTTTGTTGTGATTCTCTAGAACTAGTAGAGCCTTGGAACCGGTACAATGTTCATAATTACTGGTTGGCTGAGGAGGCGAATACATGGAAATTGCTTCACTGTCTTTATGCAGATTCTATTGCGGAACATCCAGTGAACATTGAGAGCTTAATAACGGACCAAACATTATCGCAACAGACCCTTGTAGATGCATTATATCAAAGTGACGCGGAGATACGTTTGTTACAATTGCTTGTGGATTGGCTGGAAGCAACGGCTGCTTATCAAGAAGCTGCCACTAACACATCTGCACCTGTTATTGGGAATAATGTCCATTGGAGTAACACACTACATCAATTATTAGTTGGAACCAGTTTATTTAATAAAGAGAAAAATAAGGCAATGATAACCTCTATGGACCCAGATGCTCCAAGACGTCAAAAAAAATCAGTACACTCTGATGATCAGAAAGATGACAATGACCTTTGTAAGAGGATCTTTACTGAAGTGAGATGTGGAAAGTTTAAAGAGGCGGTTTCTCTATGTATAAATGCAGGTCAGGCATGGCGTGGAGCAGTACTACAAGGTTGGATATTGCTGCATTACTTGCCAAGAGATGACCCTAATGCACCATTAGAAATTATTGGTAACCCATCTAGAGATTTATGGAAATGGTGCGCATTGAATATAGCTAATAATACCACAGAAAATGTACACTATAGAGCTACCTTAGGAATATTATGTGGTCATCTTTCTAGCGCAATACCCGCTTGTCAGGGAAATTGGGAAGACTTACTATGGGCTCACTTGAGAGTACAAATTGAGGCAAGAGTTGATAGATTTTTACATGAACACCATATTACTGTTGATGCCAATACAACTACATCTGAGGTTATGGACCTTTTACAGTCTGAGCTTACAACTGAATTATTTTCCTTACAGCAACTTTTCAATGCTGTTAAAGCTTTAATGGATGGCAAAAAGGAGTCACATTATCAAACCTGCCAACGTTATTTAATGCTTGGCCAAATCAGAGCCATTATGCAGGATTCATTGGAATGGCTCGAAAGTGCTGAAGAAAGGTTCATAAGATTTTTGGCACATTTAATTTTAGTATTGAGACAAATGGGTAAAGATCCTCTACATGATGTTGGGGACAAAATTTTGGAGAAATATATAACCCAATTAATTGATAAGTTGACTGATGGGTCAATTGAATGTCCAGAACTTATTGCTTATTATACTTCTACTGTGCCAGTTGATAGACAGATTCTATTATATGCAGAATTGATGGATCACATCCAAAAAAGTGAATATAGGGAAGGTGTTGTCAGTGCAGGATTAAATGCAGGAATTGATGTTGCAGCTTCATCAAGGGTAGCAATAAAGAAGGCTATAATGGACATTCAACAAGGTTATGGGAACTTGGATTTAACATTCACACAAACTACAGCAGTTGAAAAAGATAAAACTTTGATCACTAAAGTGATATCTTCTCTTGAATGGCTGTCACTGATTCCCAATCAGTTTAAGGAATCTCTCTGGCTCAGCAATGCCATGATAAGGACATTTATATTCATTGGAAATACAGATGCTGCTTTAGATTGCATTGGTAGGGTCAATAAGATGTATCCCGACTTCATAAATAAGGCTGAAAAAACCTTTGCCGAGTTGAGAGAGCATTTATGCTTGAAATCATATCTGGATGCACTTGATAGTTTTGCAACTTGGTACAGACATTTTATAAGTGGCCAACCTAAAGATGTAGAGCCCTTACCACCAGATGCATCATTTTCTGATAAAGTGCATCATGAACAAAGATGTGCTCAAGTTCAACAGCAAAAGGAAAGATGGTCTAATGCATTATTGCATCAGTCAAGACATACAAAGAACCTTCTTTACAATGTATTACTGTTCCCTGCAGGATGGCTACAGGATGAGAATGAACGTGAAACATTTAAGAACTTTACTGAAGAAGAAATACAGGAGAGGAACAAACAACTTGAAACTTTAAGACGTCTTTGTATTCCAGAAGTTGTAATTCTAATCTTAAAAATTTTGCAGAGTAGTGATGATGTTGATAACCACAAGGAAGCATTAAGACTAAGTGATCTAATTGCTGCAGATGACAGGTGTCTGTTTGAAGTATTTACAAAGTCTAAACTCATTGAAGTTTTGGACAGAATCAAAGAATCATCACTTTTTTTACTGGAGAAAGGAATGGATATGTTTGGTTATGAAGTTAATGATGAATAAAAATGCTTTAAATATCTCATAAATAAATTTTGTATTAACATTGCTTTATTTTTTTTCACATTTACATTTATTTACACAGTAGACAAAGTAGTAACAACTTGGATATCTTACAATTATTATTGTACACTGACTGGGGTTAAATTGATTAATTCATTACTACTCTCTGCTAGTTCTGTGATCGACACCCTACCCCTTTGTTTTATGAATTTTGCAACATCCTCTAGTTCCTTTTGAGATATGTATATAAATTTACCCCTGTCATCTATTACACCAGTAAGTTCACCAGATGTCTGAAGATCGTTAATTCTATCAATAGCAGCTTGAGTTTTTAATTTGAAATGTGCTGCTAAATCTTCCAGCAACACAACTTTTTGAGCCTGAAAAAATATATTGACTAATTAATTTAAATTTCTTTTAGAAGTGACGACTTCAGATGTTATAAAAATAGTGCACTTTTAACATTAGTATATACAGACGTAGAAAAACAATACATCAAGTTTTTTTAATATGTAATATATATTTTTTTAATTCTCCAAATCCAGTTTAGAGTCAAAACCTTAATCATATACATATATGAATAAGGTTTTGACTCTGGTAACTATGTACCATGTAGACTACCTCTTCGTTGTCCCCCTACCGCATTGGTTTATCTATCATGTGCAAATTTACTGACAACTGTACTTCATTCTCATCCCATAATCCTTCACTGGACCTGCTATACACCGTAAGCATAAGCGGTTTCACAATCCATATTAATCCATTCAAAACTTTCGTAATAAAATCCAAAAGTTTATTCAATATACTTGCCTTGATGTAATCTACAAAATCACGCAGTAAACTCTCACTATCCTGCTCCTCATTCTCTTCGAAACCTTCACTGTCCACAGAGAAAGCAGCTTTTAGGGCTTCATATTCTTCTTGTTCGCGTTTTTTTCTTTCTTCTTCTGCTTTACGCTCCGATTCCTCGTGGAGTCGCTCTTCCTCCTACATTTTAAAATCATCATCGTATTTTTTAATATCGTTTGAATTTATTTGTTTCAATTTCGTATATTCAATAGTATCTAAGTCTAATTTTGAAATGCTACTTTTTTTTAGTAAAATCCATAGGTAGACTGTAAAAAGTAGTATATGCGGGGGCCTTAGTCTCACCTATTTTATTGTGCATTGTTGCAGTTTCTTTTCTTTCGGTTGTAGGGTGAGAAATTACAGGATTAGAGGTATGTCATAGGCCTCAGGAAAAACAATACATAAGCGTAGTAGCATGAGTGTCACATGACAATGTGACGTCCTTAGTTCTGTTCATGTAAATAGGCGACGGTTACCATTTACCATCAGGTCGGTTGTCAGTTTGTTTGCTATTTCAATCACATAAATAAAATCTGCTTGATAATTTTTAGCGTGTCTTGGCAGGGGTGTGGATCATTTATATGAATACTTTAGCTCTTCCCTTTACAGTACACTGATTAAATATATTAATCTAAAATGATAAAAAGAACAGAAACAATGTTAGTTAACTAGGTAGTACAGCTAAGTATATATGTGGCAATTGGTTTTTATTTAAACATAGGTTAATGACCTCTTTTTTCTCATCTGCTTTTCTACGTTCCTCTTCCAATTCTTCATCCTTCTTTTTTTTTATTTCTCGCATATGTTCTTCTGCTTCTCTTGCTTTCTTCTTTTCCAATTTTGCTTCGAGTTTTGCTCGTTTCTGTAAGGAAAAGTAACAGAAAAAGAATATGTATAAATTTCTAATGTACAAATGACATAAAAATTAATATAGATTTTATGTCACACAACAAATCAAAAGAAAAATCAACTCTGTGACAGTAGCTTGCCGAAAAGAGACAGCTTTTAGTGATAAGACTTATGTTTTTCAATTTTTTCTATTTAAGAAGATGGAGTTAATACTATCAAAATAATAATAATTAGAAACATTTAATTTCTGTTCTTTAAAAATTTAAGTTTAAAGGAAAAGTAAATAATTTTTTTATTCTATTTTCCTTTAAACTTAAATCTTGTTCTATTTATTTATTTAATTGAAATTTAAGCACTTTTGAATATCATACTCATTTGGAAGTTAGATGTTTAAGTTAAAAATTGTGAATACAAGCTACCAAATAGCAATAATTCATTAGAGTCAAAGTATTAAATACACAACCAACCGGTTGAATAACTAAATGTTACCTTGGCACCCATTTTGTCATCAAATTCAACCTTTTGAGTAGTATCTGGACCCTCTTCATGAGCATCTTCCTCCAGTGCTGGTTCCTCCTCCACAACTGCTTGGTTTCGTGCAGCTGAAAATAGATACATGGAGAATTTTACTACTAGGGTAAGTAAATTATTTAAGATAGTAAATTTTTCTTAAAAAATAATTGAACTCAAATAATGAAAATAAGTCTGGAATTAACAGGATTTTGTCAATCTAGAGGAAAAACATAGGATTACTTTACAGCCCCATTTCATGCTTTTTAAGAACAAACATATATCTTTGTTTTTGTTTCAATTGTAAGCACAGAATAAATCTTTGTTCATGTATATATACATATGAACTATTGTTTATAATAATTATTGATCTTTACATCTGTATAGAATATTCATTTTTATAAACAATATTTCTGCAATTTCATACAAACATTATCCCCTGTTGTAAGCAGTCTATATTTCCATAACCATCTCTAAGGTGCCATATATCTATATAACAAATTTGATCATATTTGATTCAGTAGTCTAGACTGTATAAACAAATTCTTCCTCTCACTTTATATTATAAGATGTACATCCTATTATCTGCAAAGGAGTTAATTATTGGACTATTATTGAAATATTATTGGACACTATAGTGTCTGTGAGAAGTTCTGTAATTGGTCTCACAGTCAATGGTACCATAATAATAGTACCATTCTCACTGGGCACAATGGGCACATACTATCCATCAATTGGGGCCCCTAATCTAGTCTAATCCCTATTCCATTATCAAACGATAACAGATAACTACTCTACTCTCGCCTGATAATCCTAGTAGTAGTGTAGTTTGCTTAAATGTAAAAATATTATACATTACTATTAAATGTAGTTTGCTTAAATGTAAGTAATTGCTTAAATTTGCAAATGCTTACTGACTATGGTCAATTTGTTCACTTTTGTTAATTTTTTAATAAATATCTAGCAAGAACTTGAATCCCTCATCACATAAGGACAAATTAAAATTATTTTTGCCTGGTTTGTTTTGAAGGTAGGACATCCCCATATACATCTCTAAAGAGTCATGTTCAAAAATGATTTTGTCTATTCTAACAAAATAGTGCTTTATTACTATAGTTATAAGGGCCCTATTATCCTAATGTGCCCAGGGCCTCTTAATAGGTGAACGGTAAGACCTTAATAGTACTCTCATGAAATATTTCATTAAGATCTCTCAATCATTTAGTGGTGATCCGATAATAAATTTACTTTATTATTACGGGTCACTAAGTACAGTAGAAATTATTACAAAATAAACCATACCATTAGCTCTCATCCGTGCTCTCTGATTTCTAACCGCTTGTACTCTCCCAGGGCCGCCATCTCTTTGAGCAACTGCCCTCGGCCTAGCTGCAGCTGTTCATAAAACAATATATAATAATAGTATTAACAATAATAATTACAATATGTCAATTACCATAGTCACATTCAACGGGCATAAAAAAAACATTTCAATTATTATATTATATTGTAAAGTTTCATCAGAATCCGTTCAGTAGCTTTTGCTTTTCACAAACTTTTGGGTTTATAATATTAGTAGGATTACTACAGATATTCTTATTAACTATAATTAAAATATAGATATGATACTGTTTTATGTTTGGATTGTTACTGATATTTTCATCGCTAGAGCGTTAATCAAAAATATAACACATTTAGAGTTGAACTCACAGCCTTTGGGGTGGAAATCGAATAGTAAATAACTAGGTAATGACGCTATTCAAGTGTATTTATCTGTATTCAAATGACGATCAATGTATTGTACTTACGTTGAGTTTTGACTTTTGAAGCTCTAGCGATGGCAATAAATAATACAATAATTACTACAGCGCTGATTATAGCTGCAATTATGAACGGGTCCATATTGATGAAATTTTATACCACTCAGTCAAAAGAAAACGTTTTGAACTATAACAGTATAAATAGTGACTTAATAATGTAGCTTCTGAATTAAGAAACTACTAAAATTAAGATCAAAAAGAGGTAGAAAAAATGAATTGTTATTTTGAGACATTTGTAGTAAACTTGAATCCAGTTAGGAATAGGGATGCCAATAGTTATCGATGTTAGTGGAATATAGATATTAAGGGCAAAATATTCTATAAATATTATGAGAAACAACATATAATATTAGGAAAAACAACACAATTACAAATTTTGTCTTCAGATTAACAGAAGAACAGCAAATATTTGTTTTAATCGCGTTGGCCAATCTTATTATTATTTTAGTTCATATCGATCCACAGAAATTCAAAATGGGTCACTAGTTTATAAATTACTGACCGGTAGTCGATATCAAAAAGAATTCTATGGAAAACTTGTGTATGTAATATTCCCAAAAGATGTGCACTTATTTTCTATTGTGGAAAATCTACGGACGTTAGTATTATTGAAATTGATTTTGATTTAAACATTTTTAAATGTATCGATTGTTACACACTTAGGACATCACTACTACATTGCCGTTTTGTGTATAAAGCGTGTATGGTATGACGTATACAATACTATGGCCCCAGATTATACAATTCTAAGGTTCACTTACATTATCTGTTACGTTCTTTCTGTATGCCACAGATCACGGCTATAAGTTTACATTTATTCACAAACTATATAGATATGTGTAAATTGTTTTGTAATATTTATACAGATTGCCATTTATGAGAACAGAACTAATAATATTATATAATATTGTTTTGAGATTTTTTTTACATATACGTATATATTATACATATTTTCTTATTTTATCTACGGTTAAGTAGATTGACGGCAGAATGAGATTGACTTTGATTCGATTAGGTGACGTGCCAGTAAACTGTCAGCCCATTATTAATACATGTTACTGTCAATGGATGAAACTGGTTGATGTTGGTTTTCCTAAATATTAATATAGAATTTTATTGTGCCGATTCCAAATTATTACTATAAATATGGAGTTTATTAAATTATCTTTTCTACCACTATTACTGTTAATAAACTTGACCTCAGCTTTATATTTCCATATAGCAGAAGGCGAAAGAAAATGTTTTATCGAAGAAATACCGGATGACACGACTGTTATTGGTAATTCAATAAAATTAAAATAAAATCAGCTAAAAGTGTGATTGAATTGTCTTTTAATGTAACTGATGGGTTTTTTCAGTAAATTATAAGGTGCAGTTGTACGATCCGCGGTCGGGCGGGTTCATGCCATCCACCCCTGGTATAGGCATGCACGTAGAAGTTCGTGACCCAAATGATCGTATTGTGTTGTCGCGGGTGTATTCTTCTGAAGGGATGATCTCATTCACCTCCACTATTCCCGGTGAACATGTTGTTTGCATGTACTCCAATAGCACATCTTGGTTTAGTGGTTCACAACTAAGAGTAAGTATTATGATATTTTACAATAATTTTATGGTTATAATGTTTATTTATCTAAATTATTGTTATTGTTCTTTTAAGTACTAAATGCTCATAATTATATAAGCCATGACATACTAACTGTGAAATTAATAACATTATTTAGGCCTCATCCTAAACTGTGGACTTAGAGTAGAATTCACACTACTTATGGAGTATGTAAAGATGTGAAGTAAATTTCGTATTGTTACAATTAGTACTTTTACAATGTGATTGTGACAGTGTAACAATTAGTATACAGCTGTGGATACAGATTGTTCAAACAGTTTTCATGTGTGTCAACAAAAGACTGAACATTGTGCCACATATGTATGTAATTTTGAAGTGTAGTTAGTATTTGTAATGAGGAAAAATAATAATAGATTATAAATCCTATTAATATATAAACTTGAGAAGTGACTTTTTCAAATATTTACAAAAATCAGTATTTGCATAAGAGTCACTTTTCACAATTACAAATTTTCAGCAAATTTTCCTACACATAGACTAATAAGGTGTGTAAATTATCAATACTCAATACTTAATATTTATTGCATTCCATAATATTACAATGAAAGATGTTTATAATTAGTTTTAGATCATTATGGACCCTGTTAGGGCACGCAAACATAAGATTATTATTATTATAACTAACTATAACATATAATTTAATATTATTTACATATCTTTACTTACATTTGTATTTCATTTAAAATAATAATTGAATTTATATGTATAATATAGAAATTGTTTTTTTTAGAATTAGTTTATCATAATATGCACTTATAAAAACTTCTACAGAATAAAAACATTTATTAATCAAACAGTAAAACAATTTCTTTGTATATTGAGAATAGCTTAATTTTTTACATTATCAGACAATTAATATAGTATAATAATACCCTACAATATGTTATTGTGAAATGTGTTTAGTCTTTCTACCCATATTGACAATTTATTTGGAATTAGATTTGTAGATTTATTTATTTATGTATTATATTAATACAAAATGTTGTCTCCCATTTCACCTACTGGACTTTTTTTAGATACATCTAAAAAAAGTCTCTCTTTAATAATAATAAACCAGGAAAAGTTGTGAAAATGAGACATACAATAATAATAATAAATATTATTTAGCCACAACCATTTACAGGTCTCAAATAATTTTCATAAACAATTTGTGTTTATATGAGCCTGGGAACTGAACTAGGCATGATTGACATCCATTCAGCATTTAGACACTATGGCACAACCAGACATTTACTTACATTAATAATATTCAGAGTGACTAATTACTAATTATATTGAGTCAGAATGTATAACTGTATTTATTTAATTATAGGTACATTTGGACATTCAAGTTGGGGAGCATGCTGTAGATTATGCCAATGTAGCACAGAAAGATAAACTGACAGAGCTGCAGTTGAGGATCAGGCAGCTGGTGGACCAGGTGCATCAGATCACCAAGGAACAGAGTTACCAAAGGGTACATTATTTTATATTATATTGATTGATATTAGAACAACTTCAGATAGTATGGCTAAGACAATTTGCTCACTGGCGAAGTGATGTAGTTATTAGTTTTAGGGTACAGTAGGAATGGCAGGACTAAATTTCTAAGAAATAAATAAAAATAGATTAGAACAACATTAGTTATCATAATAATTCTTTTTAATTAATATGTTTGTCTTGATGGTTTTGTGGTTCTCATGAAAGAACATGATGATATCGGAATTATTCATGTGGAATTTGGTTAAAAGCCAAATTAAACATGAATGATATTATAAGGCTGTGAAAATAAGGGTGATGGAGATAATATGGTAAGAAGTCTAAAAAGTTATTAGCAGGGGTACTTCAATCGTAGCTAATCACCAAAGCTAATTGTAGCTAGGCTTGCTTTGTAAGTGTAATTTCAGATGAAAGGTAAGGTATAAGTCAGGCAAATTGCAGGTATCAAATGATAATAGTCCATAATGGATGGGCCTATGTCTGTGTGTGTGTGGACAACCTGCAATTTACCTGCTATGCCTATTTAAGACCAGCTTCTCACAGCAAATCAATTCAAATAATACATTTAAGTATTTTACTATAAAGAATACTACATGTATTGTTGCCATCATGTTTGTGAGGAGAAATAAAGAAATCATATTATTATTATTATATTATAACAATGCTTTTTAAATCATGGTTAACACTTTCTATTATGTAGGATGTCATCTTATTTGGCATTTCAATTACATAAAAAAATATATTAATTGCTTCATGTAGTTTTAAAATATATTCAATTTAATAGTAAATGTGTATAATATCTAATATGAGATAACTTATATCTTGGCAATATATCATTTCTATTACGAGTTCATTCATAACTCTACTGTGAGTATTGTATAAATTCACAAACTAGATATTTTGGCATAGGCATTCCCACACATCCATGCCATCTAGTTTCAAACTAAGATGAGATTGTGTTATGAAAAAAAAAATAAGTATTTGTATCAGTTGTCTAGTAACAACTGATATAAGTACTTTTTTTATATTAATACATATGTAAGATACATAGAAAAGACTAAGACCAATTCTAATAATCATACTCATGAATACAAATGTTTGCACCATGCGATAATTAAACAGTAAACATAGAAAGTAAAGCAGTGTACCAAACCACTAGATCACCATGATAACAGTGAGGCCGTTATAAAGGTATATATAGATAGAGTGTAACATTAAATATGACCAATATTATTCCAGCATCGTGAGGAGCGCTTCAGGCAGACATCGGAGAGCACAAACCAGCGTGTACTCTGGTGGAGTTTGCTACAGACTGCTGTGTTAGTTGGCATCGGCTATTGGCAGATGACACATTTGAAGAGTTTCTTCGAGGCGAAAAAATTAGTTTAATATATTTATAATGTAAGGCTATTTGTGCTGTAATTCCTTCTCTCCCTCTTTGTTCTGTAAATTGTTCTCCTGTTTTTTTTTTTATTTTCTTATTTTATTCTGAGAGTTTGTGTAAATGATGTAATATTCCTGTTTTTTTTAAATTATCCTGTTTCATTCTGAGAGTTCGTGTAAATGATGTATATTTTTCCAATAAAATGAAATTATTGTATATAAGTTTAAATTTATTTAAATCCCTTCATAATGTATTTCTAATATAAATAGGTCCTAACTAATGGAATAATCAGAACAGGTGTTTTATGTTAACTCGTAGTTCACTACAGTCACATGAGATGGCAATTATACATATTAATTAATATTATAAATATGACTATTTTTAATTACATACAACAGGACTGTGTGGAGGTCGACCTGACACAGTATATTCTTAGCAATGATCATGATTACTATGTCAGGTAATTTCCCCATTATTAACAATCACCTTCTTCCTATTTTTACATGAATTAAACATATAAATTAATCTGAATAAAATTTGTTTACCCTACAATATTTATTTTCTTATCGATTGTTCTAAAATAGTGAGTAACAGAAATGTGGGTATAAAATAAATTCAATTTAAAAAAATAATAATTTAATCTATGTTTTGTTTAACTCTAAGCGCATCATCCAAGAATTTTATAAACAGAGATGTATCAGGCTTAGGAAATGGTGTCAATAATGTAAAATCCACCATTTGCAATGTACTTTCCAGTGTGTCACATGTACAGTAATACAAGTGGCCATCAATCTGAAGCTGCTCTGCCAGTTCTAGCTGGTGATTATCCATTAGGTCTTCGTTAATTACAACTAATAGTGGTTTGTTGGCTTCCAGAGCTTCCAAACAGCTTCCAGCACCAGCATGACTTATAACAAGGTCAGCATTTTGCATATCATCCTGAATAGAGTCCTTAAACCGATATACGTCAATTATAACCCCATTTCTCTCGTATTTACCTATTTCAAAATCACTGTTACCAATCTGAAATGTGATTTCCTTGCAGCCAATCTGCTTCAGAGCGTCGATTGTGGACGGTTTAAAGATAGATTTTACAAGTAAATCGAATCGAGTTGTGCCTACAGTTATAAAACATTTTGTGTACTGTTTTACCATTTCGAATCTATTATTTTACTTAAACAAATAAATGATTAAAGAGATTTATTTTATTTATTACACTGAGATGGCGATGGTCTCATATTAAACATTTATACAATACAAATTTATTTTTTACTAAAGAAAACACAAAATAATAAATAAATTAAAAACAAATAGTGCCACACAAAAAATGTGTTCCCGACAACACAATTGTTATAGATGACTGACACGTGGAATGACAAATAGTGTCAAGATATTTTCGTTCGGAAAATGAATTAAATCGTAGTGTAAAAATATACTACTGAAGAGAATGACTGTACGAATCCTTTTTTTCCTGAGATAGGAAAATCCTAATAAAAAAAAAGTGTAAACTTATTCATTTGTAATTTACAGTGTTTTTAGGGGTGCTAATGTAATGATGTACTCGCCTATGCTAAAGGTATTCCCTGTCAGGGCATTAGTCAATGATGATTGGTATTAAGATGAAGTCCAAAGTTAAACAGTTACCAAAGGGATCGATCTTACATGGTTAGCAATAGGACCAAACTTGGCTAACCATCCCTTCCCCCCAAAAGAAAGAAATAACACACAAAAATACACAAATAAGAATATATGTATGTAAAAATTCGTAATGGTCAGACAGGATTTGGCTTTTAGCCGCTTCATAAGTCCTTCCACGGGTTTAGAATGCTTCGGTATTCGTCCCCATTTACGTTAGAAGCTGTCAGGTCAGCTACGGCCAGCATTATAGTAGTTAGAAAAATAAACATTTCGCCAGATTAGATAATATCTTTTAAAAGTATGCCTATGTCTTATTCTGATGTATACAAACTATATTATTGGAAAGTTATTAAAAATCGGTCCGTCCGTAGTTTTCTTTTGGTGAAAGGGCAACAAATATCCATGCATACATTCATATAATATTTCAGGTTAAGCAGAGCCTATATATAATCTACGGCAAGATATAGCTGAGGTTAAATTGCCTAATATAAATAACTAAGTAGTACTAATAACTTTAAGTAGCCGCTTATAGTAATGTCTTATTAGATACTTCTACATTTATCTTACCCATTAACTAACTGACCCGTCCTTGCGCTAATTTGTGAGTGTTACAAGGTTTCTTCATTAGATATTAATAAGTTCAAACTATATTTAGGCTACAATATATGTCTAAGTATGTATGGAACATACATTGTAGTGCAGTGTAGAGCACTACGTAAGTATACTTGAGTTATGAACTGCACCACGACAGCGCGGATCAGTGCGGTTCCTCTGAAACCGCACAGATCCGCGCTGTCGTGGCTTTCTTCCGCATACACTTATTCAAATTTAAAAAATCATTTATTCATGTAGGCCAAAAAACTTGACATTTATAAGGGGGTACACCCGCTTATGAATGTCAAGTTTTTTATATTAATAATTATTTTCTACCGCGCAGTTCAGTATACAGATTCAATTGACAATAACTGGCAAAAAACTCAACTGAATTTAATTTTTTTTAAAAGCCATTTTATTTACATTTTATGCTTATATTGGCGTCTATGTCTCGAATGACTTGACAGAGTAGTCGTTGTTTTCATAATACTATCTTATGATAGGTATGATCTGGTGATAGAGCTCGCAATTTATCACCATCTGATACGGTTTTTGGCTGCATGAGAACATTTTACAATGGTCCGCGGGTGGCCAACAATCGATTCATTCAAGTAATCGTTTAGTGAGAAAATTAGGCATTGCTCAGTAAATATGATTTAACAGATGATTTGAATTTATTTAGAGGTATATCCTTTGGTATTCTATTATAAAAATTTTATACCCATTTGACAATGGGTATTAATATTTTATGAGTAAAAGACCTATTGTCTTTTTATATACGATACTTGGGACAGCAAGCATTTCTTTAAATTTAGTATTAATTTTATAAATATGGCTGTTTTTTGGAAATAAGTGAAGATTTTTGTGTACATATAGAATATTTGAGTATATAAATTGAGAGGAAACGATGATAATATTTGCCTCTTTCAATTTCTCTCCTGAGTCACGACTCATACATCAGTAGATTGGTTAAATAACAATACAAATAGAATGTAGTTATAATACACATATATGTATATACAAGTACAATATTACTTAATACCAGATGTACACGCGACTTCGTCCGCGTGGAATTTATCTTTATTTTTTTAAATAAATGATGTTTCCTGATATAAAAGAAGCCTAAGTTACTCCTTATTACATCAGCTACCTGGCAAAAAAGTCCCGTCAAAATCGGTCCAGCCATTTCAGAGATTAGGTGGAACAAACAGACAGACAGACAAAAATTGTAAAAAATGGTATTTTGTTGTATGTACTGTTTTTATATTCATATGCATGTAGTAAAAAACGGTTATTGCAATATTACAAACAGACACTCAGATAGATTGACGTTCAACCAAAATACAGCTTACTAAGCAAGCTGTTTGGCGACTGAAATGAGTGAGATTAAAGTGCCTATCTTTGTTAAAGAAATAGGTATGGAGAAAGATGATGTATTAATGGGCAATAGAGACCCCATTGGTAGCAATGTACTGTCATTTTGACTTCCAACTGATCTTGGAAACAATTGTGGTAATTTCCCACAATATTCTAACTGACCTGACATGACATGAGGCTCAATCTACCTCTACTGGTGCCCCGCTAGCATATACCATTAACGATGGTGCAACATTATTTATTATTCATTAAAAATGTATTGCGTTTATTATGATGTCGACAAGTAACAATGTCTCTGACTACCCCATCCGGGACTATGGCCGTTATGGTATCTACATAACGATGATTTTATATGATGATGATATTATATGAGTATAATATAATATCAAATAATAATATCTCTGGATAAATCACGCAGCGCCATCTAGTCCCAAACTAAGCAGATATCGTGTTATGGGTACTAGACAACTGATATAAATTGATAGATACTTTTTTTTCCAAATACATACAAAACATACATAGAGAACACCTAGACCGATAGAAACAATCATAAAACTGTTGGTATTGTGCGCGGAATCGAACCTGCGACCATCGGAATTAAAGCATTGTGTTAAATCGCTAGACCATCGAGGCCATCAAGATGGATGTTTGTTAGTCTTTCACGCAAAAATTATTAAACGGATTTTGATGAAACTTTAAATCAGAATAATACATACGAGGGCTATAAATTTCACACGTGTGAAACCACTGGCACAGCTAGTATTCAATAAATTCGTCAGCAATTTTTGAGGAGGTGACGCATAAGTTACTTCTGTTGATGAAATCACACCTACAGGGTGCACGTAGCTTGGTATTGTTCTGTCGTAATTAACGTACATTATTTAGCGCTTCTGACCTTTAGGTAACACTCTCCTGTAATATACAGGGTGTACTTATTTTATTTGTACACTAATGTAAACAAAATAAATCATAAACTTATAGTAATTCATCTTAAATATTTTACTACTAAACTCATACTTATATACATATGAAACAACCGCAGTTTTACCGGCATGAAAATAGTGTATGTGTTATATCGATGTAGCGAACTCCTTGATAAGTTTTTATATTATTTTTAAATTTTATAATAATATTCTTTGACATATTATTTTTGTTACTTTCTATTATATATCGCTGTCATACTAGTCGCATTTTATTTAATTTCCGTATTTTCCTCATTAAAACCCTCAGCACCTCTCACTCATCAGGCACATTTGATACCTCCGCTTCAATCGATATATAAGCTATATTACTGTAAAGTTTCATTAAAATCTGTTAATTAGCTTTTATGTGAAAGAGTAACAAACAACCATCCATACATCTATACATGCTTATCACAAAATGTAGCGTTTATAATATTAGAAGTGTAAGATGGGATAATATACCTGCTACCTTCTTAGCTCTATATTCTGCTTAAAATACACCATTATAATTACTTATTCCAATCCTATAAGTAGTAGACATATAGAAATAATTAGTATTCTGAATTTAAATAACTTTATAATACACTAGCTACCTGCCCTGGCTTCGCACGGGTGTACATGTATTATACATATAAACCTTCCTCTTTATCTATTGATAAACAGTATTCAAATGCGTTGCGTATCTTAAAAGATGCGAACAAACAGTGGAAGCGACTTCATTTTATACTATGTATGTATAGTCGTATTTACAGCGGCCCATTAGTGGTAATTTTTACCTGGATTTTTCCTACCTACTAACCTTTCAAACAGTGTAAGAATCTCTCTAATCACAACAGTGATTCCTGAATTTACTTTCCTAAATATTACGCTCTCTTTCTCTCTCTACAATGCGAGAGTAGGATAGTGTATTTAATGGAATTCATTTTGATTAATTATAATATTTAATTAAATGCCCATATTGCGCATCTCTGCCTGATTGCACTTTGTCTATGTGCAATGCATGCACGCAATTTGATAAATAGGTCCCTCTCAGTCGGTAATTATTAAATTTTTATTTAGTACTAGCTGTTACCGCGACATCGTCCGCGTGGAATTTAACTTTGTTTTTCTAAATTAAAAGAGATTTTTTAAAATAAAAGTAGCCTGAGTTACTCCTTATTACATCAGCTACCTGCTAAAAATGTCCCGTCAAAATCCCGTAAAAAATGTTATTTTGGTTTACGTATCGTATTTATATGCATGTAGTAAAAAACGGTTATATCAATATTACAAGCAGACACTCCAATTTTATTTATATGCATAGATTTTTAAGATTTGTTATAATTAATTATGTTTTATGTAATGGAGTTGACATGTTTGGTAACACTACTAAATTAATTTAAATAGTAAAAGAACAGCCTGTACAAAATCAATTCAACATGTTCTCAACCTTAATTCCGGCCGCATTTCATTCGACGTGCTCACTCGTTTCTATCGCTACATTAAAAGTTAACATGGCCCACCTGCGTTCCTTTTATTAATTAGCTAGTTAATGAAACGACTAATTATTTAGTGTCTTTTTTTGTAATAATCCGTTAATAGTTTTTCCACGAATTATGACTGGAATTTCATATTTTGAAGGTGGACAGTGTAGAGAGTTCGTGTTAGTGCACAATGCAAATATGGTTACTCGGTGTATTTCTTTTTGTACCCACATCGGGAGAGGATTTCCCGTCATTGATAACTGCAAATGCGTCTATAGGTAAACAATTCCCTATTTCTTTATTTATTTGTTGCATGATATAGCAGATCAGCTGTGCTCGCGACTTCGTCAGCCTGTTATAGTGACCATGGCCAAAAAAAACAAAATGTAATCTAAAATGGCAAAAAAAAGTTTCATCGTTCTTCTTGTTTATAAAACTACGATTTTCCATACAAACATCTCCTATTTTATTTTATTACCTTATGGGTAACAACTAACTTTGAATGTCATATTTATTTATATTAAATCAACAGCCTAAATCGTAAGATTCAAACTTCTAGTTTTCAAAATGATTATACTTCCATAAATCCTTTCAATCCATTACAACCCTTTTTTTATATAATCAACAACATAAAAAATAAATTTAATATTTCGATGTTTGCGGATACGATTCTCGCGACTTCCTAAGCATTGGTTTTGGTGTCATTTACTTTACATTTCTTGTATTATGATCTTGTAAAATTATTTCTATGTTTCTATTTACTGTGAGAATGACTGTAAGTTTGTAAAAATTGTGTCGATAAAAAATATTATTTAAAAAAATATTCTTATTTGATAGTGTGAACCCACAGTACAGGCTCACCTTAGTTTGGGGGTTAGATGGCTCTGTAAATTGTCCTGGCATTCTGGATTATTTTATTATTCTGTAAAATAATATTTCAGAGCGGATGCTTATCTTCTATGGTATAAAATAAAAACATTTATGTTCCAAATATCAGTTTTGGATTAAGGAATTTTGTTTGGCTGTATTTTATAATCAGTTAGGACAAATTATATTATTAGTAGGTATAGCTAATGGAATGTCTGTCTGTTACCTATTGCCGAGTTTCTCTCCTGCTGTTTTGAGTTTTGAAAATATGGTGTTTATACGTCCTACGAGGACATGGAGGATACAAGCCAACTTCGCTTTTCATTTTCAATTAACAGTTTCATTAGGATCTGTACAGTCATTTCTTAATCGGATAACGATCATCGTCTGGACGACAGACACACTTTATCATTTATAATTAACATACGGATGTACTTTATACACGTAATGTAAGATACATAAGAATATATTTCTTGTTGTCAGCTGTAGTGTTGGATCGACAGTACCTAGGCGATCAGTATCAGTCCACACTGGACGATCTGAAGGACTACATCAAGGAGTTGGTCAGGGTGGACCTCAAGCACGGTGGAGTCGTTGTACATTATTTCTCATGGACAGCAATAAGTCTTAAGAAAGGTAAGTTTTTTAACGTTTTTGTTCCTAGGCGTCTTTGTCAGTTTTTCATGACGTAAAAGAAAGCTAAAATAGGTAAAATTTAAACTTTTTTTTTATTTATGGTCTAGCGGCTTAGCACCCCGCATTACTTCCGATGGTCGTGAGTTCGATTTATCGTGCGGTACAAACGTTTGTATTCATGAGTACCTATAATTGTTTGTATCATGATCTGCGTGTTTTCTATATATATTATGTACGTATTTTTTTAAATGTCTCTAAGTTCTATAAGTTGACTAGTACTCATAACACAACTACAACTAACACCGCTAAGCTTAGTACTAGATGGCGTTGTGTGACTTGTTCAGAAATATAATAATTATTATATATGTAAATGTATACTGTTTCTATAATCAGGTTTTATAGCAGTATTCAGCATAGCATCATGCGCGGACACATGGTCCTTATTCTCAAGGACTGAGGAGGAAGAGTTGCTCCTATTTGCTTTAACGGAGGTGGATTGTCCAAGGCTCCCACTGAATTCTGCCATTACTGTCACATACTCATCACCTGGTGAAGAGTTGCCGCAAATGCTCCTTGATTTGAGGACCACAAGGGCGTTTAAGTGGAAGTCTGCTGCCATATTACATGATGACACTTTGAGTAAGTTATTATTTTTATTAATGGTTGATATTTTTTTTTATTTTTATTTGTTGCTCCTTTTTGCACCTTTAAAAAAATACAAAAAAGCAGAATATATTTGTAGGTACAAAAGGCGGTTAAAACGGATTAAGGGATGTCTTTCACACAACCTTTAGATAAAGGAGAACAGACAGAAGATAGTGGATGGCGCTTGATGGAATGAATAAACATAAATAATAATAGTAATATATAAAATATATTAAATATAAACGTATTGTCAACACATATACATACGTAATATATATGTATATAATAAATATACAATAATATATATAAACTTTATGAAATTTATTTACTAACATAAATTTATGAATTTATGCGCTAGAGGCATACGCTGGGACACCAGTGGAGGATGAGAAAATGGACTTGAGGTCAGGTCAGTTAGCCCAGCATCGTGGCAATTTCACTAGGAATTTATCGCCATGATTTCCGAAGGGAATTGGCTGGTAGTTTATAATTAATTATTTTAAAAAATACAGTTGCGACCAAATTCGTTTCCACTCAGCTTTGTGTCTAGGCGGTAATGGCCAAACCCTGATTTTCAATGGAACCTTTTATTAATTAATTTAAAATTATATAAAGTGTTTACTGTTGCCTGGGGAAACGTGCCCTATTGATGGTACTTCTGATGAGGTGTAGGTGTAAGTGTATGTTCTGAGAAATTGTGGATAAAATACATAGGTAAAACAATACAGTACGGACAGTTATACAGTGGAAATTTGATTGTCTTATAGAAATTTCTTAAGTTTTAGTTTAAATGTAAATACAGATACGGTCATATGAAACTTTTCCGGTTCGTTTTCGAAAAAAAAACCAATTTCTTCACATGTGATATTTCCGAGAACTGGCAACATAAGTGACACCGATCGTACCCCACTCAAATTCAATTTATTGATGTTCTGTCAGCCTGTTTTGATAATACGGACGCAACTGGGGAAACGCATAAACATAGTATTATTTTTAATTAATGATAATGTAATGGTGCACCTGCCTTTTCTTTTACTTGGAGAAAATCCCTTATGGAGATCCGCCCGCCCCGGGGGAGACAAGCGGGTAATGTGAGACTCCTACTCACTAAAAACTCCAAGATGTCCCTCGTCCAACGCCATGTGCCGGAGTCGCGGATCGAAAGAGTCCACTGCGACTCGGAGGGCGCGGCGGTGGATCACTTTAGCATAGGGTCCCCATCGGAACCATTTCTTCCCTGGGTAACACGGGCGGGGACATGCGCGCGACTTCTTCGAGCCTAGTGCGGTGGGGTAGGACCACCCCCGCGGTCGACGCCTGCGCTGTCCCCGCTCCATGATTGCTAAGAGGGGAACCAATGGTGCCCCTGCTTGCGCTAACGAATTACACTAGCGGGGCACCAGTGGAGGATGATAAGATGAAATGAGGTCAGGTCAGTTAGCCCATCGTGACTAAGTCACCAGGAAATTATCATGTTGGTTTCCAGGGGGAACTGCATGGCGGTCAACCTGCCATGACATTGTCAGCTATGAAGTCATCAGGCTTTGTTGCTAATGATTCCCTTTCCCCCAAACATAGTATTAAGTGTTTTATAGATGACCTCGGTGGTTTAGCAGCTTAGCACACCGCCTTACTTTGATGGTCGCGGGTTCGATTCCTCGCACGGCACATACATTTTGTATTCATGAGTATGATTGTTTGTATGGGTCTTTTCTGTGTATAATACGTATGTATTTATGAAAAAAAATCTATGTAGGTATTTGTATCAGTTATCTAGTACCGATAACACAAGCTTTAGGTAGCTTTACTTGGGACTAGATAGCGCTGTGTGAATTATTCTGATTATTATATATTCATATAAATTACGTGTCCACTTTGATTTCAATTTAGGATAGCCTTGTATGTAGATAGTATTAGCAAGGACAAATAGACAGAGAGAAAATATTTTTACAATATTATTTTAATGTAAGTACCGTTTATATCTTTAGATATATTTAGTGAAAAGCTGTTAATTTGAAATTACAAACTTTACTTCTGTAGCTATAATAAAGACCCTAGTCTGTTAGAATTTTGTAATCTATACATCTATACATATAAATTAAAATTGAAATGTCTATTTTTACTACATAAATACATGCATAATGAATATAAAGATGGTACCTACACCAAAATAACATTTTTACAATTTTTGTCTGTCTATCTGTTTGTTCTGGCTAATATCTGACAGGACTTTTTTTGGCAGGTAGTTGATGTAATAAGGACTACAATAGGTTACTATTATTTTAGAAAAATAAAGTTAAATTCCACGAAGTTGCGGGTACAGCTATGTACTAATAAAACTTGTACAAAAGGCAAATCTAATGACATTATATGTGGCTACCAATTATTATACGTAGATGACAATACATTCTACTCAGGCTTCTCAAATAACCATATCATTCGATAGCAAAATTCAACGTTTGAATGCATACCCAATGCTATGAATATTAAATAGAAGACAATTTCTGGGATTCTACGTTTCTTTGCACGAAACGAGATTTTAAGAAAATCATATATTTTTTAAATGCCCAGCTTTTTTATTATTAATTTTCATAAGTACGTAATATTAACGAACTTTACTTTTTTTATACCACGTAGGTGGCAAACAAGCATACGGGCCATCTGATGGTAAACGGTTACCGTAGCCTATGTACGCCTGAAACACCAAGGGTGTCACATGGGCGTTGCTTTTGAATTTATAGTTTTTTTCGTCCTTATGAGAACATACTCAAAATGGAATATATGTATGTAGGTAACAACTTGAAATAGTTCTAATGATTATAAAATTCAATATTTCAACTAGCTCCTCAATAAAATCTAAACTATTACCAAATATAACCATAATCTAATAAGACCCGACCCTATCACCTTTGGCTTTCAAACAAAAAAGCGCACCATAATCTATGCGTTGCTACGATTCCACAGATACACAGACATCTGAAACTTGTAATATCCCTCTTTTGCTTAAGAAAAATGTTTGAACGGTTTCACACAAAAAAGATTTTTGCTATTCGGTCTTGCAAATGACCACAAAACCTATATGGATCTATGTAAACAATTGCTTGCAAATGTGCCGTACCAAATACGATTTAGTATCACAGATTCATTATTCATTTAATGTAAGACAAGTTATTTAGAATGTTTATTTATATAGGTGTCTATATAAATAAACATTCTAAATAACTTGGCTTTAATAAAAAAAGAAATTCAATTGTATTTCTGCAAGTTCTTCACAATTTAATCTATACAGATGAAATAACTGAACTGAACCGTCCGGTAGAGAAAAAAATATACTTTAAAACATTTGACGTTCATAAGCGACTAAAAATAAATGATTTTTAAATTTGAATTAAAAAAAATATGTTGTCTCTTAACGCAGGCTTCATTACATAAAGTCGTCCACTTCATACAAGAAATAAAAAAAAAAGAAACTAAAAGAGATACAGCTATGATGAGCGGAGCGGCTCGTAGCATGTATTTTATAATCTGTGGTGCTTTTCATTTTGCGCGGGATAATGAAAACGCTTTTGCACTAAATCTTCTGCAAACAGACATTCTATTGTTCTATGTTGTTTTGTTACTTTACTTATATTATGAATTATATTAATTTAAAATGTTCTTGTTTTGATCTTTAGTAAAATTATAATACATTAAAACGGGGGCAAATTAAAATGTGGACTGATGATTTTAATGCAAACCATTGTGATAAATTCTTGGTGAATTTGTCACGATGGGCTAACTGACTTGACCTCATGCTCGTCTTATCATTTTCCACTGGTGCCCCGCCAGCGTAAACAGTTAGCGCAGGCGGGTGCACCATTCCATTATCATTACATTACTGTCCGTCCCTATGTATGCTTATATATTTAAAACTACACAACGGATTTTAAGCGGAATTTTTGATAGATAGAGTGATTCCAGCGGAAGATTTATTTGTATAATACATGTACAGCCGTGCAAAGCTGGGGCGAGTAGCTAGTTATCCATAAAAAGATACTTTAAAACGATATACGCACATATTATATTTATAATTAAACAAGCTGACCGAAAGGTTTTTGAAATTTGGTTACGTAATAAACTTCTGAACTAATAAAAGGTTAAGTGAGTTAATCTAAAAAGATAGATATATGTTGTTCCGGATTTTTTTTTAGAACTTTTAAGGGAGAACAATTTTGTCTAACATTTTATGCAATGCACGCACCAGAAGCAGTCAAACCTACAAACTTTATGTTATATATAAAATTCTGGTGTAATGTTAGTTACCATACTTGATCGATTTTTATGAAATTTTACTGTTATTTTTCATACCTCTAAGTCATAAGGGTTGTCTACCCCTAATATTTTTTTGCACAAATTTTTTATTTTTATATTATGTGGCACTAAAAAATAGACAACCCTAAATTTTCACCGTTCTATCACTAACGCCTATTTCTTAATAGCGATTTTATTTATATGGCAAAAATACTTTTCCTGAGTCACCTAGTCTCTTTACAATATTAGTATATATTTATTGATTCTTCTTTCGCCAGGTCGCGACATGGTATCTCGCGTGGTACAAGCTCTGACATTACAAATGGAAGATGACAGGGTGCCGTCCATATCTGTCACTGTATACAAAATGAAGCACGAAGTTAATGAGTACTTGAGACGTAAAGAAATATACAGAGTTTTATCCAAATTACCCGTTAAATACATAGGTAAGTCTTTTTATACTACAGAAATAGTTTACGAACTCTTTTTTAGCAGTTTATGTTGCCGACCAAAGTACAAATTGGAATTGGGTGAAAATTGGTATTGAGATGAGATGCATGATTATATAAGGCGCAAGGCAAGGCAACAAGGCACCGTTGGTTATAGGTATATAAGTATATATATATAGGAATTTTAATATCTTGGTTGCAGTATTTATTATATTATATTTTAAAAAATATGACTAAATTTATTTTACCGAACTATGCTGTGAATCTTTTGTCTTAATATAGTCACAGTACAGTTGTTTTAAAATTGACATTTATTTAGTATTTTTTTGTACGAATTATTTTATTAGTGACACTTAATTCCATTATCATCATATCGTAATACAGTACTATCTGTACATTTACATGCAGACACTTTTGCCATGGCCTTTGTTTTTTTATTATGTATATGGTTTCGTTTACAATTAATAATTTAATCATTAATCTTAACATATAGCTTTAGGAGATAATTTAATAGCAACCGATAACCTATAGACCTGGTTTTGTGAACCAAATTTACACTCGGAACTTCATCAAGTTAATATAGTTATTATAACTATTTTATTCCACTGGATGCGGAATGTAAATTAGGCTTAATATCCTGTTTCAGGGGAGAATTTCATAGCAATAGTAACCTCGGATGTGATGACGACAATGACGGAGACTGCTCGCGAATTGTCAATGTCACATACACTAGCGCAGTGGTTGTATGTGGTATCAGATACAAACTACCACAATGGTAACATGTCAACATTGATCAACGCATTATATGAAGGAGAGAATATAGCTTTCCTTTACAATATAACGGACAATAATCCCGAATGTAAGGTAAAAGAAATATATTCGCACATTTCAACTTCAAAATGTAAAGTTACAACTAAATTATTAAAAAAAGCAACACGCAAGTTTCATGCTCATTCTTCGTGTGATGAGACAGCATTTCGAATGAGCGGTACCTACATTAAAAAAAATGCCTACTCAAAAGTGTTTGAAAGTAAGTTTATTTGAATAAAGAATTTTCTATTCTTGTATTAAACCTCCTTTTTCATCCTTCGAACTTAGATGAGGAATAAACTAAGTTCCAAACATGAATGGAACTAAAATTGGAACTTAGTTGAGGATTATAGGAATAAGCTATATTCCTCAACCAAGTTCCAAACACGAATGGAACTAAAATCGGAACTTAGTTCAGGATTATTAGTATAACTTATATTCCTCGACTAAGTTCCAAATGTGAATGTTAAGGAATTAAAACATAGACGAAACTAATATCGTTGCAAACTACAATATTAGTTTCGTCTACATTGGACATTATATAAACAGGAGAATATTTACCGTAATTATAATATTTATGAACTTTACTCACAGATTAAGTTATTACAACAGAGTCGAAATTTCGGGAGCTCATTATTAAATATTATCATAATAAATACCCCGCTCATATTCGTCGGCCTCAGTGGTCTAGCGCTATAGCATACCGCTTAAATTCGATGGTAGTGGGTTCGATTCCTCGCATGGTATAAACATTTCTATTCGTGAGTATGTTTGTATCGGACTGGGTGTTTTCAATGTATTATGTATTTAAAAAAATATAACTAGTCTAGTAGTATTATTGTTAGTTTTGGTTAAGCCAAATTAAGATTTTTCTAAATTATCTCAAACATGGTGTTGGTGGTGTTCCCATGCATTATTTACCAGTAAAATATTAAAGAGATATTATAAAAAGCAATGACGCTGTATGATGCTTAGATATTTTTATTATGTTATCTTAGGTCTTAAAGGTATATTGTTAAAATGATTTTCAGGATGGTATACTGTGCTACGGTCAAGAGATGATGAGTGCTTTCGTGTCAGCTTTAGATACAGCCATCCAAGATGAGTTCGACATAGCGGCTCAGGTCTCCGACGAGGAATGGGAAGCTATCAGACCTACCAAGATTCAGAGACGAAATATGCTTTTGAAACATATGCAGGTATAATTATGTACCTACTAATGTTATAAATCTGTCTATAATAATGAATCTAAATAAATCTGTTTGTTTTAGCGTGAAAGCGCGACAGACTTATTAGTCTGAACTAAACTAAAACTCCTAAACCTATTTAAATTATAATTCAAATATAGCACTCAGATGGTCTAGTCTAGAAAAGGACATAGGATACTTTTAAAGTGAAAAAGGGGTTGTAAGGGATTGAAGGCGAGATGAAAGGTTGAATAGAAGTATCGTCATTCTTAAAGCTAGTATATTGAAACTAATATTGTATGCTGTTGATGAAATATAAATTTATATAATTTTAAAGTTTGTAAAAAAATTACCCTTAAGGGGGTAAAATAATATGAAAGTTTGTATGAAATTCGACAATTTTGAAGCTAAAACTATGTTTTTTTTGAACTGGGTTAGAAATACAAATTGTTACGTATACGTAGTTTTTTGTTGTCGACAAAATTTATACATATGAGATATTAACGTAAGTCAGTAACCCAGTTTCATTTCTATCTATATTCTGTATTTAATCTTTTACTGTAAACATCATCATTTGCTTCTCCCTTATCCCATTCATGTATGGTCGACTTAATATGTTTTTCTGTGCCATTCATCCCTGTTCGCTGTCATCTCGTTATTTATTTCCTTTCTTACCATATCGTCTTTCACTCTTACCATGTCCATTCATCAGCTTTCCTCTGCCCTTATAACATTCATATATAACACCTTCCCTAAAATATTATCTTCATTCCTACGCATTACATGCCCATACCACGACAGACGATTACTCTTCAACCTTTCAGACACCTGCACCACTTTCTTTCACTGTAAACGTTATGAAACATTGAGTATTGAGTTCTAGATGTACAGGTAACATTTTCTTTATTTATTCTCTGCTCAGCAATACTTGGCCGTTAAAGGTGTGTGTGGAAACTGCACCACTTGGAGAGCGCTGGCCGCGGACACGTGGGGTGCAACTTACTCTCAGATAACGGATACACCAGATCAGGAAGTGAAGGCTGTTGAAAATATTACTACTCCCGCCATAGAAAAGGTTGAATTGCTGCAAGTAAGTGATATTGTCATTTTATTGTGATTTACATTGTATTGTGTACTTGCCATATGTAATTGGAATGGACACATGGCGCTATTTAGTCTCAAGCCAAGCCGAGCTTGTGTTATTACTAGATAATTGATATAAATATTTAAATACATTTTTTAATACTCATGAATATAAATGTTCGCACCTTGGGTGGAATCGAACCCGCGACCATAGAAAGTCAAGTGGTGTGCTAAACCGCTAGATCAACGAAACTGTCATGTATATGAATGGGGACGGAATTTTAGTCTTAAAACCTTATTTTAATTTAATTGAGAAACAAACAATATTAATATTATTTTTGACGATTTTTTAAAGCTATTTGTTTTATTATGGCATTACATTATATGGGAAATATGTAGGTTGGATACTGGCGACCCATAGACGCGATGCGGTACGATGATGTTTTATTCCCTCACGTGGAGCATGGGTTTCGAGGGAAGCAATTACCCATAGTTACATACCATGTAAGTACCCAGTTAGACGTAGTTCTGCCAGGTCACCGGGTCAACCGGGTCAAATTGTAATTTTTTGGTATCCCGATGGTGGCAAACAAGCATACCACCCATTTGATGGAAAACGGTTACTGTAGTCTATGGACTCCTGAATTATCACTGATATGTCGAGTGCGAAAATTGTGATTTTTTGGTACCCCGATGGTGGCAAACAAGCATACCACCCATTTGATGGTAAACAGTTATCGTAGTCTATAGACCCCTGAACCATCACCGATATGTCACGTGCGCTACGAGCCTTAAGACCTTAATATAGCCTTCTTAAAAACCCCATATTGTAGTTTCTCAAGAAAGAACTCGAAGGTAGTTCAATGCTTATTAACAAAAATCCTGACTTTCATAAGCAGCTAAAATGTCCTAAATGCATTAATGATTTTTTATTTGTGTAAGTATAGTAATCCACTATGCCATGTCTCTTCGATCTGTGTATATTGTTGTAATTATTATATTTCAGAATCCTCCATGGACTATATTGCAAGTCAATGAATCCGGTGTTGTGTCAAGTTGCAAAGGGCTCATGTTCGATATCGTAGACCAGCTGGCCAAGAATAAGAATTTCACGTGAGTTTTATAAAGATTTATTTATTTATTTATTTATTCTTTTGCACACTAAAATGTATACAAGGCGGACTTAATGCCTGATGGCATTCTCTACCAGTCAACCGTCGCGTTGATCAGAGATAATAATAAGGCGGTGCAATTTAACAATTAATATATAAAGAAAAACAAATATGGATAAATACGGAAAAATAATATTATATAAAGATTATGATTAAAATACTCATACGTAATAATAAAATTCTAATCGCACACAGACACATACGCACACAGGCTCACACTCACGGGCATAGCTAGTATTTAATAAGATTAAAAAAAAAAAGCAAACAGTTGATATAATTATATCTATTGTATATATATAATATATAAACTGTTTGCTTTTTTTTAATACCTCAGCTTCCCTTATGGGAGGCTGAGCTATTCCCGCGCAGGATTTAGTAAACCTACATCTGTAAAACTGTTTATACTGTCGTACAATTAATACAACTAAACGTAAAACAATTTATTTACAGGATCAAACTTATACTCCCAAACAATATGAAGATGGACTTCTCCAATGAATCAATGACAGAGGTAAGATTAAGAGGTGTGGTTAACCGTTAGAGCACCAAGACAGTCAATAATCGTGTTAGGAATCGAACCCATGACTGTCGAAACTAAGGCGGTGTGCTAAACCGCTAGACCACCGCGGCCGTCACTAATTTGGAAATAAATCTTAAAACATTTCAGATAACAAGTGAGAGTTCACAGCAGGCATTGTTAGTTGTAGCCAAGAGGCAAGCAGCACTCGCTGCGGCTTCGTTCACCATTTTATCTGACCGGAATCCAGGTGAACCATTTGCTAATATATCACTTGCAGAGCGTCGCTACTTTGTAATTTATTACCTTGATTCAAGACTCAAAGGTCGAGAGATCGAATCTGGCTGACACCTAAAGATCGTAGATGTGAACTGACTAATTCTACAGTGATATCTGTCACTTTGGAATTGTACACCGATAACAAACCGAATTTACAACGAGATACGGCTGTAGGTTCGTCCCTTGATACGTTAATACGTTTATATTATATGCGAACACCAAAACGTCAGCAAGGCCTCTGTCTACCACGTCTGGGATACGCGTACCAAGATAAATGACAACATACCTGAGTTTTACGAAGTTTATTTATATAAGATTATTCGTTTTTCTGTAACTGCATAGAGTAGAATTATTACTAGTGAGGAATGACCTGACCACCGATACTGGAAGCGTTATGACTTTTCCATAGTGATCTAATTCCAACCGTTATTGGATTTACAGCCATATTACGACACGTGTTTCGCCTCCAAACGAGGCATCGTCAGGCAATGATTTACTCATTATTCGTTTAGAAGAAGCCTATTGTTGACTGTTTGGCGCCCAGAGTATAACTCCGTTTCGTCGAAAGTCATAACGTTTACAGAACCGGTTAAAATAGTACAAATGCATCAAGTAATGAAATAGATTTTCACAAAACAACACGATATCGAATTAGCGATACTCTACTTAATATTTTTATCGAATTAGCGATAAAAATATTAAGTAGAATGGTAAACAAGTGGACTGCTCAACCTGTGATAAGTGGTAATCGTCACCTGTTCACTTGAACAGTCCTACGAGCCTCAAAATACATGGTAACCCTCGTGATGCGTCCTCAATTCCTTAGGAGTAAGGCATGCCTCCATAATTCTCACCCTATAATTTCATAATAAGATGAGATATAGACTGTATAAAGTATGCCTCTTGTAAATGGAATGGCAAACAACCTGATTGCCCACCTGATGGTAAAATCGTTGCCTGTACTTTAACAGCACTACGAAAATCATGTGCGAACGCCATACAGCTCATGCGTTCCAGAGGAATAAGATGTTATGCCTCTTATCCTGTAATTTCACCGCCTAATACACAACCTTTAGAGAAAACAACTTGGTGCCTGAAATATTGACTGAAGTATCCACGCTGACGACTTTTTACAGGTTACCAGCCTAGCCTCTAGATTATTGTCAGGAGTTTTAATTTTATGCATTTATCAGGTATAAATTACACGATACCAGTGAGCACGCAGCCATATGCGTTTCTGATAGCGCGCCCAAGGGAACTCAGCAGGGCCATGTTGTTCCTTCTACCATTTACTACCGATGTAAGTACAATACATTGATACTACAGTATTTGATGTGTAACATCTTTCCTCTGCATCGTTTACCTCCTTATAATAGACCTTATCTATCTACAGAAACCAATGCAGAAATAATTAATTGAAGGATTGTAAACGTAAGAAAAAATGTATGTCTATTTATAATATCGTCTTACTATTTGGTGAAATAAAAAAAACAAATTTAATTCGAGAGACGACCTTAAGCTTATGCCACGTTGAAATCAAATCATCATTACCACTGCTGGACATAGGCCCTTCTCAAGGCACGATCATCAGCCCTTTTCATCCAGTTATTACCTGCAACCCTACGTATGTCGTCGCTACACTTACCTACTCTACGTTTGCCAATTCGCAGTCTCCATCCTAGAATGTATGTCTACTTGAACTTTCCGACGAGTCTGGCCCAGACCAACACATCAATGATTAATCTATTTGAGTTTGAAATCAAATATATTTAGTTCAAATATAATTTAAGTCACTTATATAGATGAACATGATTATTATAGTACAGTATATTTGCAGACGTGGCTGTGTTTAGGGCTGGCTGTAATCCTTATGGGGCCGACGCTCTTCGTGGTGCACCGTATGAGCCCCTATTACGAGGCGAAGGAGATCACCCGTGAAGGTGGACTGGCGACTATACACAACTGCTTGTGGTATGTGTATGGTGCTCTGTTACAGCAAGGTAATTTTTTTGAATTGTATTTTATAATTCTTGACCTACAAACCAGAAAGACAAACGATCTGGTTAAAATCACATCAGCGTTGGATGCGAGCAGCGCAGGACCAATAGTCGTGGAGATTTTTGGGGTAAGCCTTTTTTTAGTGAACGTCTCCTGGACTGATGATGATGATAAATTCCTAAGCTTACTGGAGTAACATGAAAGAGTCATGTTCGCTGTAAAGTTCAAACTTGTGGAGATGTCTAGCGCCGGTGCAATGATGGCTGGTTTTTGTTTTTTTTTATAACACAGGGGACAAACGAGCATGCGGCTCACCTGATGGTAAGTGATTACCGCCGTCCATGAGCACCTGCAACACCAGGGGAAATGCAAGTACGTTGTCGGCCTTTTAAAAAGGAATAAGCTCTTTTCTTGAAGGTTTCAATATCGTATCGGTTCGGAAATACCATTGCTGGAAGGTGATTCCACAATGTGGCTGTGCGAGGCAAAAAAATATTTGGTTCATCCGTCATAATCGTGAAAGAGTATTTGTAGGGACTGGTCTGTTCGGGTTATGGCCATTGATTATACTATTTCCTATTGACAAAATTACGATAGCATATGCTAGTTTTCACTCTATTCCTGTTATTCTATTAAACTTGTATTGTTGTAAACATTTAAGCTCATTGGATAAGAATAAGAGCTGAGTTTCTTGTCAGTTCTTCTTAGCTCGAAAGCTCTCCGAAGTGACAGTAGATTATACATATTATCATGAGAGTCTGTTTATTTACTATTACCACAGATAAGATAATATTATATACTATTAGTAACTGTGGAAAAAATATATATTTAAAATATTGTAAAATTGTAAAATCCTACAGATTTTCATCACGATTCTCAGTAAAGAGGCTAAGATAAAGGCGTAAGAAAGGAAATTGGCTCATAAATTTTATAGTCCATTTACTGCGGATTCATTCATTTAAACTATTAAAATTTTCAGACAGTCTTCATTACATTACGGTAGATAGCGAATGAAAAATTTATTACGCAAAAGCGATAATTTATATTATGAAATACGATAATCCTACATGTTTAGTCTGATCTTATACCAGTTTTATCTTGCTGTATTGCCGTATACAGAATGAATCCTTCTAACATTATAAAAAATAAAATATGGATGGATTTTTCATATTTGTTTATTTACAAATATAACAAATCTCGTTACACAACAGCATATCAATAGTAATTACATTTTTAAGATAATTATGTCACAATTACAACTTTAAGTATTCAAAATAATATATAACACAGTAATAAAAGTCACTTAATGGAAAATGTCATAATTTTACATTGGAATTCAGTTATTCCGTCACATTGTAAAAAGGATGTCGCTCGAAATATGATTTTATTTTGTTCTTAAATTCTGTTGATGTCAATTCCATTGTTTTATTTGATAGTTTATTTTTAAGTAAATACCTTGTTTTATTGTTTTTGCAAGTCGTAATCTTGGTAATTCTAATTTATGTCCATTTCGTGTCATGGAATTATATATTGGTTATCCGCCTTTTTATGCAGTGTATTGCTCTTTTCGTGTATGTCTAACAAGGAATAGTATATGAACATTATATAACAGTCATTATACGCTGTTCAATGAAATACGGTCTCAGAGAGGTGCTTCTATGGATTCCGAATATAATTCTGATAGATGGATGAATCGATGTTTGTTACTCTTTCATGCAAAAACTACTGAAAGGATTTGATGAAACTTTTAAGTAATATAGCTTATACATCAGAATAATACATATACTTTTACGTGAGTGATACCGCAGATGCTGATCCACGCCTGAAACACCAGGCGTGTCATGTGTGCGTTGCACTAAGAATGAGTGCATAGCGGTTTCTATGTTGACTATCGCATGCTTCTGACTTATTATTGTGTATTTATATAAAAAGAAAACATCTATTAAAAGGTTTCTTCTTGAACACAAGTTTCTTGCTCATTCTTCTTGTGATTAATCTGTACGAATGAGTGGTAGAATAAAAAATGTGACTATACAAAAGTGCTCGTACTGAGTTTATTTTAAAAAAGATTACTTATATTTCTATTAAGAAAAAAACATTATATTGCGATATTCTCAGGTGGGATGTACTTACCACGGGCTGATAGTGGTCGCTTGGTGGTTGGCACGTGGTGGCTGGTGGTTCTAGTGGTGGTCACGACCTACTCTGGAAACCTGGTGGCCTTCCTCACATTCCCGAAGCAGGAAGTTCCTGTTACATCCATATCTGAACTCCTGGAGAACAGTGAAACGTACACTTGGTCGATTACTAAAGGATCCTACTTGGAGTATGAGTTAAAGGTATATGTTTCGTCATCCTTGTTTGTTATTGTTATTGTTATATTGACGGTCTCGGTGGTCTAGCGGTTTAGCACCGCTTTACTTCCTATGGTCGCGGGTTCGATTCCTTGCACGGTGTAAACATTTGTATTCATGAGTATGATTGTTTATATCGGTCTGGTAGGCGATTGATTTTTTTGAGAGGACGACAACCATTACGGCTTTAAACAGGCTTCCCAGAACTTCGGGCTTGTCCGAAGTCCTTGAAACCGGGTTACGTGTCCGCTGTCAAGACGTGATCTCCAGCAGATCACTCTTGCTATTGATCTGGTTATATAGATTATTGGGAAATAAAAATTATTTTTTATTTTCATCTACAGAATTCCGACGAGCCTAAATACAAAGCTTTATTGAAAGGAGCCGAACTAATTACGGACATGAAAGGACCGAATGCTACTACCAATTTAGGTAAAATATTCTATTTTGTGTACGAGTGATCACGATGATAATATGAAATCTTATTAATATTATAAACGCGAAAGTTTGTGAGCATGGATGGATGTTTGTTACTCTTTCACGTAAAAACTACTGAACGGATTTTGATGAAACTTTACAGTAATATAGCTTATACATCTGAATAATATATAGGCTATAAATAACACGGGTGAAACCGAGGGCACAGCTAGTTAATAATAATTCCATTAAAATGTAAAATTAGCATTTTTTAAAATACATCATGATATGTATATGTGCATATGTATGTGTGAGTATGTGCATAATAGCAAAAATAATAGAACAAAAATCTATACTAATAAAGAATGATAGTGAGATAGAGTGGATTTTGTTATGAGGAGAGAAAAAGTCTACAACCACTACATGGATTTAAGAACTTCTTTCGTTGGTGTTAAAGTGTATTAGTTTTGGTTACACCAGAGTGTACGAAAATTTAAGGTTTGGTATATGTTATCTTATCTACAGTATATTACTCGGAAATAATGCAGCAAAACAAAAAATATTTTTTGAAATCAATACAGTGATGTAGAAGTTACATTTCCCATAACAAAATCCTCAGTCTCCTCTATATTTATTTATTACTATCTGAGCCTGCGGTTTCACACGCATAATATGTATAGCCTATAATTTATTATGATATATATTAAGCTATATTACTGAAAAGTTTCATCAAAATGCATTCAGTAGTTTTTGCGTGCAAGAGTAACAAACATCCACTACTCACAAATTTTCGCGTTTATAATATTGTTAGCTACCGGCTTTGCACGGATGTACATGTATTATACTATATATTATACATGTTATCTTGCTCGTTCTTCTTGTGATGAGACAGCTTTCCGAACGAGCGGTAGATTAAAAAAAATGTAATGACTATTCAAAAGTGCTTCAGTGTAAGTTTATTTGAATAAATGATTTTCTATTCTATTCTATTCTATTCTATAAATCTTCCTCTTGAATTATACTGTCTATTTAAAAAAATATCATATATTATGTCAAAATCCATTGCGTAGTTTTAAAGATTAAAGCATACATAGGGACGGACAGATAGCGACAGCGACTTTGTTTTATACTAAGTACTGATTCAATAACATTTAAGTTAGTCTCTATATAATATTATTATTATGAAACAACATTAAAAATTGTATTAAAGAGTCTACAAAGTAGCGTGCCCGTCCAAAAATTTTAGAGATTATTAAAATTTGCATTTGAAGAAGTCGTGATTGCCTACAAAATGAAGTAGCATTTTCGAGAGCTTACATTGTATGTAATTGGTTATTTTGTCGCTTCAATGTATTGCAATAATCCAATCAAAAACATAAATGTGAAATGATAGCCGAGTTTAATATTATGATATATGCCTTTATTGTTGACTTCTACGACAAAAGAGGTGAGATCTAAATGGGTGCCAAGTTCAATGGTCTGCCCTGAAATGTATTTATAACAATATAAAATATAATTTCTTCTTATAACTTAGGATAATATACTGAAGCCTAAGGTCTAACTTGGCCAGTTTTCATATACCAATTATTACTTTCGATTGCTAGTTACTACTAATAATAAAATAGGAACCGACAAGTAACATGTTTAGAACTTCAAAGTCTACAGTATATTTCGTATATGAAATATCCCTCATCACTTCGAAGTATAAAATTAAAAAAAATTTTATTAAAGAAATTTTATTTTTCTATGACGTGGCATTAAAAATATATACACTTATAATACTTTCATCCTTCTACTATCAAACCCTATTTTTATAGTAATATTAAACAAGAGCACTTGTCCCCTATGCTATAAAAATAATATGACCTAATATTAATAGGATCCTTGTATGAACCTATTGTTATAGAGTCTAATGTTCTGGCGCGTGCACGTGATCAGCGTCACGTGATCATCGATTGGAAATTACGTCTGGCCTATCTAATGAGAGCAGACTATCTCGTCAAGGATAGATGCGACTTTGCTCTCAGTAAGTATTGCATTGAATTCTTGTTTATTTTTATTTAACTTTGATATAGATGGTAAAAATACATATGGCGGATATTACTCCTTACGAACTTACTTCAAATAATTATAATAAATCAAAACAATGATAATAATAGTATTCCGGGTCAATTCACAAAGCGCCATCTAGTCCCAAATAAAGTAACGCTTGTATAAGTACTAGATAACTGATAGAAATACTTAAATACTTTTTTTTACATATATACATACGTACCTAATACACATGAAAACACCCAGACCGATACAAAAAATCCTATTCATGAATACAAATGTATGTACTGTGCGAAGAATCGAACCCGCTACTTTAATATATACAGAAATAATACGGTGTACTTTTGTTTTAGAATATCAATAATATTTCCAATATCAAGTTGGTTCTTGTTTAATTTGTAGGTGCGGATGAATTTCTGGACGAGCAAGTGGCCATGATAGTGCCGGCCGGCAGTCCCTACCTGTCTGTTATCAATAAGGAGTGAGATATTATTTTTATCTATACATCTATACATATAAATAAAATTGGAGTGTCTGTTTGTAATATTGAAATAACGGTTTTTTACTGCATGCATATGAATATAAATACGGAACATACACCAAAAAACCACATTTAAAAATTTTTGACTATCTGTCTGTCGTTCTCTTTATTCCGGCTAATCTCTGAACCGGCTGAACCGATTTTAACAGGACTTTTTTTGGCAGGTAGCTGATGTAATAGGGAGTAACTTAGGCTACTTTTATTTTAGAAACATTATTTTATTTTAGAAAAATGAAGTATAATTCCACGAGGACGAAGTCACGGGTACAGCTAGTTAATAATAAAATAGTTGCCTTTACATGATACTTTCTCTCAGATCGCGCGCGATTTTGGCGCGGAAAGACAAACGCGCGCGTTTTAACGCGGGAAAGTCAGCACGCGTTAGCACGCATTGCAGCATTTGCTTAGCTGAAACAGACGAAAGAGAGGTGTCCATGCAGACGACTTTGTACAAAGTCAAGTAAGAAACAACTAAGTACAGATTTTTATAAATATGTGATTTATTTCATTGACAGGATAAATCGTATGCAGAAAGCAGGTCTCATCACAAAGTGGCTGTCCGCTTATTTACCAAAACGAGATCGGTGTTGGAAAACCTCCTCTGTAGCGCAAGAGGTCAACAACCATACTGTCAATTTGAGCGATATGCAGGGATCGTTCTTCGTGTTATTTCTTGGTTCGAATTTACGTTCTATTTTTAATTTTATAATTCTTATATAGTTACTTCATCACCTACGATGATGTCTAATAACCAGGAGTTATATAATTTAACGACATTCATTCATAGATAAATTAACGAGATCTCTTAAAAATTTTTATAAAGACATTTTTTTAAATAATAATTATATTTTATTAATAATAAGTAGGTATATAATTTTTTTAATATTCACAAAAACTTAATAAATTGTCATTCTGCTCTTAAATTGCTTATCATTTTGATTGTAGTCGATTTCTCGGTCAGTTAGTCAAGAGGTCATTTCGTTTTCTTTTGTAGTTTTTTTATGTGATAGTAAACATTACAATGTGATATTGATAGTTAACGTTACCAAAATAAGACGTAATGACAATTACTGAGTTTTACAAAATTCGGTCACAAGTAAACCAAAGACAACAGCTCAAATTGTTATTAGTCTGTGCAATAAATAATCTGTGAACTTTAAAGGATTTGGCGGGTTTTTGTTATTTCGTTTTATTATTAGTTCAAAGTTGTTTTAAGAAAACTGTAACTTTTTATTGTACATTCTTCTTTCATTTATAGTTCTATGATTCTCAGTAAGATTAATTTATAATATTTCGTTCATTTTCAGGATTTTTTTCTGGCAGCGCGGTATTGGTGTTCGAGTTTTTCTACAACAGGCGAAGGAAGCGTACAGACAATGTTATAATCAAACCTTACGTAGAATAAAATAGTTACAGACCAAACGACTTAGTTTTTTTTAGTCAACACATGATCGCTAATTCTATTTAGTCGAAACATCGCTGCGTCGAGAGTGTTTAAATACCTGTGAGTACGTGCAGATATCTTCAACAGATTGTAAACTGTAGAAATCATACATTTGCATGGATTTCTTGAATTCATTTTTAAAATATAATATAAATTACAAGTTTTGATGAGGGAACAAAAAAGTACGTTATATCGATTTTCAAATACGTACGTTAGATATGAAACAGACATGAAAAAAAGATGTGTGCCCTACTATCACAAACTCTTTCGGTGTTGCGTTTTGTTGCTGCTTGCTGACTCTTTACCTTACTAATATTATAAACTCGAAAGTTTGCGAGTATCGATGGATGTTTGTTACTTTTTCAAGCAAAAACTACACAACTTATAGAATTAGCTGTTTGGTGGCAGATATACTAATAGAAAGAGGTGATCATCGTAGACTACTTTGTACATGATGATGATGATAGACTACGTCGGTAACGTGCCTGCGTCTAGACGTCAATGTGCCCTTTGAGCGTATTACCACACTGGCCAATACGCTCTTATCTAAAGATGGCATAATGGGAATATGGCGGGTTGTGACTTGAAGAATACTTTTACATTATGAAATTATTTAATTAAGTATTACAATCGTCTTTACATCGTCATACGTTGTTCAATTCTTTCAATTGTTTATTTACTAAAAATATAAATATACTGAAATAATGAAAATTAAATGCATATATCCTCTATCCACATATATATTCTGTGGCAAGAATAGCAACTGGCAGGTGACTGAATAATGAAAAAACTTAACTAAAATATGGAGAGAGCGCAGTGAACACTCGAATTTGCGTATTGTTGTATTTAAATTGCCATTTTATTTGCTTTCTTCGACCTACATATCTGTTAGTATTAAATTTCGAACTTTGTCGACAATTCGCTTGTATCCAATTGAGACCCAAGTAAGTGGGTTGCAGTACAAGTTGTAATTTCGATTTTGTATGTTCTACTATAAGGGACAACATATACAAGTCTTCTGTAGTTGTACTTTATATACTGGAAACTTAGGAAAACCAATGATCTGTATAGAATACTATAGAAATGCCTACTTGAAGTTGTTTTTTTTTTGTAAATAGTATGAATGGTAAACATGTTAACAACCCATCTGATCGTGGTAACTGTCACAAATATACAACTACATCACGTTATCATATGAATCCGTGATATCTTTTCGTTTATATTTAAGACTACCTAGTTCGGTAACCATTAAATTTAGTAATTGTCGTTTTAATCGCTCCTCTAACTGTTCGCTTAGATCTTTTAAACCACGCAATGGGTTTTTAGCTATAGATAGAGTGATTTAAAAATATATCCTTAGGGTGCAAAATAAAATAGGAGATGAAAGTTTGTATGGAAATTCATAATATTTGAAGCTAAGAACGATGAAACTTTATTTTTGGACTTTTTGGGATGGAATATTGAATATTTATTCTTTATTTGGTCAAAATCACTATAACACGCGACCATAGTCTCGGGCACAGCCAGTAGTTAATAAAAATATTTTTTATACATACATGTATCTAAATGTAAAATGTAGGATATATATATATATATATATATATATAATTATAACAACCCTGCCCTAATACCTTACCCATGTGAGTCTCCTACTTTTCACTGAGGTCAATGAGCTGTAGACCTGAAATTAATTTAGGTAATTAGACCCTGATTATACAATTGCGTGTCCGAATGGTGAGCGTTTCGTTCAACAGTAAATGAGCGATACGTCATTTTATAAATCGGCTAAATGTTTAAGTAACTTTCCGTAGCTTTAACGCTGTTTACGAATCCATTATGAGTATTACGTATAATTTATAAGTTAAATGTGTACGCAGTCACGTAGCTGATTTGTATCAAAGTTATTGGGTGACGATGAAAACAACTTTTGAGGCAATTTATTATAGGCTGTTATAACAAAACCTGTACAAGTATGCTTTAGATATTTTTGTTTATGGGTGATAATGGAATGCTGCACCCGTTTTCTGTAACGGTTTAACCCGGACGGGGCACCAGTGGAGGATGATAGGATAGCCTGTTCTGGTAAACTCACCATGAATTTATCACGATGGTTTGCAAGCGATTCATTAATCCACATTACTGACAATCATCTTCCCCCCAACCCTCATATTTTGAGATGGTGGTAATACGATAATGTTAAATATCAGAAAAAGAAAACCCTTTTTCTACTGACACCACGGTGGTCTAGTGTCTTAGTGTATCGCCTTACTTCTTACGCCTTACTTCTGATGACGGGTTCGATTCCTCGAACGATGCAAACATTTGTGTTCATGACTATGATCATTTGTGTCGGCCTGGGTGTTTCCTATATGTACTATATATGTATTTACAAACAAAAAATTTAAGTATTTATATCAGTTGTCTAGTACCCATAACACGTGTTCTACTTAGCTTGGGACTAGATGGGCCTTGTGTGAATTGTCCTGAGATATCATTATTATTGAGACTGTAGTTAATTTCTTTCAGAATATGGAACATTTGCTGCATTATCATTATAAGATGAATATCAGGTCATGTTAGTTAGCCCATCGTAATGGCAAGAAATGCCAGGATTAACACATTCAAAAGACCTAATATCGGGCTTCTCGACCAAATACTCCAATAGACTACTGCTATTGAGTAAAAACAACATATGCATGATGACTAGGGCCCTCACAGGACACTGCAAATTAAACAAGCATATGGCTAAACTAGGCCTATGTACGACAAGTATCTGCAGATTCTGCCAAACTGAAGAGGAAACGCCGCTTCACATCCTATGTGGTTGTAGCCCACTCATGCATAAACGAAATATCTCCTTTGGAAAGTTTACACTCTTTCCCGAGGAGATAAAAACGATCGCTCCTAAGAATATCCTTCAATTCTTGTCCCTGACGGGTCTAGGTAGCGAACTCTGAAAAGGGCGAGCACAATAGATCTATGTAGGTCGCAGTGCTACAGGTGCTAAACATCTGACAATAGCCCAAACAATACAATAAAAAAAAAATAGCCCATCGTAACAAATTAATCAGGAATCTATCATGATGGTTTCCAAGGGGAACCGCATGGAGATCAGTTTGTAATTTGTTTGTCGTTTAGTAATGGGTCTATAAGGTCACCTTACCAACAATTCCTCCTCTAGATAGGAGTAAGCCAGTCGGTCAACTCAAAACTCTACAAGTTATAAGGTATACGAGTGGATATAAAAACAGGAAACACAAATTGCGTATATCTATTTCTTAGGTCATCGACATTATGTGTAAATTTAAAATTATGTAAATCTATTGCTATTAATAGATTTTATACTAGTAAAACAGTACTAGTTTTTATAGATTTTGGACTATGTGCGAAGTTTCTTTATATGATTAAATATTTACGACATGTTGACTTTGAACAAAACAGTTTCCTTGGGTGATACATAGAACAGAAAAGTAACTCTGACTCCTTTATATATATAATTAGTAAATATCACAGGATCTTACTACGTTTTATTAAATATTTACTACATGTTGACTTTGAACAAAATAGTTTCCTTGGGTGATACATAGAACAGAGAAGTACCTCTAACTCCTTTATATATATAATTAGTAAATATCACAGGATTTTACTACGTTTTATTTTTATTGAGTACCCGATATTTGGGCAGTGCTTCAACCGTCATGAACATGGATAAATTGAAGAGCAGCGGGTAGATTGTAAATAGTTTTTTTTTTATTAACGTATGCGTGCATCCCTTCACACATGTTTGTTTGTTGCTATTATAGAAATTTGGCGTGATCATTGCGGTTGGTGAAATATCAGGAAATCAACACATTTAAAACTTGCTAAGATCCTATCATTTTTACTAATTATACGTATCAATAATGACCACGTCAAATTTAAAACAGCCCAGTAAAGAATTATGTTTTGTTGTGTGGGTTTCTCTATTTCTGCTGCCTACCGCTAACCAGATTGTTTTGTAAACTGTGTTTCGTTAAGTTAGCGAGTTTCGGAGAGCAGAGTATGGAGGAAAAACGTCTTAGAGCTCTGGAATGGCAATAAATGGGCGAGGTACGCGTGATATACATAGTACTATTCTTATATATGACTTACATACTACTTACCATCAGTTGGGCAGTTTGTTTACCATTCTATAATAGTTGCATAAAAAAATCTACGATGAGGAATTCTATAGAAGAACGAGAGATCGCTATAGTCGACAGGTTTAGTAGTAGTTAGCTAAAGTAATATAGCTGCTATAAAGCTCGAAGAATTAGTAACTTAAGGTTCGGCACCACGCACGTGACAACCCTGGTGTCTCAGGCGTTTATAGGGCACGGTAACCATTTACCATCAGAGAGGCCATATATTTGTTTCTCATAGGAATAATATCTTAATAAACTGGAATGGCGACGATTGAGTGGCATCACTGTATTCATGTACATAGGTGACGGTTGCCGCTTATTATCAGGTAGGTTGTTAGATTATTCGGCATTTCTATTGGATAAAGAAAATCCACAGTGTTTTCTAGGTGGCCAAGGAGAGGCAGCTTCTATTATTTAACAAAATAAGTAAGGAAAACAGCAGGTTCTACGAAAATTACGTCATTTCAATAAAACTTTAGTATAAACAGATCTATATAAAGATATTTTACGTTTTTAATTGAATTATTTGTTGTCAGTAACACTGGTACCTGTGAATTCATGTTCAAATTCAGATTGATCCTATTATTATAGACAAAAGGTTCAAAATATGTCACTATAATTGATATTCAGCTTATTAATGTTACTACATAAGTGGACGTATAACAAAACCGGCTCACAGTCGCTCTCAGCTTCTCCGTCGGCCGGTCGCAGAATATAGTTTTCCGGTGTATCGTTTTTATCTTTCAACAAAAATTTGTAGGTGTCAATGACAAGATCGAAGAGAAAGTTCGCGATCACGGACAAATTTCTGCCAAGGTTAGATTTTGTACTTAATCCCCTCATTTGTGTGATGGATGGTGTAATCATGATGCGGTAGTTTTAGGTTATTAAACTCTAAGCTCGTATTTCAAGGAAAATTATTGTTCATGTCACAGATTTGGTTACAATATTACGTTGTAATGATAAATGAGACAATTCATAATTTATCCCATTATATATCATAATCAACATCATGAGAATCCATTGTCGTCGCATTTGTCACCGAATGTGAGATAGAATAACAACTAATGATTCACAAGTGCTTAAAATTTTATTAGAATAAATGTTATTTTTATTATATTCTATTTATCACACTTTTTCTTCTGTATTTGAAATGGCAAAAGAGCTGGCAGTCTACCTGATGGTAAGCGATAACCGTTGCTTATATACATGAACAGCACTACGGACATCACGTCATCACGTGACCACTATAATATAACTCATACGTTGCCATTCAAATTGATTGGGATATCATGCTTTTATCCTGTAATTTCACTGTTGGGCACTCCATCCTTATAAGAATAGGATTTAATCTAATTACCACACTGGTCAGGCGACTCTGTAAAGAGTTTTGTTTCTAGTTTTCCTTCTTTTGCATGTACCTACTCTGTCTTGTTCTTCCAGTCGGCTTTTACGAGACTCTGGACACGAAAAGAAGTGATAATGTAATGTATTCCTAATTCGTTATCATTTTTTTTGTCACTTCGAATTATATGTGATACCATCAGAGTCAATTTGATGGGAGTCACAGATATTGTTAAAGTAGGGACAAGATAATTTGTAGAAATACTTAGATATATAAAAATATGTATATGTATTTTCGCAAATTCATTATATAATATAGATAGTAAACGCCCAGATTAATACAAACATATGTAGTAGTAGTAGTGGTATATTTTATCCACAAGTGGATAGGCAAAGGTACGAGACAGCCTAATCTTCTGTAACAAACATATGTTATAAACATTAACTCAATATGATTATTAGAAAACAAACATTTATATCTATAAATGTTTGTTTTCTGAGCTGTCAACTGAAAATCATACCATGTTTTAATTTGTCCGTAATAAAATTATCTTGTTTAAGAATCCGCAATAAAAAGATTTATATTCAATAATGTTTATGATATAAAACATTCAATAAACAGACCATGGAAAAGGCACAAGGTGGCCAATCGAATAGTCAAAGTACGAACACGGATTGGCAATTACCCTGTAAAACGATTTTTTTCCATGTTATCTTTTATTTCATAAATATCAGTTGTATTCCATAAATTAGACTAAATATCATTGTTTTAATCTGGGATATTTAATTGTATTAATCTAGAATATATTTCACTAAGCAAGTAATCACTATGTTGAAGACGACTGTAATGTTTATCTTTTCCCGCCAAAATTTGAAAGTCGTGAAAATACTATTAAGTAATCTGTGGTGATATTGTAAAAATATACGGAGCTAGATTCCATGCATTTTCAATAATTTTAGGGTAACAATGTTTTTGTCTAGTAGGTAAAATATGTAATATATATAGACGTTTACGAAAATTCTTATAAATTATCAGTTAAAAATATACAATTATAAACCACAAAACATTATCTATATTATTTTAATGCGAATCCCAAGTTTTACGTATTGGAGTGGTTGACTGAGATTTTTATACTGCCATAGTCAGTCGTATGTTAAATTTTGGTTTGGTGATCTGTAATAGAGTTACTACATACAGAAAATAGAATAATTATAGATTCGGATATCTACAATATAATCTAGTATAATTCGGTATGCTAAATGCAGGAATAAATTAACGAAAATAGTAAGCATCAGATATTCAGCGATGACATCGATTCATTTAAATCAGTACTCAGAATTGATACTGTTTAGTGAATAATGTAGAAACTAACATATTGAGTTATATGATGGTAGGAAAGCGCAAGTTTATTATAATAACAGATGTGGAGGAACCGGTTGTGTGTTTACAACATGTATGTAAATCTGCTTCGAAGTAGCACGATCACGCTGTTTAAGTGTGATCAGCAAGGGTCTGATAGTACCTAAACGGTAACTATATGAAGATCTGTTTTTTTATATAATTTGAATGGTGAATAGTACCGTTGATGGTAAAAAGTAATCTCGCCTATATACACGAACAGATGTAGATCTGTTCGTGTATATAGGCGAGAACTTCACGTTATCATATGATACCTTTGATTCGTGCATTCTTATTCCAAATGACTAAGATATCATGCATCTTCTTCTATAATTTCACTGCCTAATCGCACCCTACAATCGAAATATGGCTTACAAAAGAAGGTTGGCGGCTGAAATAGGTGTGACTAAGGTACCAAGACAAAATTTTACAGTCTCGGACAAAACTATAATATGATGTAGGGTTATATATAGTCCTCGAGTCAGAATCTGTTTTTCGTCAATTATTTCCTCCCGGTAAGATAGTGTTAACTGTTACCATTAAAATCGTCTATATATATTTTTTATATAGAGATATTTAAACATATGTATGTAGTTAATATATTATAATGCGATACAACTACTATATAGAAACTAATATCATAAAGAATTAAGTCTTGAGTCTTGACCGACAGTCTGATAAGTTATCATCTCTGAGCCGAAGCTATTGAATCCATATAGTGACCAAAGTTCAGTAAGTTCGTCGTAATTAGGTATTCTTGAAGAAGCTATGGTTGATAGTTATCAAGAATTTCTGAGCTTTTATTTTAATGATTGATGTGGGGATATTTGAATGAAACTTTGAGTTTATAAACTTGCGATTTCGTAGTCAGAACTAAAATCGTTACTTACGCGGTTTAAAAGGATTAAAGTTTATTATTATGTAAAAGTAAAAAATATTAGCCTTTGTTCTAAAAGTAAAAATTGTTTCAGTAGGTATTTATAAAAATACGTGAAAATTAAGATAGCATTTTTAATTTTTAAAGTTATACATAATTTTGAGAATTTAAGTTAATTTAGATTATAACTTTAAAGGCATTCAATTCTTTTTTCTACTTAATTTTAGTCACAAATCATGATCTAACATCGTAAACAAAATAAAGTGGAGAACTTTTTAAATTTGCCGGAAAGATGATGAGGTACGGGGTTCGAAGTGTTCGAAGTCTTGCAATCTTATATCTTGCTTAATCAGTATTTTAAATTATTATATTGAGTAATTGGTTAATTAAACTAGACTGATAAATAAAATAAATCAACAAAGACAGAGAAAATCTTATGATGACGGAACCGTATGAGGATGTGATACGAGTCTTCGTCGTTTTTCAAGACGAATAAAAAAAAATATCTAATATAAATATAAAAAATGCATATTAGAGTATGATGCAATATTTCTTGAAGTTTAATAATCTCAGTTAGTATTATAAAATTTGTATTTTTATTGCATCATCCAGTCTATCCAGTTATTCGCAATTAATTATAGATTGTTTACGTAAATGCACATAATAATAATAATTTCTAGTCAAGTTTTATTACTTTTGTACATACATATTTAATTAATCAGGAATATAAATGACAGTAATATGTAAAATAAATTCTAATCCTAAAGAGCACCAGCCCAGTTCCTTATTCGTTCTTCTTGGCACATTCTTGGCCATTGTTGCGATAAACAGTAAAAATTATTAATAAAATTAAGTTTAAATTTGTTAAAGTAAAGATTATATACCTATACTATTTCTAAATTTTTCTTTTTGCCACACATCCACATCGTGGAATTACCTTCTAGCAATGGTATTTCCTAACCGATACGATATTGAAACTATTGAGAGCTTATTCCTTCTTAAATGTCCAGCTACACAATTGTCTCTCCTGGTGAATCGCAAAGTCATGGGGCAAACGGCCCCTGTACTATAAAAAAAAATCTACTTTCTGTTGAGTCCAAAAAATATTTAGAATTAATCTTAATAGTATTTGGTTTATTTCTAAATAGTTCTACTTCTCTGCATATTTAGAAAAACCTGTATATATACAATATTTCCAACAATTCATTTAACGTTTTATTGTTAGTTTATATAAAAAAATAAGGGTTAGAATTCGAGCGTTCGGCCCTAGAGAAAGCTGTTGAAATGAGCTGCCTTCTCTTCGAAGCTTCTCTTTTATAAATATGTACGTTGTTATTGATTGTGATAATTTAATATGATTTTGTTACTATAATAGGCAATTAAAAACGCACTACAACGTACGCAAGTTAAAATAAAAATCAAATCAAACCAAAATATTTTTATTTATGTAGGTTTATTACAGATTCTTATGATATGTCAAATCTGCTGTCAGTTCAGAGTGCTTTCGAACTTAGAAGAAGTGCTAAAAAACTCATCTCTTATTATTTTCAAATGAGCTTGTACGTTTTTAAAAAGATACAGATTAATTTTGAAATCCAAATTAGGGTAAAATAATATACCGTTTAATAAAGCATCATTGTTACAGCTTGTTTAAATTAATACAAATAAATTACAAATTCTGAAACAGATGACTGTAGACATAAGATGTATAATTTTTTTTCTTTTTTAATTTCAGGCTAGCCAAAAATTTGTGCACCAGGAAGGGTAGCCGGCGTGCAAACACTGGAAACCGTCTAGAACACGCGGTCCTTACCCACATACAGCACGTGCCGTAGATCCCCTGCTATCTGATCCTCTCCATAGCTAATCATCCTCCATCTCCTTCTCACCGGCATCCCTCAGTCAGAGCGAAAGAGACATATGCTAGCAGTCATGGCTCGTGGAGACGAATGCAAAACCGCATCCAAGGCAAACTATGCCTGCAAGAACTTGGATGTAACAGCACCAATGAAGTAAGTCATGCCAGGATAAAGTAAAACATAGCAATAACGATATCTCAGGATAAGTTACATAACGCCATCTAGTCCCAAGCTAAGCAGACCTTGTGTTATGGTACGGTACTAGACAACTGATACAGTTCTATATAAATTTTTTTTACATGCCTACATAATATAGATATAAAACACCCAGACCGATACAAACAATCATATTCATGAATACAAAATAAAAACCGGGACCACTTATGTTCCAACAAGTGAGCATGAATTCCCTGAGCAATGGTAAAAGATAGCCGTGGGCATCATGTCAATCAATTCTTCAGAATAAGAATTCTACAGTCCGTTGTATATTCGGTGGAATACACATAGCGATGCGAAGTCTCGCCTTAAGCTTAGTGATTCGATACCTCTTGAGAGATTCAGCTCATCAACAATTCTCATAGCAAGTCTTTGAACAGAGTCAAAAGGACAGAGCTGGTATGCAGGTGCTCCTGCCCAAAGATGATGTCCCTGCACTAATCGTCAGACTTTGCCTATTAGTTTACTGTTATTTAGGGCAGTTGGTTCTAATATAGTACGTAAAATTTTCACCTAGGAGACAAACTGAAAATAATAGGAGCAAAATATTCCTTACTTTTATTAAAATAAAATTCTAAATTATATCTATTGCTTTACTATGTGAAGCACCAATTACGTCATACTTATCACTTTTTCTCTGGAATTTTGCCAATTAGTGTCAACCGCAGAGCACATCATTAAACCTGTCATTGATATGAAGTACTAGGCAGTAGCAGTACAACCACAAAGGGATCTTTGGGGTTGGGAACATATGCACCTAGAACATATGAACATACGTATAGGGAACATATGCACCTACAAGTGTTCTTGCACAAAATTAAAAAAGAAAAGTTCCTATTTCACGTTCATTTTGAAACGATATGCCTTATAGTAATAGTAATATCTGTAGTAGAACAATTTAGCAGTCAATATTCCTTAGATTTCTAATCATGCCGACTCCTCACATTTGTATACGAATTCTTGAAAAAAATCAACGAACTTTGCACGCTAATAGTGGAATAACCACAAATATTGTGAAGCTACAAATACCTTATTAATATTCTTAATGTGGAAGTTTGTGAGTGTAGATAGATGGATGTTTGTAACACTTTCACGCAAAAACTACTGAATGGGTTTTGTTGAAACTTTGTAATAATATAGCTTATACATCGGAATAATACATAGGCAATTCACGCGGGTTAAAACCGCTGGCACGGCTACTTAATCAGAAGAATTCTTAGGAAATTCTCAAATATTGTTATAGCGGAAATGTAATATTGTATTTTTTAATTTCTAGAAAATCTATCGCCCAACCATCAAGCTCCCAAGCACCAAAAAAACAGGAGCAGAAGAAAGACTACGGAGCCTGGGGTCCCATCTACAAAGACAAGAAGTCGTTCACCGAGATGCATCTGTGTTGAATACACACCGAGCCTGGAACATTGTAGCCACTATCGCATGACATAGCATTACCATTAAATCTTACTTTATAGTCACAAAACAAATTGTCATTTATACTATTTTTTTTAATAAAAACTATATAAACTACAGTCTCCTTATATTTCCTCATTTGTTTAATCATAGACTTAATTAACGATATGTATTAAAAAACAAAATCCATTTAAATTTAAAAATTAGAATTTATTTGAAATAATTAAATAATTTAAAGTTTCAATGAATTAAAAATATGGATGTTAGAATGGTAAAACTTTTAAGGGGATTGTACAATATTTTTGGCGATTGGATTGGTTTTTAGCTGTAAAACAGTACTTCTGTTAAAATGTGTCAGTTAATTGGATATTCATGAAATAAATGTCATCAAAACAATATTGTTTTTTGTGACTTGTTGCTTTTTATGTTCATTTGATGGTTTAGGGATTTTTATTCTTTTATTTGCATACTAACAACACTTGTATCTCATTTTTTATAACAAATTAAATTGCATCATTCATTCCTGAAAGATTTTTTGTTACAATTCCTAAATAGTGTCAATAATTACGTAGATATATTACATATATTTACTCAAACTAATTAAATATATGTCTTCGATTATATAAACTCCATTTGCTATTGCTAGGAATAAGATTAGAGAGAAATAAGTTTAATTTAAACAATCGACAAGTAGGTTCACATAAAAAATAATAAAATATTTGTGAATACGGAAAACATAAAATGAAATATAGAGTACATTAATTTTTTTTCTTTATTTTTTTTTGGTTTATTGTACACGAAATGTGACGATGACAATTCCATTGTACCTATACTAAATAACATCAAATAATATGTAATGTTGAAGATGCAACGTTCTTCAATTGTTATGTATCGACTATTATGATAAAGAAATAAATAAAGCACAGTAAGTGGGGTAGTTTCTATTCTATTGTCTTCAATCATAGTAGTCAACTATTAGAAAATAAAGCCGCCTAAGTTACATTAGTAGTACATTCCTTTTAATAATATATTTTAGTTATTATATTATATTTTTTAAGCTTTTTAATTTTAGGTTCTTAGTTGGACAATTAAGTTATGTAAGCAACAATTCATAATCAAATGTATAGGTTATATGTGGCAGTCAAACATAAAATTATGTGTAAGTTTCATTAGTAAATGTCTATATGTGTAAATAGATAATAATAATAATAATCTCAGGACAATTCATACAACGCCATCTAGACTCAAGTTAAGCTAGCTAAAGCTTATGTTGTGTGTACTAGATAACTGATACAAATAGATATCTATTTTCTTCATAAATACATACATATTATACATAGAAAACACCCAGACCGATACAAACAATAATACTCATGAATACAAATGTTTGTGCCGTGCGAGGAATCGAACGGACCATCCGAAGTAAGGCGGTGTGCTAACCGCTAGACTACCGAGGCCGTCATATCGATTCATCAATATTGGTAATATTGATTTGTTTCAACAGTCATATAAGTAATTAAATTATAGGATACCTTTTTACCCTATAAATTCATTTGGCGTATAACAATTTCTTCAAATTATTAATGTAGTTCATTGGGTCTTAACATGAATAATTGTAGGTCAATTAGCTGTTGACTACGGCTGGTGTAAGCTAGTCCAAATCTTGAGAGAGGTAGGTAACTTCATCATTACGTAGTATAAAATAAAGTAGCGGTGGCTGTCTGTCCCTATATGTGCTTAAATCTTTAAAACTACGCAACGGATTTTGAAGCATTTTTTTCTAATAGATAGAGTGATTGAAGAGGAACGTTTATATATATAATACATGGAAATCCGGGCGAAGCCGGGGCGAGTAGTTAGTTTAGCATAAAATCCCAATTAACTGCATATGTTAATATAAGCTTTACAGTCTTCATTTCTTGCAATGTTGGTGTTTTTCTATTATATATGCATAGGTAACATTTACCATCTGTTACCACTTTAGTTGATGGTTAGTTAGGTTTACCATTTTTGCCAATAATAAAATATTTTTTTTGATATTAGCATATCAGAAAAATACTGCATGGATATTGAATATCTGTCCCGTCTAATAAAAGTAGGGAAATCGGTTCATATATATACCTAAGGGAGAACGTGATTGTATTCTGTCGAACGAAAACAGCCTGTACCTACTATACCTCTATGTTTGTTGAATTTTGTAGGTATAGAAAACATTGTGTTACTCCTTCTTTACTAGTCATTAGCCGCGACTTCATCTGTTTTTATTGACATGAAGTAGCCTATTTCTTCTTTGTGATACAATCTATCTTAACATATAGAAAAAGAAATATTCAAACAAACTTAATATAAACTTTTGAAAAGTTATACGTATCACCCTGTACCTACTATACCTTTATGTTTGTTGAATTTTGTAGGTATAGAAAACATTGTGTTACTACTTCTTTACTAGTCATTAGCCGCGACTTCGTCTGTTTTTATTGACATGAAGTAGCCTATTTCTTCTTTGTGATACAATCTATCTTAACATATAGAAAAAGAAATATTCAAACAAACTTAATATAAGCTTTTGAAAAGTTATACGTATCACCCTGTACCTACTATACCTGTATGTTTGTTGAATTTTGTAGGTATAGAAAACATTGTGTTACTACTTCTTTACTAGTCATTAGCCGCGACTTCATCTGTTTTTATTGACATGAAGTAGCCTATTTCTTCTTTGTAATACAATCTATCTTAACATATAGAAAAAGAAGTATTCAAACAAACTTAATATAAGCTTTTGAAAAGTTATACGTATTTATTTTATACTACCGCTCACTCGGAAAGCATACTTATTACAAGAAGAATGAACAGGAAACTCGCGTCTTATTCTTTTAAATAAATGTTGTTTTGGGATTTTGTGAGAAAATATATTGCCAAATAGCAAGATTGACAAAAGGAAAATAAATACTAAAGTTACTTGAGGAACAAAATAAATCTGTTATAGTTATCAGAGTAGATAACTATAAAAGATTTATTACGTCTATCTCTATCTCTACGTCTATCTCTACGTCAAACATTAGGTCTGTTTAGTCATGCAAAAATGACAGACGGACGTATACATTTTTCTATTTATAATACTCGCTGACAGACAGACGCACACATATTACCACTAGCTATTACCTACAACTTCATCTGCACAAATTTTCGCCCGTTATTTCAGCCCTATCCAGATTAATTTTTATATATAGGTTAGGGGAAAAATATTAAAACAAAAAACTGATAAATGATATGTCGTGATCGACGTTGTATGTTGTGCATATCCACGACATATCATTTATCAATCAAATCAAATAAAAAATCTTTTATACATATAGGACATTTTAACTGTTTATTAACGTCAAGTTTTTGTGTTATTAAATTAAATATGTTCACACCAAATTTCATTAAGAACCTTTCAGCCGTTTGATTAAGAAATAGTAACAAACATTTTAGCTTAATATTAAATAAAATACCATAGATTTTGCCAAGCAGAAAAGGAAACGACACTACACATCCTATGTGGTTGTAGTCCACTCTGGCATAAACGAAATATCCTTTGTTAAGTATACACTCTATCCTGAGGAGATAAAACCATCGCTCATAAGAATATCCTTCAATTCTTCTCCCTGTGAGCACAATAGATCTATGCAGGTCGCAGTGCTACCGATCTTAGTATCTGAAAAAAGCCCAAAACCCTGAATAAAAAAAAACATGGATTAGTTATGCCTACAGCGTGACCAGCGTAGAATAAGCGTCTGATTAAAAGAAGAAAAAAAGTGTCTGATACAATTTGACAGTTACAATGTTTCCGCGTCAAGAGAAACAGTAACAAAACTCTATACATTTTTCATCATCATTAAGTTAGTATTCAACAACTTTGTATTCATGAAAGAGAATTCAAGATCACAATTTCGGGGGTATTGTCTTTAATTTTTGCAAACAAATTAGGGACAATTTACTAATACAACCGTCGACTTAAAAAGGTCTAATTTGCTCTTATTACAATGGTTTTTATAAATACTAGTGACTACGGCCCTGCTTCGCAATTATGCCATTATTGCAGAAATCTTTATAGATTTCTACAATAAACGCACACATTGTATAAAAGTTATTTTTTATACAGTAAAATACTGCCCACATCACTTACACGCGTGAAATTTATAGCCTATGTGTTATTCTCATTTATAAGCTATATTATTTTTAAGTTTCATTGAAATCCATTCAGTAGTAGTTTCAGTGAAAGAGTAACAAACATCTATCCATCCACAAATTTCCGCGTTTTTAGTATTTGTAAGATATATATATATATATATATATATATAATAACATAATGAAAATACTATGCGGTGGTCTAGTACACAGTTTCTGATGGTCACGGGTTCGATTCCTCGCACGGTACAAACATTTGTATTCATGAGTATGATTGTTAGTATCGGTCTGGGAGTTATCTATGTATATTATGCATGTACTAAAAATGTTAGTATTAATATCAGTTGCCTACTACCTATAACACAAGCTGCTGCTCAGCTTGGGACTAGATGGCGTTGTGTGTATTTTTCAGAGGTATTATTATTATTGTTGTATCATATAATAGTAATGCTATACTATAATTAATATAGCAGTACGTAGAAACAGTCGGATGGGCCGTACGGATTTGGCTGGTGAATAATTCATAACGCGCAAGTAGGCAGGCATAAGGGCGGTTTGCAAATACCCAGTAGACAGGCAAGAAGATTGGTTTTCTTGTTAGACAATTTGATTAAGACTTCACAATTATGATAGTTCGTGGCAATATTTTTAAGTACTGGCGACTTGGCAACTTTTTTTTTTTATAAGAACCTTTTTACTCTCTGTAGTATAATATTATCTTATCTGTGATAGTATTTAAAAAGAAAGAAAGCAAATATTTGTTGTCAACCATTATATTGTATGCAAGGTTTAACGAATTATCTATAGATTAAATATGTAAAGCAAAATATCGTACCTCTTAGGAGTAATATAAAATTTCAAACACTCAAATAATTTATATAAAGAAAATGTGCATAAATATATTTTTTGTCATTTCTTTAAAGTTTAATAAGTAATAATTGAATTTGTTATTTGTAATCTGTAATTTAATTTGAAG